TCCGAAGAACTGCAATCGCCGTGGGAGAAGCAAGACGATCCCGTCGATGCCTTCACCCTGATGCATCATGACCTGGATGTGTGCACCAACTCGCTGCAGTATGCCATGATCCTGGACATAGTGAACAACCTGTTGCTCTATGTGGAACCACAACGGAAGCAGGCGGCGGAGAAGCTCACACGTATGCGTTTCCAGCTGCAATTGCACTCAACGGAGGACCAAAAGCGTCCCATTCAGCAAAAACAAACGGTTATCCGTAGTCTGCTGATGAAGATACGCTCCCTGGAGAAGGACACGCACATGATCAGCAAGGAGCGCATTGAGGAGGGGGATTCCTTAGAGCTACGGCAGGAATACGACCATGTGCAGCAGATGATACGCGAAAGCAAGGAGGAGCTGAACACTTTCAGCGAAGATCTGGACATGATGCTGCTCTGCTACAAGGAGACACAGTTGTCGCAGCTTAGCAAGATCTTGAACGTGCGCTCCGATGAATCCGTGACCATGGTGCGCACGAATGAGATCTGCTTTAAGCGTGCCCAGTGGCGACTCACGGAGACGGATGGCCAAATCGGCATAGCCGATCTTGTCCTCAGCGCTTTTCTCTACACCAAAAAGTCCAAGAGCGATGATTCGGTGGAGCATCTGCTCGAACTGGGCAACATACGCATGGAGAACCTACTGCCGCGGGAAATCTATCGCGATGTCCTGCTGGCCACTGAAATCCAAAAGGACATGCCCGTGGACACACACAAACGAGTGCTGCGCATTTTCTGCCGCGAGAAGGCTCCAGTGGGTGGAATTTCGGTCAAAGAACACTTCGAGATCAATGTGGCACCCATCACGATTGCCATCACGAAAAAGTTCTACAGCACAATGCTGAAGTTCTGCTTCCCCGATCGCGATGCCTCCGAAACGGAGGTCAGCGATGAGCTGGACGACAATGCCTCAACCAGCTCGGCGTCCACAACGAATCTACAGGCCAAGCCTTCCACATCCTCGTCCACCAAGCGCTCGGGTAAGGGCAAAAAGGGTGCCAAGGACTCGGAGTTCTATGTGAAGATCGAAAAGGACGATGTGGAGAAGATGAAAGAGCGGGCCGAGAAGAACAAGCTCTTCATCTACATCAAGATTCCCGAGGTGCCCGTGCGCGTCAGCTACAAGGGCAACAAGGAGAAGAATCTGGAGGACATCACAGACTACTCACTAGTTATCCCCACGCTGGAGTATCACAATGTCACGTGGACCTGGTTGGATCTGCTGCTGGCCATGAAATCCGTCAGCCGGCGTGTGATATTCTCGCAGGCCATCAAGCAGAAGCTGCATATCCATCAGCGTCAACCGATTCTGTCCGCCGGAGAACGAGCGACGCCTCAGGAGGCGGAGGATAAGGCCGTGATGCTATTCGGAAATCGCTTACTGGTGAGTTACCATAGATAAATCTATTACACTGGTTTACAAAATTGAATTGACAAGTCATCCAGATATGTAAACTGAAATAATTAATTTTTAAAGCGGAATTAACGAAGCCAAAATGCTATTAAACTCAACAATCCGCTAAACTCAATATGCCGTTGTGAGGGAAGATAACAGGGGTCTAACAGTTGAAAAATAACCTTTTATCTAGGACTGAAAATTCCTTATAAATTAGTTTTAGTTGTTGGCTTCGTAGGAAAATTAAAGAACCTTCTGTAGTAAATGAGGTTATTGAAAACCAAAATCGGTTAAGAAGAATTTTAAATATAATATAGAATAGGCATGAAACTAAACCAAACAGGAGGATTTTGTCGATTTAGTTTTGTAAAACAGTGTTATAAAAGATCCCCCCAATAATTAATATTCTCTTTTTCAGAACGAAAACCGTAATCAGAAAAAGGGCGTCTTCAAGTTCTCCTCAAGCGGAAAGTAATACGGAAATGACTTCAACTTGCGTGCTCCATATTTCAACGATATTTGTATGCTTTATATTTATTACTGTACGTTCAAAGGATGTACGAAAATATGTGCAACTTGCGGTACTGACCAGGACTTAGCGCAGCTTATCTAAAATGCCGTAATCAACCAACAAGAATGTCCGTTTAACAATACACTATACAATACAATCACACACACTCTCAAGTATTATGCTATGTAAACTCTCTAAATATAGCTAATTTATGTAATGTATATGTTTGTTATTAGCAATAAAGAGGGAGAGTAGGCGTAGTTCATTTTTACACACCAGTGGTAATATTGTAAACTTTAAAACACTTAAACTAAAGCGGCATCGTCGCTGGATATCATCCATTCCTACTTGTTCTGTTGCTTCAGAGGTGGCTAATGGATAAAGAGGAGCTACAATTGGTGGTAATCCAGGGATCACAGATCACTTACCAGCACAAAGACTCGCTTGGGCAGTGCCCGTTGCACCAGTTCATCGAGCAAGGCATTCTGGCTATCGTTCTTCTGCGGATCCGCCTTGGTGTTGTACTCCAGGCTCAGCACTGGCAATTCCTGCCAGCCCACTTGCAGCGGATACAGGTTGTAGACCAGTTCCTTCTCCTCGTAGGCCATGATGGAGATGTCCAGCTGGAATAGGCAGTTATTAGTGGGCTTTAAAATTTTGTATTTTGCATATTTATGATAAAACATCTTTAAATTGTCGAAATTGTATAAGCATAATCCTTGAAAGAATAATAATAATAAAATAATAATAATAATAATAATCCAAAACAGCATAAATAACCCCTTAGAAGATAAGATTTAAACCAACCCACCTGTTTGTGACCGGAGCATATGAAGTTATCCGTCTTGCTGATACTCAAGTTGGCTATCAGATGGAGCACATGCGTGGTGGGGTTCTTGAGCACCACCTTGAAGGCCATGGGCATCTTGACGAACATCTTCTCCTCGATGGTGCAGTAGATGTTCAGAGGTGGCTCTGCAATGTCCAATCCGCTGATCACAAACTTGGACTCGTTCTCCTCGTTTTTGCCATTGGCGCGTCGCCAGCGAATGCAGAATACGCCGAAAATGGGCACGGAGGAGGAATTGGCCTCCAGTGTGTAGATGCCCTTGATGAAACCGCGACAGTGACCCGTTCCCTGGACAGCTTCCAAAGCCTTGTTGTATATGAGTCGGGTGGTTTTCAGGCCTTGCTGCTCTTGGTTACCCAAGGCCTCCTCGGCCACATTCACATCATCCGAGTGCAGGGAACTGCTCATAACACCCGCATTCGCATTGGCCACCTGCAGGACATTGGAAACCGCCGAGTTGCTATTTATGATGGTCATGGTGGTGGGTATCTTGTTGGCCACCAGACTCTTGCTCATGTAGGCACTCATTCCGGCCGGAGGCGTTGGCGCAATTGGCTCCTCGCCGCTGGAGGGTTTAGCCGGGGGCCGAATAAACTTGCTGGCCACCGGTTTGCCCTCCATTTTGCCTCGGTGATCCAGATCCCGGGCAGTCGTCCAGTCCCGCAGTGTGGCATTCGTCCGGAGGACTATCACACTTTCCAATTGCTCACCGGCCCTGTACTTCTGCGTGTATTTCTTCCGCTTAAAGCTGTAGTTCGATTGCACTAAATTGTGATCCTGCAGGTTAAAAAAGAAAAGAGTTTTAGTTAGAAAAAAAGGGAAATCTATTAAATTTTAAAATACCATACCATTAACATCCATATTATTATGCAACAAACCATAATATTAATATAAAATATTTTTGCATTCTACGTTTTTCTGAACAAACATAAAGTAAGTATTTTTATCCAACAAACATAAAATTATAATTAAAGTGGAATAAAGTAAGCTAGGCTTTGTTGCACTTTTGGATAGACCAAAAGGGATGTCCTAGAAATCCCTTTCCCCGACAATACATACACATATAAAGAAGCTGTCCAGTATTTCCACATCATCGACGGCCACCACTTCCGTGTTGGCCCTGAGGAGGAAGTTCTCGCCCCGATACACCTGGTTGAGGGGCTTCCTGTCCAGCGTGTAGAAACGGGCGGTGAACTTGAAGTCCCCGTAGCATCGCACTGTGAGCGTATCCTCGCGAGACTTTCGCAACCTCGTCTCGTCCAGGTACTCGATCTGAACAGGCGAAATGGCAGCCAGACTCTGGGCCACACTCTTCACCTCGTGATCTGGAGTGGATTCCGAGCTACTTGGGGCAGTGCTGACCCGGGCAGAGGTGGCTCCACCACCTCCTCCTGCGCTGCCGCGGTCCACATCCAGAGTGTAGCTCAATCGCTGCTGCAGCTTGATCTCCGCCTCCGCCAGGCTGAAAATGTAGAAGGTGGCCGTGTTGCTCCCGTGGGCGGACAGCTCGCCCACGTCGATTTGGATTTGGGCGTGCAGCTTCTGGCGTCCCGGCGAAATGTCCGTGGTGAGGAATACTGCAAATTCAAGGGGTAACGGAGGGAAGTTAGTAAATTTGGTTTTAATATACTAACAATATAATATAGTATTTGAGAGCATCCGTTTAGAGTTAATTACGAAAACATTTTTATTTTAAATTATGGTCACAAAATGACACTTTTAAAAGAAAATGTATAAAAAAAAAACATTTTCAATAATATCTGCTCAACAAAAAATTGTAAAATCTTCAAATTTTTGCGAGAGAAATTTTGTGTTGATATATTAAAATAAAAGTAAAGTTATTGAGAACATTTATTTAACATTTTTTACGTTAAACTTGTACCTTCCAATTGATAAACATTTATTTATATTTATATAATATTATGTATGTATGTAATATTTAAACGACAGTAGCACCTTATATTATGGTTGCGATTGGCGAAATAATTTATTAAATACTGTTCCCTCTCTTAACCCATACAGATATCTGTTTTCCGAACCCTAAACAAACTGTAACGACTGGGAACAGTTTAATTTGACTTCCTCGTAGCCACACACATATAATAACAAGTTCATTGCCGTGTGTAAACAGCGGAGAACAGGTGTTTTCTGTAAGTGGTTTCTCATTATTGGGTAAGTGCCGCTCCGCGCTGTATAAATGATTGTGATCTATGGCTTCGGGGTGCCAGTCCATCGAAGTTCACATTACAGGCCAGTTGAGAGTCGAGATGCAAGTTGTGCTGCTGCTGCTGCCTTCGATGGTTATCATTTGGATGCTTTGGATTCCGGAGGTGCCAGCACAGGAGCCCGACCTACGGAGAATTCCCCGCGTGGTGGGTGGCCATGCCAGTGAGGTTCGGAATCATCCCTATATGGTCAACATTCGGCGGCGAGGGAACTTCGAGTGCGGTGGATCTCTGGTCACCCCGCGATGCGTCTTGACCGCCGCCCATTGCCTGAAAGATGGTCACCCATCTGATTTTGTGGTCCGCGGTGGGGTCACCTACCTAAGTGACATGCGTAATGCCCGCTATGTGAGGAAAATACTGTTGCCATCTGCGTACAGTCGCTCCACTTTGGAGCATGATGTGGCTTTGCTCCAGCTCCAGCAACCGCTGCAGGCCTCCATTGCCCAGCCCATCTCCTTAGCCGTGAGATCCCCTCGTCCGGGTGCATTTGTCCGTGTTTCCGGCTGGGGCTTAACCGATGCCAGCTCCACTGCGCTGCCCAATCAGCTGCACAGCGTCCAAGTGCGAGTGATGCCACAAAGGGAGTGCAGGGAACTCTATCGAGGCTATCGCAACATCACGGCCAGCATGTTTTGTGCCTCGGTTCCCGGCTTCAAGGATGCCTGTGCCGCCGATTCCGGTGGGCCAGTGGTCAACTCCCAGGGCTTCCTGGTGGGCATTGTCTCCTGGGGCAGAGCTCATCGCTGTGCCGCCGCAGACAGTCCCGGGGTGTACTCCGATGTGAGTTACCTGTCCGATTGGATAGCCGATAATATTCACAAACACTGCTAGTGATAGTTCCACTCCGAAAGCTGTATTAATCCGTATTAGATTAGTTGACGTCAGCTGGCGTTTGACGGTAGGAATGCCATTGAAGTGCCATTGATGTGCCATTGTGACCCAGGCTATTTGCACAGCTGATTTCTGTCGAGGTTTTGCCGAATATCCGGCCATAAAAGCCGGGGCAAGGTCACAACCAGCACAGTTCACAGCAAGATGCTTTGGCGCTGGGATTATCTGATCTTGGGCATGCTGCTCCTGGCCGAGCTTAGCCAACTGGGCGAGGCGGTGACCACGACGAGGCGAAACAGGCGATTGAGAAACGGCAATGCCAAGAAGGTGGCCACAAGGAGAAACCTCAATGGAGCTGCAGCCAGGAAACTCTCCACCAAGAAGCTAAATAATCGAAACAAGAAGGCTTCTACTTCCACATCTTCATCCAAAATCCAATCCAAGATTGTGGGTGGCACCAGCACCACCATTTCCAGCACTCCCTACATTCTCCAGTTACGCCGGGGCACGAATCTCTGTGGAGGTTCGCTGATTGCCGATCGATGGGTCCTGACCGCCGCCCACTGTGTGAAGGGACACAGTGCCTCCGTTTTTACGGTGCTTGCGGGAAGCACCACTTTGGATGGCTCTGATGGCGTCACTCGATCCGTTGACTCTGTCCACGTGGCGCCCAAGTTCACCACCAGCAAAATGAACATGGATGCGGCTTTGCTCAAGTTAAATGCATCCCTAACGGGCACTAATATTGGAACCATATCGATGGCCACCACTCGACCCAAGGCAGGGGCAAAAGTACGCATTGCGGGTTGGGGCGTAACCTCGGAGGGCAGCTCCAGCGCCTCCAAAACGCTGAGGGCCACCCAGATCCGGGTGACCCGGCAGCAAAAGTGCCGAACGAACTATCGCAGCAAGGCCACCATTACCAAGTACATGTTTTGTGGCCGGGCAGCTGGGAAGGATACCTGCAGCGGAGATTCCGGAGGACCTGTGACCAGGAACAACACCCTAGTGGGCATAGTATCCTTTGGCTATGGGTGCGGCAGAGCCGGATTTCCAGGTGTCTACACAGCCGTCTCCTCAATACGCACGTGGGCCAACAATGTTATGGCCAACAACTAAGGGGTCCTAAGTCTGATCTAGATCTTAAGGTCGTTAGTTGCTACTTGCGATTAAATAAATATTTGTTAATCAAACACGAGTCTATTCTTTTGCGGGATGGCAAATTAAAAATAGAAATCATCATTTAGGAAAACCCAACAAGCTCATCATACCATGGTTATAAAATATCTAAAGAACACATGACCAAGCAGTTGAAATATATATATATATATATCTTGACGTAGGAAAATATGGCCTTCTATTATAGGCTTTGCAAATAAATATATCTGAACAATAGAACATTTTATACAAATACTCTAGTACTAATACATTAGTCTATAGTTAATTCCGCAGATAAGATAAACATCTTTGACATGTAGGTCGTAGGTAGTTCAAGATTGTTTTTCAACTCTGCTTAGCTAAAAAATTTTACATTCAGAGAATTTTACATTTTTTAGTGGTTTTTGGTAAGTCAAATTGCTTACAAAAGGTAAATATGTTTACCATAATATTTGTTTAAATGTAAATTGGACAATACCATCAATATTTACTGTTTATTACCAAGAATTTGTTTAAAATAATATATAAACCATTATGTTTGCTTGATAGTTAAGGCAATTTTTCGGAAAATATTTCCTTCAAATGTGCTCCACAAATTTTAACTTGTTTTTAAAAATCGGAAGTTACCACTTGTTTAGTGAATTTAAGTACGTCAAAGTGCTCGCAATAAGCAGATTTGTTTAACATATTTGTTAGGACAATTTATTGGAAAATATATCCGGTTGATATGTGCTACATTTATATAATTTGTTAATTAGCCACATTTTTAGTTCTGAAAAATGAATCAGTTTTTCATTTGTTTTCATAAACGGAAGTAAAATAAACTTGTTTAGTAAATTTTAGTAAATCAAAGTGCTTAGGACAACAACAAAAAACAACATAATACAATCGTTTCCGCTCTTAAAAATTCAATTCCAAGTTTGACTTCCCGGTAAAGATGGTTGATTAAACAATTGTGTAAATGTTGATCGCTGTTTCAGGAATTTTTACTTGATATAAAATCAGGGTTCGGCCCTATTTCATTCTAGTTGGTTAACCACAATGCTGGCCCGGTGTCTGTCTTCTATGCTGCTGTTTCTTATCCCGATTTTGGGAATTTTCTCCCATTCCGACAGCATGGAGATACAGCCCCGCATCATTGGTGGTCGGGTGTCCAGCATCAAGCAGGAGAAGTATCTCGTCCAGGTGACCACATCCACAGAGCTGTGCGGAGGATCGCTGGTTAAGCCCCGCTGGGTGATCACTGCGGCCCATTGCGTTTATGGCAAGAACAAGGATGATTTCAAGGTTTATGGGGGTGCCTCCAATCAGGGTGGACCCTATGCCACCATCCGTCAGGTGGATTTCATGGTTATACGTCCGGACTTCAATCGCAAGACCCTCAACATGGATGTGGCTGCACTGCGTCTCACTTCGGACATGACTGGAGCCAATATAGAGACCATAGGTTTGGCGCAACAATCGGTTCCAGCTCGAGTTTTGGTCAAAGTTTCGGGCTGGGGCTTTCTAACAGCCGATGCCACGCAAACGGCAACGCGGGTGCACAGCGTCCTCGTTCCCATGTGGTCGCGATCCTCCTGCGTGTCCGTCTACCAGGGCATCCATCGCATCACCCGCTCCATGGTGTGTGCGGCCAAGCTGTATAAGAAGGATTCCTGCGATGGCGACTCGGGAGGTCCTCTGGTCTACCGCGGAGAGCTAGCCGGAATCGTATCCTTTGGCTATGGCTGCGCCTCCTCGCTGCCCGGTGTTTACACCAGTGTTCCCGTGATCCGTGATTGGTTCTTGCGCATGGTTAAAGAACATTCCTAAACCTTATCTTAAGACATAGCCAATAAATAGTTCAAGTTTATCACAAAATGTTCATTAACAGGGGAATGCAGGAAGAGTTAATGGGAATATATAAACTAGTTTCTAGGTCTGTATATCCATAGACCATGTTAAAAGTACTTTTTGGTCTAGCCCTGCTGTTGGATGGTTGCTCCAACCTTCAACTGGGTAAAATCTTTGGAGGCGAAACCAGTGCTGTGAAGAAGCATTCATTTCTGGTCAATCTGCGACGTGGTGGCGCCTTCCGTTGCGGTGGCGTCCTTATCTCGCCCAGCTGTGTGCTCACAGCGGCTCATTGTTTGGAGGCACGACATCAACAGCTCTGGGATTTGACCATACATGCGCAGCAACAGTGCTTGGGTGACAGCAGCCCACCGGAGCATGTGCGTCCGGCTTGGTATGTGGGAGTATCACCCGATTACTGCCGTCAACGAGGACTGGACTCCGATGTGGCGGTGATCCGTTTGAGTCGCCCCTTCGACATCGCTGGTAATGCGAGTCTGGTGAAGATCGACTTTAACGATCTGCCACAACAGGCCAATCTCACGGTCCTGGGATGGGGAGCCATCAACGATCAGGGTCACAACTGGAACCAGTGTCTGCAGGAGGCGTACGTTGAGCTTCTTCCGCAGAAGCAATGCATCAAATCATTGGAATGGGGTAGTCACCAACAAAAAGTCACGAACAATATGTTTTGTGCTCTTGGGGAAAATGCCAAAGATGCCTGTCAAGGAGATTCCGGAGGACCCATTATCCACGCTGGACGCACTGTGGGCATCGTTTCCTGGGGCTACGGTTGTGGCAGTGGGTACCCAGGGGTCTACACACGCCTCAGCAGTCCATCGATTACATACTGGTTAAAGAGCTTCACTGAACGACATTGCTGGTGATGTCTACTTGTAACTTTGAAACTATGAACATTATTTTTTTTTAATTTTAAAATAATTGTTAACTAAAATAATAGGTTCTTAACATTCTCAAGTCGATCCGAAAAATATTCACTAAGATAAAGCTCATAATGCTCAAAAAGAAAAAATTTAAAATTTAAATTCGTTTTTCTAGAATTGGCACCAAAATATTCGTTTTTTGAAAAAAACAAATGTAAACTTTTTTTTATGTCAAACGATTTTTTTTTGTTTTATAAAAAATACATATTTTTTAACGTCTGCTATTAAAGACAAGTTTATAACTAAATTTTTAACTAAATCTACAAAATTTAGTTACAATTTTGATCACTGCACTGTAGAAATGCATTTTAATTTTTAAAATGCATTTAATATATGTACTTTTACAAAATATATTTACAGTTCAGTAGTTTTTGCTAACAAAATTCCTTAAAAAAAAACAATTTTTTTGCTCTGCTCTCTAACCTTTAGCCCAATAATTGGGTTATTAAGGCAGTTATAATATGAAGTGATATTCCAAATAACACTTCTTCCGGAATGCTATACAATTGGACGATCGTGTGTGGTTCAATTTCCGGATGGCAGGTGCCAGCGGCCAGCCAATAACAGCATCATTAACACTTTGCAGGGGAATAGCTTTAGAATCTGTCAGTCTGGACACGCCATGGTTGGTTCGAGGTTGCTCTGGTGGCTCTGCCAGTTGACACTCATAGTTGCCAGCTCGTCCAGCAAAACGCGTATAGTGGGTGGACAAGAAACAACGATAGCACAGGTTCCATACCTGGTCTACCTGCGTCAGAGTGGCTATTTCATCTGCGGTGGATCCCTGATCTCGGCCAGCGTGGTGCTTAGTGCCGCACATTGCGTTTATGGATCTCAGCCAGAGGATTACACCATCCATGCCGGCGCCAGTCGTTTGGATGAGAATGCTCCTGTGGTTCGCAGCGTAACCATGTTTCACATTTCGCCCAGCTACTCTTCCACCAACTTTGACATGGACGTGGCTTTGTTGCAACTGCAGGAGCCTGTTTCCTTGATTACAGGACAAGTGGCCGTCATTAGTCCTTGTCGCCATCCGCCGGAGGGTAATGCCTATGCCAGGATCAGTGGTTGGGGCGTAACCCGCGAGAACAATCGCGATCCCGCCGAGCAAGTCCGTACGACTATGGTGCGGGTTCTTTCGGCTGCAGAGTGCCAAATCTCGTATGCCGCAGTGGCCAAGCTAAGTGATTCCATGCTCTGTGCCGCCGTTCGAGGTTTAAGGGACTCCTGCTCCGGCGATTCCGGAGGTCCTTTGGTCTACCGCGGTCAAGTTTGTGGCATTGTCTCCTGGGGATTCGGCTGTGCCCGTCCAGCGTTTCCAGGTGTTTACACCAGTGTGGCTAGTGGAAGGGTTTATTCCTTTATAGAACAAACACTAAGGAGGATTCAAAACTAACACTGCTGAGCATGAATGATCAATGGCGCCTTTAAATCCCTATCTTTACAACCGCAATAATTACGTTTGTCAAACTTTAACTTCTAATAAAATATCAAATTTAAGTAATTATATTTCTGAATAGCACAAACACTTAAGTTTGGAACAACCTATATTAAGCTATAAAAATTATAATTATAATTATATATATATTTGCTAATAAATATAAAATGTTTATTATAACCTCCCAATAGGTTGAAAAGAATACCTTGCCCAATCGAATTATAATGGCACAATAATCTAAGATAGATATAGATCAATAACCATTTATTCAATAAACTAATTTGTGGAATCTAAAGAACATCAGTCGAACATCAACACAAACAAGTCCAGCAAAAGTATTGAAAACACCAATATAAAGCCCCATTACACAGCAGTTTTTGGTTGGGTTTCAATTTCTCATTCGAAATCACAAATCACAATCCGACGATAAGCCGCACAAAATGGTTTATTAAAATAATTACTATTTGCGCAATGAACTAATATAAGTGTGCATGCTGTGTGTAATGATTGTTGCCTAAAAGGCATATAAATCGGAGCACAGAGCCGCGCGTTGGGAGTAGGAATTGTGATCCGAAAAGGTGTTTGCTCAGGTGGAACTCGTGGATTTGGTGCCGGAAAGGGTTATAGCGAAAAAGGGTTATAGACTACAAGAGGGATGGAGTGAGCTGATGGCGACGCTGTTACTCCTGTGGCTCATGTGGCTCCACCTTATCCCACTTGGCTGGGCGGCCAGCATCGAGGCCAACAGCCGGATTGTGGGCGGTGTGCCAGTGGACATCAGTAGTGTGCCCTATTTGGTGAACCTGCGCATCGGTGGCAACTTTATATGCGGCGGCTCATTGGTCACGCCGCAGCATGTGGTCACTGCCGCCCATTGCGTCAAGGGAGTGGGTGCCTCACGCATCCAGGTGGTGGCCGGAGTCACCCAACTCACGGAAACGGGTGTGAGAAGTGGCGTGGACAAGGTCTACACCCCGAAAGCCTACAATACCCGCACTCTCAGCACAGACGCGGCTGTTTTGAAGCTCAAAACGCCCATCAGTGGGCCCAAAATATCCACCATTGAGCTGTGCAACGCCACCTTTAAGGCCGGTGATCTCATCAAGGTTTCTGGCTGGGGACAGACCACAGAGCGGAATAGGGCCGTTTCTATGCAGGTGCGCAGTGTGGATGTGGCTTTGATTCCACGAAAGACCTGCATGAGCCAGTACAGGCTAAGGGGAACCATCACCAGCACCATGTTCTGTGCCTCGGTGCCCGGCGTCAAGGATTCCTGCGAAGGCGACTCCGGCGGACCGGCCGTCTACCAGGGACAACTCTGTGGCATAGTCTCGTGGGGCGTGGGCTGTGCGCGGAGGAATTCACCAGGGGTCTATACGAATGTCAAGACTGTTAGGGGCTTTATCGATAAGGCCTTGGGCATGTAGGGCCAAAAATATAGAACAATTAAGTTCCTTTAGATATTTCAAAAAACAACTAGAATATGTATAATTTTGAAGTGAAAGAAATATAGCCTATTCATAATACCTATTACTTTTGTAAGATATAAAATGTATTGTTGTTGTTTAAGCATTAGCCAAAAATAAAAAATAATAATTGTAAGTAAAAGAACAATATCATTATTCACAATTCCTATTATATCTTTAAGTTAGAAGTTAATGTCCCTATTTTAAACCACAAAATATTTTTGATACAAAATGCCAAAAACAACTAGAAAATGTATAAGAGTTAAGTGAAATAAATATAGCAGTAAAAATTGCAGTCTTATAAAAAATATAAACAAAATAAGCCTGAAAGGCGGTGCCTTGTTTATAATACCGAATAAATCTTTAAATTCTATAATGTTATATAATGGAATATAAAGGAATATTTTTCAACATACTAAGACATCCCAAAAACATTGGCTTAAACACAACCTCATCTCAAAAATAAAAGCCCTACTTACCACTATTCCTCAGACCCACGGGCACACTGATGTGTACGCCCACATTTTGCAGATAGACATTGTACGGATTGCTGACGGTGGTCACAACCGGATAGTACTCGTTGACCAGCATTCTCGTGGCCACCACGGCCGTCTCCTCATTCGAACCACCGTTCTCAGGTCCATGGCCAAGGTGCGTTTGCGTGTCCAGATGAAAGCTGGAATGGAAAAGCGTGTGGTCAGTGGAGCATTAAATGCACTGCTTGCATGCAACTGTCCGGAAATAAATCCTTGTTTCCGGTACGAATCGCTTTGACCTACGTGGGTGCAATGTAGCAAATGGGGTTGATCGTCACGTTGTCGTCGAGATCGCGACTGCGCGTGTGGTGGCGGAATAGCTGGCGTGAGTAATTGGAGCTGCAGGTGAGCAGGGCGGCCACCTGGTCAGTGCCCATGTGGGCCTCCAAACGGACGATTCGCAGCTGGGTGTTCTCGTGGAACTGCTGCGCTTCGGTGCTGCAAAACAGCTGGTAGTAGGTGTCCGGCTCCAATCTCATGTTCTTTTCAAAGTTCTTAGGCTGCTGCTGCTGCTGCTCCTCCTCCTTTTGGCCACGCAATTGCGTGAGGCTGGGAAAGCAGAAATACTTGAGGGCCTCCAGTTTGTAGCTGTTTTGAGGATTTGCCGCGTCGGCAAGAATGACGTGAAAGTTGCGCACCCTCAATGGAACGTCTGTGAGTACTCTAAAAAGGGAGATTAAAGGTATAAACATTTGCTTTATAAAAGAAGTGTAAAATGCTAACCTCACTATAAGTTGCAACTGCAGTAGGTCATCGTTGTTCAGCTGAACTCGCTCGAATGTGGCGCACATTTCCACCACATCACTGACCTTATCCAAATCAATTTGAATGGGCGACTTCACGCTGGTGAGCGCATTGTTCCACATTGCTTGCGCCTCGGGCGTTAACTGAGTTTTCGGCATGGGCGGCACACCCTGGAACACCTGCCACAGGTTCTCCAGCAGCAGTAGCCGCTCCGACTGCTCGCCATGATGACGCAGGGAAAGCGCTTCCACGCTGCAGGCAATGTAGTCAGCCACTGATGCCGAGAGCAAAGCACAACGCAGAGTCTTGAGCAGGACATCGGTGAATATCGTTGACCATTTCTCTTGGCGATAATCAGGCAGCATTAGCGAATATAAACTTGAATAAAAAACAAAGATTAAATTAGTAACGTTTTGATTCCAGATACAAGTGATTTACCAAAAGCAAAGTAAAAAAACTCACGTTAAGGCCTTGGCATGATCTCCACTCTTCAGGTACTCCTCGGCCATGTCGATGGCTAGTTTCTTGCGAAACCTGAGGCACTTGTAGATTTTGAACTGAGCCATGGCCTGGCTGAGCAGGGCTATGATTCCCGCCGAGTGGTTAAAACCTCTCTCCTGGTCACAAAGGTGCAAATTGGCCTGCTGCTCGGCCACCAGATCGCCCGTTTTGACCGCCCGTATGCCGAAGAATTCCGTATACAGAGACAGGGGATTCTGATTTGTCACGGGAGTTCCCTCGGCAGAGGATTGCATGGCAGCATAGGCCTCCTGTGCGGAATCACGCCGCTTCATCACATACTCCGCTGCCTTGTGGTAATAGATCCCGGGATGTTGCGTCTGCAGGGCTGGCAGTCCGTTCTTGATGGCCTCGCAAAACAGCTCAGCAAAAACAGAGTGTCTACGAGAAAATATTATAGTGTTAACTATTATATTATTTGTATAGTTTAGCTTGTAAACATTACTGCGTGCTTAGCCAGGCATGATGCTCAAATGCCAGATCCTTGAAACCCACTCGCAACTTGTACTTTTCCACATGGATGATGAACTGGTTGATGGCATCCCTTGGAGTCTTTAGCTTAAACATGAGCCGACAGATTTTGTAGTTCAAGAACCCGGCCAGTGTTTTAATCTCCAGACAATTGCCATCATTGATGCGAATCTCATCTAAATTGGCATAGGCCTGAAAATAGTGTCTGTGGAAGAGTAAGGGGTAAGTAAATGCATTTTGGAAAACAAATTAAAGACCTACTTCTGACCCGTGCTAAAGTCCTGACGCATCTCCGCCACAAATCCCAGTTTGAACTGATGACGAATTTTGAGTGAGGTGTGCGCCGCCGTCAACTGATCCCGATGATTGCGTATCCTCTTGGACATGAGGGCATAGTAGGACTGGGCCATGTCCAGAAAGGCGGACTCCAGTCGCAGAGCGTAGCCCGTGAGGTGTTCCGTGTGGGGTAGGATGAACAGCATTTTGCTGGTTATTCCGCAGGCATTGGTCAAACTGGCAGCTCGCTCTGCGGCCAGAAGATCTTCTCCTGGTGGCAATGGAGCTGCTTTTTGTAGAAGGACCAAACAAAGCCGGGTATTCCGCTCTTGCAGGGCATTCTTTAGGGCCTGCACAATGGATGCACACTGCACCTGCTTCTCCGTCCACTGGAGGTCATTCCACTCCATGTCCTGGAACAGCACCACCACCGAGGGCAGGACGTGCAGGTGCTTCAACATCCAGTTGCGCTTGAGTATGCCCTTGGGGTGATACCATTCGTAGGAGGCCCGCTTGGGCTTGGCCACCGGGAATTCGTAGTTGGGGGGCAGTAGCTTGTACTGCACGGCAGCCCTGTCAGCCGCCTTGCGCTGCAGACTCCCACTGAACGCCTCCCAAACGGCCTTGTGCACCGCCACCCGTGAAGTGTCCAGCCCACAGAAGCCAACCAGTGGCTGTGGGGTCACGAGCAGCTCCGACGGCAGGGCGGTTGAGTCCATCGTTCCGGCCGCTCCTACTCCTGATTTGGATGAGATCACTGCGTCACCAACGGCCACTCCTCTCCTGCACTGCAATTGATGATCTTCTCCAGCTACGTTGTCCTCGGGTCGGTCTCAGTGTGACCGTGCGCGGGTCATTGGATTAAACCATAAGTGTGACCGCGCGTTACTAACATAGCTAAAATGTTAAATAAATAGGATGGATAAAAAAACTAAGGAAAAACCTAAGAAACTAGTTTAAAACAATTAGGGAACAAAAAATGGTCCCAGCAAAACAAAGAATGTCAAGTTCAATTTAAAAAATGTACATAATGTGTCTCTAACATGACATTCTTAAATATATCACGTAGGTACAGAAATTCATTCATTAATTACAGAAATAGTAAGAAAAAAATATTAAAGCAAGTTAAACAAAAAATATATCACTAATCTGTTTCTAATAAGCCATGATTTTATAAGCCCTAATTCCAATAAATATTTTTAAAAGGTTTTTGTGATCATGGAATAATTATATACCTGGAATAATTATATACCTATTTAGTCTTGAAACAAAGATGATTATTTCAAATTAATTTAAACTGCTACAAATTTAATTCAAGTAATTGGGAATTGTTTAGCTGTCAAAAATAAAATAAATAATAAATAATTTGTATAGGTTTTTTTTTGTCTGATATAAGATGATTTATTAAATCAAATAACATCCAAATATTTCTGGTTTGAAAATTTGTGTGTTTTACTACAAATAATATGAAGGGTAAATATTTTAAAAACAAAAAATAAATATTTTGAATTACATGTATATCCATGAAAATAGCTTAATTTGGAGTGACTTGCAGCCCCTGGCAGCCATCAATTAAACAATCGAGTATAATAAACTAATCGATAAAAATAAACGAGGGCTACAAAAGCAGTATACGTGTCGTGTCGTCGCTTTCTCATTCGTTTTGTTATTTTTGGGCTGAAAGGTACGAGTGTTTTGCTGGGCAAATATTAAACCACAGCCCGTGCCAAATAAAGTGATCAATTGCACGCAAGCTGCAGTGTCCGATACAATTGGCATTTCCAATTAACAATAAATGTCTTTCTACCTTTCAGTACGTCGTTGTGCTTTACATAAAACATAAAAAATATGGCTCCACCACAGAGAATGCGCGTCGCCAACGAGAAGGCCAGCAAATATGTGACAATGCGTGGCAATGTACCCAAATCCTCGGTAAGTTTTCGGTTAAATATGATAGTTAGAAGTATTAACAAAAAGGTAAAGTGGAGATAAGGGTAAAACTAATACCGGAATATGCCGATAATCAATTGCAAAAAGTGCCACGCCGTCATTGATTTTATTATTGCTGTGTGAGGAAGCTGTTATGTGTGAGTGTGTGTGTGTGTTATCGGCACTTCTGGAAGTTGATTACACGTTTCCACTAATTCCTATCTCTAAATGCAATATACTCACCAAATCAAGTCACAAGTCAATACTAATCTCCTTTATTCTTACTTTTTATAGAAAACGAAAGAAGGCCAATATCCCGTGGGACCCTGGCTCCTGGCACTTTTCATCTTTGTGGTCTGCGGCTCTGCCATTTTCCAGATCATTCAGTCGATACGTGCCGCGTAAGGAAAAGCTACTCCCGTATATAACAACACCCACAAAAGAGCAGCCGCGCATCTGGAGGAAGATAATAGACCTTTCCGGAACCACCTCCACTTGCTACTTCTATAACCTTTCCTAGCTGAATAGAGATCCCGGCAACATGTGCAACCAGGGGATGACCCCCCCTCCAGTTCGATTTGTGTCTGCAATATCTATACTTCTATAAAACACATACAAAATTTAAGTCCATTTAACGCATTTTGCATTAATTAGTTTAACTGTAAGCTCTGCAATGTGCATTCCTGCAATTCTCTCCTAAAACACTCAAGCAACAAAATAACTGAATGATCATTTGAGATCATTTTATAGGCGATTAATGCATTTTTAAGATGCTTCTCGATATGCAGTTTTAAATAGTGCAAAATGTTAAAGCGTTGTTTTCTAATGCAAAGACGAGTAGAGAAGAAACTATGAGTACATAACAATGAAGAATATATGATAATTTTTTTACCTAATCAAATTTGGTTTTATTCATATATGGGGAAATTTAAATTTTACTAATGCAGGTTAAATATATATCAAAAAGATACATTTAAGTGGGTGCTCCAACATGTTAACAAAAATTATTTAAGCATTGATGTAAATTAATAGATAGCTTAACCGCCCAACAGTTTACCATTTAAAAATCGGGTATCAAATGGTGAAGTTGTGAGGCCACAATAAAAAGTCGAGCTTTTTTTTAAGAAGATCTAAAGAAGGAAATTAATTTACCAAAGAAGTATCTACGAAAATTTTTAAATATTTTTCAAAAATAAACTCCCGTTATTTTATACAATACTGGTTTTCTAACGCACGAAAATCGCCCATCACTATGTTCTTTTCCATCTCTGGATTGACCACTGAAACAGCTGATTGACGCCAACAAACAACGCGAAATAGCTAAAATTCTCATTAAAATGCATTTAAATTTAAAAATTAAATAGACTAATCAAAAATAAGTTGATGCGCCGCTTGTTTACATCGTTCAACGCCCAAATAATGTCGAAAAACAAAGGAAAATCAAAGGCCACTGCTGAAAGTGCCAAAACCGATGCACAATCCACGCCGGCTAAAGAAATCAGTCCGATTTCCGTGGACAAAGGCGGGAATATATGCATCCAAATCCTGGCAAAGCCGGGAGCCAAGCAGAATGGAATCACTGGGATTGGGATGGAGGGCGTGGGCGTCCAAATAGCAGCTCCTCCAAGCGAGGGAGAAGCCAACGCAGAACTGGTCAAGTTCCTCTCCAAAGTTCTTGGTGTCCGAAAGAGCGATGTATCCCTGGACAAGGGATCTCGATCCCGCAACAAGATAATACTGATCAGCAAGGGAGTGTCCACTGTGGAAGTCATTGAGCAGCTGCTTCGAAAAGAATCCGAATCATGAAGGTCACACTTCTCCCAATAAATACCCATCCACAATTTGATTTTAAAACAATCATGACTGTTTTTGTTTTTTACTAAGTGTAAGCGGGAATAAATTATATCTTGTATATAATCATGATGACACAATTATCATAGCCATATTCATGGACCACCAGTAAGTCGGTGGTAAAATTTTAATATAAGCCGCTTTGCTAATCATCTTATTTATAAACCCCTTTATTGTTTTCCCCCAATAAATACCCACTCAGAATTTGATTTTTAAAACACATTTGCTTGTTTATTTGGTTGGTTGTTTTTTTTTATGTTTATCATCGATCTGGTCATCAAACCTTAATTATACATTTACTCCATTCTTTATATGGCTATACCAACTAGAGCGCGTATGTAGTCTATAGTTTTTATACATAAATTACTTGGATTCTAAATTAGAAGTTCTTAAAACGACAACTGCTTTTGAATGTTTGTTTTTGCGGGAACCTAGCCATTTAACGAGTTATTCTCTTGTTTCTTTAGGATGAGAGATAAGCGTATGTTTTGTCGCATACAACGCGGCAAAATGTTAATGGGATATACAAAATTTAACTCGGCGGTAGTAAACTAAGTACAAAAGTTCGAAACGCAAGTAAATTGTGTATGTGAATGCGAGTGACTGGATGAATTTTGGTTGGGGGTGTAGGCATTGATCGATCAATGGCTTAATCGACCTCCTCCATGTGGGAAGCGTCCTCGGTGTCCTCAACCAGCGAGGGGGCATCTCCGGCGCTCTGGGCATCCTCGGTGGTCATCGGCTCGTCCTCGTCGATGCCCAGGCCCAGCTTGATCATGCGGTAGATGCGGCTGGCATGCACCTGAGGGCTGTCCAGCGAGAATCCGGAGGAGAGCAGCGAGGTCTCGAACAGCAGGATGACCAGATCCTTGACGGCCTTATCGTTCTTGTCGGCATCGGCCTTCTGGCGCAGGGTCTCCACAATCGGGTGATCCGGGTTGATCTCCAGCTGCTTCTTGCCGGCCATGTAGCCCATGGTGGCGGTATCGCGAAGAGCCTGGGCCTTCATGATACGCTCCATGTTGGCGGACCAGCCGAACTGCGAGGTGACAATGCAGCAGGGCGAGTCGACCAGGCGGTTGGACACCACCACCTTCTCGACCTTGTTGTCCAGAATGGACTTCATCAGCTTGCACAGGCCCTCGAACTTGGCCTTGTCCTCCTCGCGCTTCTGCTTCTCGGTCTCATCCTCGGGCAGCTCCAGACCCTCCTTGGTGACGGACACCAGCTGCTTGCCCTTATACTCCTTCAAGTGCTGAATGACGTACTCATCAATGGGCTCGGTCATGTAGACCACCTCAAAGCCGCGCACCTTGACGCGCTCCACGAAGGCAGAGTTGCTGACCTGGTCCTTGGACTCGCCGGTGATGAAGTAGATGTGCTTCTGGTTCTCCTTCATGCGCGACACGTAGTCCGACAGGGAGCAGAAGTCATCCCCGGAGGCGGAGGTGTGGAAGCGCAGGAAGTCGGCCAGCTTGGCACGGTTGTTGCTGTCCTCGTGCACGCCCAACTTGAGGTTCTTGCTGAACTGGTCGTAGAACTTCTTGTAGTTCTCCTTGTCCTCGGTGAGCTCCTCGATCAGCTCCATGGTCTTCTTGACCAGGTTCTTGCGGATCACCTTCAGCACCTTGTTCTGCTGCAACATCTCACGCGAGATGTTAAGGGGCAGATCCTCGGAGTCGACCACACCCTTGATGAAGTTCAAGTACTCGGGGATGAGGTCCTCGCAGTTGTCCATGATGAAGACACGACGCACGTACAGCTTGATGTTGTTGCGCTTTTTCTGGTTCTCGAAGAGGTCGAAGGGCGTGCGTCGGGGAATGAAGAGCAGGGCACGGAACTCCAGCTGTCCCTCCACGGAGAAGTGCTTGACGGCCAGATGATCCTCCCAGTCGTTGGTCAGGGACTTGTAGAACTCGCCGTACTCCTCCTGGGAGATATCATCGGGGTTGCGTGTCCAGATGGGCTTGGTCTTGTTCAGCTCCTCATCCTCGGTGTACTTCTCCTTGATGGTCTTCTTCTTCTTGGCATCCTTGTCCTTCTTGTCGGCATCCTCATCCTCGCCAACATCCTCGATCTTGGGCTCATCGGTGTCCATCTCCTTCTTCTCCTCATCGCCCTCCTTCTTCTCGTCATCGGCCTCATCGTCGCTGATTTCCTTCTCGCGCTCCTTCTCCACCAGCAACTTGATGGGATAGCCGATGAACTGCGAGTGCTTGTTCACGATCTCCTTGATCTTGCTCTCCTCCAGATAGTCGGTCTGGTCCTCCTTGATGTACAGCACGATCTTGGTGCCGCGGCCCAGGGGCTCAGAATCGTCGGCACGGACGGTAAAGGAACCACCGGCGGAAGACTCCCACACATACTGCTCATCATCGTTGTTCTTGGAGGTGACAGTCACCTTATCGGCCACCAGGTAGGCGGAGTAGAAACCCACACCGAACTGACCAATCATGGAAATATCGGCACCAGCCTGCAGAGCCTCCATGAAGGCCTTGGTTCCCGACTTGGCAATGGTGCCCAAGTTGTTGACCAAATCCGACTTGGTCATGCCAATACCGGTATCGATGATGGTCAATGTGCCGGCCGTCTTGTTCGGGATCAGCTTGATGTACAGCTCCTTGCCGGAGTCCAGCTTGCTGGGATCGGTCAAAGACTCATAGCGGATCTTGTCCAGAGCATCCGATGCGTTCGAGATCAACTCGCGCAGGAAGATCTCCTTGTTCGAGTAGAATGTGTTGATGATCAGCGACATCAGCTGAGCGATCTCAGCCTGGAAGGCGAAGGTCTCTGTTTCTTCCGGCATCTGAAAGGGATTTGGATTAGGGGTGGATTAGTTATTGTTGTTTTCGTTGGTGGGTGGAAGATAATGGAAATGGAAATGCAGCTGCATTTCCAGCAGCTGCTTTTTGGTTGCTCTCTTTTGCCCTCTTGTTCTTGCTCCTTTTGCACCACCACATGGCTTATTTAACATGCGCATACACAAACACAGAGGGGGTCAAAATAATAGCACTTTAGTTGTTATGGAATAGTAATTTAAAACTAAATATTGACTAAATTGTTGTTTTATTTAATTTTTATGGTTTTATCAAAGGAATACTTTTGTGTTCAATGAATTTGGATGCCTTATAGACGAGTCTGAAAATATTTATTATTTATTTTCAGTAAGTAAAAAATGGGTTTTCACTAGAATTTAGCTTCTAGAACTTAACCATTTAATTTTTTTTAACGAACTTTTCTCTTTATCATTATAATTATTTCATAGGACACACAATTTGTTTTCAATGAGTAACGTGAACGTTCAATAGGTTTTCGGTTTCTGGAATGTTCGCTGCTATTGTTTCTACCCCGGTTGTACATATATACACGTGTATGCTATGGATGTGTGAGCATTGCACATTGAAAGTTCGTACATAACCACAAGTTTGCAATTAAAAAGTCTAGAAAACTGATAAAAACTAATCTCCCTGGCAACAGTTATTAAATCTAAACAACTGAATTATTAAATAAGATGTTAATTAAGAATGTCAATGACTGACGCCAAAATTTTATTTCAATGTATTGCTCATTCGCGTGTATGTGTGTATTGTTTAAAAATATGAGTAAAATGCAAATGCAAAAGAAAGCACGTGTAGGGGTTAATTAAGAAAAGTATTTTATAATTAATCAGCCTATTTTAAATACTGTTTAATTCATTATCTGGGAAAAAACAATGTACGTTCTAGAACATTCGCTAGCAAAAAAAAACCGGCGTTTTTCATTAACTGTCTGTACGGTGAATCACCATTAAAAGAGCGGTAAAAATCATTTAAACAATGAAAGCCTATGTATTTAATTAATAATGCAAACATCTTGCATCACTTGGTTTCTAGAACTATAAAATCGATTTTTTGCATTTGGGTCAAGAACATTCGAGATGCACAAATTCACCTCTTTGCCATTTTACAATGATACAATATATTATTAACTTATTTTTCGGGTTTACTCACCTTGTTTGTATGTTATTCGTTCTATTCACAGAATAAAGGTAAAATAAAATTTCACTTTGCTTTGTGCAGAATAAGAAATTCACAAAACTTTTTCAGACGCTGTCGTGTAGACACACACCGCACGAAATTTTTTCAAGACTCGAACCGGCATACGACGCGCCGCTGCTTTTATAGAGAAATCCGCCCCAGCACCGAAAATTCTAGACGCTTCTAGAGATTTCCAGACGCCAGGGATACAATTTCCGGTTGCTAAAATACTCGCGCTTGTGCGTTTAGTGTTGTAAGCCTCACGAAAAGTGCGCAACCTGTGCGGTCGAATTTAAAAATTATACTGACTGGTTGTTTGCTTGAGACTCGTCTGGATAGAAGGAATGTTTAAGCACAGTCTACTTGGATTGGTTATTATTGATATTATTTTAACTATTACGCCCATAATAATCTAGGCTGTTATGTTTGAAGCTAAAATGGGTAATTGAAAAAAATATGATTTAACTGATTCTCGTAAACAATGCTTGTATATGTTTTATAATACATTATATAAAATATTTATTTAAAGATATAAGCTTTAGTCCATGTATCGGTATCCAACGCAAATGCAATATATATTAGAATTAATTGACAATAACAATTAAATAATATAAAAAAAAAGGTTTAAACCATAAAAGCCTACTAGGTTTTGTTATTTAAAACAAAATGAATAAAAATAGATTTTTTTTAATACGACTAAAACGGTTTTTACTTGTGGCAAATGTAAAAAACAATAAGAATATAATTTAAAATATTTTTTTGTCTTTTATATATTAAAATCGATTGATAATTGTATTTCAGTTTATCTAAAAATCCCGCCAAATCGATAAGTCCTATCGATAACAACAGCTGACTTCAACTTTGCCACCACTATAATATAAAATATTTGTGGATTTGTTTATGTTTAAACTATGGGCGGCACTAAATGCTGTTTTCGCGATTGTCCAATAAGTTCAAGCCGCAATCCCAGCATGCACTTCTTTAAGTTCCCGGCCAAAGACCCAAAAAGATTAAAAGACTGGGTGAGATATTGTGGAAACAAAGATGTTGCAAATGCATCAGTGGTCAAATTGGCAGGGAAAACTGTCTGTGCCCGGCATTTCCGTGCCGAATCCTTCATGAACTACAAAATGGATAGACTCATTCCCATGCAGACGCCCACTTTGCTCCGGATCAACCGGGATCTGGCCCTGGACTTTGAGAATCTCGACCAGAACGGGGAGGCGCTCCTGGTCAAGCTGACGCCTCCAACGCAGCTCCATCTTATACCACCCAAGGATTTCGAATGTCCCCTGGGCTTCGTGGATGGTGATGGGGATACCCAGAATGTGGAGGTCATTAGGAAAAGTACTAGGACTAGCACATACGTGGATCAGAGGATTGAGCAAGAAATGAAGGAGATCATTGACGAGGTAATCAAGGAAGCACCAGAAAAACAGACTGCCATCGAGAAGATTACAAATGAGGAAAAGGAAGAGCCACCAGTGGTGTTCGACTTTCCTGGAATAGAAATTTTGGAGGAGACGGAGGCGGAGGAGGAGCAGGAGCAGGAATCAATCGCAACCACTAGTACTTCGGTTCTGCCCCAAAACATTCTGGATATTATCAATCAACTGCAGCCCTCATTGGGCATCAAATTAATTAAAAGGCCTGAGGAGATTCAAAACATTAGTGAGATAAACATGCCATTCAATGAAACAACAAAAGCGCAGAATGAAGATTTAACTAAAAAGCACACAAAGTCCAAGGAAGAAGAGAGAAAACCCAAACCAACAAGCACATTTCGGGATGTTATCAATAAGCCAAAGGGGTCCGACCAATCCCAAAAGAAGCTTGTTCAAATAAGATACGTGGAGATGACTAGAAAGAAAGATACGATTCGTGAGATGCACGATAAGGAATTACTTAAAAATGAAGACCAATCTTCCAAAGAACAGGCCAAGAAAAGAAAGCTATCTGAAGACACACAAAACATGACTGAAAACCATACAAAAACAGGCAATGTTTTGGAAGTTAATCCAATAATCAAGAGTAAACAGAAGGTTCTAGAGAAGTCCAGAAATTCGAACCCCTGCAAACCAAATCCTAGCCAAGAAAGGCAGTCTTCTCCAAGTTTCTTAAACCTGGAAGATACTATGGAAGTAAGTAGTGAAAGTGAGGGGGAAGTTGCCTCCGTTGAAAAACCATCCTCCTCCGAAGAAGTCCTCCATGAAAAGCTTCTTCAGGATTACAACAAACTGCAGGCCGAGTATGAAAAGATTTCAGAGGAGAATGCCGAACTCAAACGACTGCAGACGAAAGTGCCAAAGCCTCTTGCTCCCATTAAGTCCGCCACCAACTCATTGACCAAACCACAGCTTTATATAGCCATCAAGAAGTACCTGGGACCCACGATGGCTGCCCTGCTGCGCATGGAAATGTTTGGGGGATCCGAGGAGCGCACCTGGAAGGATGATGAGCGGGAGTTTGCCATGGAGCTGCTGCAACTGGGCGATGAGGTCTACAAGTACTGCTGCGACGAGTGGCGCTTCCGGTTGCCCTCGCTACGGATTGCACGCTCCTGGCTGGAGCAAAGACAAACGGAAGATGTTGACGAGTTCCTCGATTTATAGCCGTAAACTGGAGTTAGTAATTTAATTTAATATATACATTTTAAGGAATTACCTAGGGTATATAATTGTGTTTTAGGTATTTTACTTTTGTTAAGTATAACCTTAAGGCTTTTTTAAATTTTTCATTTCGATTATGACATTTAAACTCATTTTAAAATTTAAAATTTGCCCATTATTAACAGCTTAGAAATATTGACAGATAAAAGTTTTAGGCAAAATATTTTATTTAACTTGTTTTAAAAATAAATTTTAGCTTTTTTTACAACTTCCTGGCTACTTTGCTTGCAGGTATTTAATCTAGAAATTACCAATGAAATGTACAGTTGCCGTCAAAATAACAGTATTGTTTATAATTTCCATTGAGTTGTATGCATGTTCAAAAGTTCGGTTGCTAGTTTAAGTGGCAAATGATGGAATCATCGGTAGCCTTGGTCACGCAGATCTCCTGGGTGGAAGCGTCGCAAAAGTAACCATCTGGACAGCTTCCCGTCACATTTGTGGGTGTGGTGGCGCCAAAGCAGAAAGCGAATGTGGAGCGCGAGGTGCAGGCGAAGGTGTAGTTTGGAGCACACTGGCCACAGCTGTCCGTATCGCCACAACTGGCCGGAGTCTCGCTTCGCTGGAAGCAGATCACGGGCTGATCCGTGCACACCAGGCCATCGGTGCAGATGAAGGTCTGATTGGTGTTCGGCTCAGTGCCTCCGAAGCACAGGTTATATGCCGTCTGGTTGATGCAGGAGGCTCCGTTCGACTGGCACACATTACAGTCCGCCTGTATCCAAACGATATGCAAGGCTACCAGGAGAAACTGAAAATATTTTTGGTTTTATTATGACTTGGTTTTTTATTATTATTCATTAGCTCTTTTTTATAACTTTTAAATTATGAAAACTAGTTTTCAGATATATATATATTTTTGAAAAACAATTTTCTTGAGTTATATTAAAACATTGGCAGATGTATTAATTGGTGAGCAATTAATAAAGCAGATTCTCTTAAATATTTTCTAAGTTAAATTTTAAAATTATTTTTGAATTGCTTTAATTGTTCGGTTATCCAATTATCACAATTTTAATTATCACCTTTACTCTTTACGCAATATTTTTTATGGCTATTATTTTTATTTAACACTTTAATTTCAACACTAACTATTACAATTTTATAATTGCACAGAAATAAAATATTTCTTACATTTTTGTTTGTTTTTAAAATAGTTTATTGGTTTGTGTTTTATTAAGAAACTTTGATAGATTTTTAAATACTAAGTTGTCTTTAATATTTTAATTTTAATGTAGAACAAAATATCGAGGATTGTTTAACCTACCAGAACCAACACTTTGAACATCTTGCCAACTTTACGGATATTCTGCGAATGATCAGAACCCTAGAGCTTAGTCTTATTTGTACACTTTAGCAGCGGTGCCGAATTTGTTTTATATCGCATCGTAAAATTTCGGAGCCTTGGGTCTTAAGAATGGCTAGTTATCTTTTTATGGGCGCTAAACACACGCTAACTGAGGGTTGGCAACGGCTTAAGCGACTATAAAGAGATTTGGCACCACTTTGGCCAGCCATCACAAGTAGGTTGCTCTTCCCGGCAAACAGACAAAATATGCTCCTCGCGAATTTAACTCAGAAGGTTAGTCAATAGGGAATAGTAACTATTGCAGTGAAAGTGACCCAGTTCCACTGGTTATTTTCAGCTTTTGCTGATAGTCTGGATTTCGAAAAGGGTTCTTGGACAATCCGTTTGCTCCGATTGTTCCTTAACAAGTTTACAATACGCCTGTGTCAATGAAACCGCCTACGGTTTTTGCTTTGGCCAAGCAGTTGTGGATGAAAGTAGGGTGAAAAATTGCCGGGATGGATATTATTGCGTCCTGCAGGGATTCTGTGCAGCCATGGATTCAGCGGAGGTGAGTAGTGTACTTGGCCCTATGATGTTTTGCCAAATTTCACACATATTTTCCCACAGCCGGCTTGTGTTCCAGATATCTCGACGACCACAACGGATATAGTGACAGGTTGGTAAATATAACACTTTTGGGTTTGCTTTATATGGGTTTATTGCCCTGCGGTTTTGTTTATCTTGTATTTTAAACTTGAGAAGATTCGACAACCGATGCGAGTACTCTGGAAACCACAGAGTTTGGAAACTACTACAGTGACCACAGAATCTACTCTGACCACGAATTCAGATACTACCGAAATGACAACAGAGTCTAGTACTCTGGAAGAATCTAGTACCTCTGTAATCACTACGGAATCGAGTACAGATTCTACAACTTCGGAAATCACAACTCAGGAGACGTGTACCACAGAAACCTCAACACTGATTACAGATTAAACTATTTATAATTTATTCACAGATTCGACTTCTACATCCCCTGTTTCCACGGATTCTACAACTATTGCGTTTTCCACCGATTCGAGTACAGAATCTTCAACTCCTGCTTTTACCACAGAATTTTTGACAGATTCAACTACTTCTGATTTAACCACAGATTCGAGTACAATGGAAACTTCAGATTCTACAACCCTCATTACCACTGATTCTACCACCCCTGTATTTACAACGGATTCAAGTACTCAGGAAAGCACAGAGTCTACAGTTACTGAGACCTCAACACCATTGATTACTACTACCCCAGTAATTACTACAGAATCAAGTACAGATTATACCACATCTGATAGTACAACAGATTCAAGTACTTCTGCTAATACAACAGATTCCAGTACTCTACCCACAACATTTGAACCTACTAGTACAAGTACATTAAGTACCACTACCATTTCATCGGAAGTAGATCCAAACGTCTATTGTGCAAAGTTAAGGCGCAAGGGAAACTATCGAGTTGAAACAGATACAACGTGTCAAATGCAAGTATATTTATTATATTCTATGCGAAATAATCTAATAAGATTGAATTTGTAGGTATGTCTTCTGCTTTAAGCTGGGCCAAGATTACCTTGGTTGGCTATATTATTGTGAGGCGAACCAATACTACAATTCAGATACAGAGGCCTGTCAGACCGTACGACCAAGCAATTGCTAATTTCTGATAATAAACGAATAAAAATAAAAGAAAAAGCTAAAAGTATTACTAATACAATCATACTAGATATTGGTGACCCCGATTTCCTAGTTTTCTTTGGGTATTTATTTATTTACTATTTTAAACTGTTAATTGCTTATTGACATGTGATAAAATTGTTGATTTTAGCTGGAAAATGGGTTACAAAAAAAAATAGATTACTCACTTCGTTTCACTTTTATCTATAAGAAAAGGGTTTGGTGACCCCTATTCCCTACTTTGTGAAATGCTTATGTACTTTAACTCGGTGAAATGCTTACGTGCTTTATGTTTTAAAATATTTGGAATGTTGTTTAATTATCTATTAATTGATAGTTAAAAGTGTTGCTTTTAAAAGAAAAATTTTCTTAAGTTCATTCTGTTTCTCATAACAAAAAACCCCCTGAAAAGGAAGTGTTTGATAAACTAAATTGAAAAATTTGCAATTTCATTTTAATGGTATACAATTTTATAATAATTGAAAGTAAATTTTAATTTTTGTATTATAATTTGTATTTTCTTTTATAATTATTAATAGTATAAAATATTATAATAATTTAAGTTACAAAATTTGTGAAGTCTATTACACGATGAGTATTATTATTTTCCCGTGCACAAGTCAACCATTTATTTTAAGGTTTCTAGAAATTATTCGCAACCTTCAGGTTTATTGATACTGCACAATTTAAATTCGGCATTGAAGAATTGATTGCTCTTGCAGCTTTTAATTAGCGCTCTTGTAGATCCACCAGCTATATAACAATACACGTAACTGCAAGTAAGATTCCATTTGAGTAATTTTGTTACCTGTGCTATCTAAAAACCAGTGCTTACGTGGCGCATGTGGCATCGTTTTTGTTTTCGATCATAACCGATCTGTCCACTTCTCGACAAGCCCTCTCCGCACTCCAAGGTTCCGTATTCGGGTAATTTAAATTGGGAGCTGGCACAGCAACCAGGCAATGTACCAGGAGCTATTTAATTTGAGTAATATTAACCAGAGATAATCGGGATATCCTTGCATATCTACCAGTGATAAAATAAGACTCGTCCACATTGTCGGTTTAACCTTGCTTCACTTTCCACACTGAAACCTTGAAGAAACCGAGGGGCCTTTAAATACCGGGAGGACTTAATCTTCAGCATCGTTTATCTCCGTATTTAGTGTTTATTGCGTAGGTTTACTCAACTGTTTTGTTGGCAATAAATGTACATATGTATGCATTTTGTTGACAGGCTTTTCAGATATGCGCAAATTTCCGTGTAAATAATGAGTGTTACCAAGAACAATAATCCGTTTTTTTAATATTATTTAATTTATTTGCTTTTAAAGATATAAGTTTGTTGATGTTAGTTTTAAATTCTATGTGCATTTTAAATACAATAATAGGATTTAGGGGTGGCGCAGTTCTTTTTAAATATATAAAAGAGAACATTATTTAATTAAACGACACTTTAACTTGTCTACAACTTTTCTTGGTTTCGGTAGATAGAGGAGCCACAAAATTTTAATTAGATTATTAAAATATATCCTCCATTTTAATTCCAAAAAGCCATTTGATACAATAAAATGTTACCAAAAACTACATATAATAATACAAATTTAAATGCAATATGTTATTTTAGTTAAAATTATCTGTTTTTTTCACGAAAAGCTCCGTATCAGCCACCTAATCAATTGAAACATATTTGGCCTATTAAAAACATTAACCACCCATAAAGTTCTTATCTTCGCAATTTGTGAAAATGCTATCAAGATTACTACTCTCTTATTGACATCATTTAATAAGAACAAGCAAAACAATTGGATTCTTAGAATTGAAAAAATTAGATACAATCATCAGGTTTGGTGGGGCTGCAGACCTTTGAAATGGAGTCATAATACTCGTTTGCCCTGCAATTCTTTATCATCGCAGTGGCTGATCCTTTAGTTACATAACAATAAACAAAGCTGAAAGGATGTTCGATGTTAGTTCGTTTTTGAGACTAAATCCAATTTAAATTAATTACCTGATGCAGGTGGGATCATTTTTATTTCGCATTGGGGTGGACTGTATAACATCTTGGCAGCTTTCTTCGTTTGTTTCAGTGGTTGTCTTCTTTACTGGTGGTTCTGTTGGCTCTATTTCCCCTCCAGAACATTCGTTCGGAACTTTGGAACTGCAGATCTGTGTGGTCGAATCAAAATATTCGTTTGGCTTGCAATTCTTAATCAACGGAGTAGCTGATCCACTGGATACATAACAATAAAGAAAGCTAAAAGAGTCGTTGGTTTTATTTAGTTTCTAGAACTGGTCATTTTATTAATTTAACATACCTGCTACAGGTTGGATCATCCTGGTTTTTAAGTGAAGTGGATTTTGTAACTTCACTGCATGCCTTTTCCACACTCCAAGTTTCATCTGATTTCCGTGCTGGCAAAGCCAAAAGACATTGAGCCAGCAACTATATTTAGGGCTGTTTAAATAGTGTTTTAGGACAACATCCTTTTAATTTCTTACCAGCGAAAAAATAAGTTGTAGCCACATGATCAATTGAATACTGCTGCCTTTTGGTTACTGAAGGTATGTGGGACATATGAGATTCTTAAATAGCAACAGGCTTATCCTAAAAAAAAGCTTATAAATTGGTTGTTGGTATGGTTTGTTTTTATTGGTAATAATAAATTTGATAATTTATGTTCTTAAAAATTAGGTGCAATAATCAGGCTTTTCGGCATCACATTCTTTTATAGTGTCATTAAAATATTCGTTCGGTTTGCAATTTCTTATTAAAGCCTTAGCTGATCCATTTAAAACATAACAATATAGAAACCTAAAATAGTAATCGGTGTTAGCCATATTTTGGGATCCAAATTCGGGTGTGTGTTCACTTACGTGTTGCAGGTGGGATCGTCTTGGTTTATAAACGAAGTGGATTTCGTAACAGTCAAGCAGGTGGCCTCGGCACTCCAGGGTTCTGCTGTGGTTGTGGTCACTGTTGTTTTTGCAGTGGTTGTGGGTGCCGCCGTCGTTGTCACCTCCACACATCCATCCGGTTTTGTGCTTGTACACACACGCAAGCTTGTACTAAAATACTGATTTGCCGGACACGAAGCCACTTTCGTAGAATGGCTTCCATCGGAAACTGTACATCTTATAAAACTGAAAAATATAGTCAAAGTTAATGCAAATATAAAGCCGCAGACTATTGGGTACCCTTTACACTCAGCTAACAACTTTTGAATGAAATATTCCCAAAAACAAAAATATTGGGTGAGATCGCGCCATCTGCCGGACTGCATTGTCGTCACTACAGGCTAACAGTTCTTTTCGCTCTCTTCCGCTCTCTCAAATATATTAACTCGTTTTTTAAGTCACTAAAACTTAATTTTTCCATAACTTCTAAAATAGTGATACGATTTAAAAAATAATTGATGTGTTAATAGATATTGAACGATTAAATATATACTGCCCAATAACTGGCCTGCAACAAGTCTCGGAGTGAAATGACAGAGTTTTGCGATTTGTGGACGTGGCACGCTTTTAAAATAAACTTGTCGAACTACTACTTGTCTACTATTGATCCTGAACGGGTATTAAAAGTTACTATCACCATGAGATATTTACGTTGTGCAGGTGGGATCATCTAGGTTTTCATAAGAGGTGCTTTTAGTGGCTAGCTGGCATATTTCATCGGCATTCCATGGACCCTCCGTTGTGGTGGTAGTCGGAATCGTAGTCGTGGTGGTTGTTGGAATCTCTGTGGTGGTCGTGGATGTCGGAATCTCACTGGTTGTGGTGTCCTCTTCTGATTTGCAAACTGGATCGGCATTCTGGTAGCAAGTGTAGAAACCATCGGTGCAATAGGAATTCTCAGGGCATGACAGAAGATCATACGAAGGCTCTCCTGGAAATTGAAGTACTGCTGAATAATCGCGTTATAATGAGAACAATAATTAACTCACCGTCGTAGCAGATGGAAAAGGTGGTTTCACTGTGACAAGCCACTTTGCTTTCACTTTGGCACACGTTGCATGTGGCGGCCAGATATTGGACCAAAAGCTTGAGTTTATCAACAAACGGATATTAGTCGGGAATTTGTGTCCAGCTCGGAGATAGTTACCAGCGAAATAAGTGTCTTCAACAACCACATCTTTTTTGTCTTCCGTCTTTGCTCATTCTAAAATACTGAGGACGAACGAATCACCTTATATGTATCTTTGGTTATCTTTAGAGACTTGCCCAAAAAAGAGAGATATTTTTTTACGTATGTTTGCTTAGTTTTATTGCGGTGTTAGGCTTTGCGTCAATAAATAGTACAAGGCTACAAGTAATTTATAAAAACATATTCACAAATTGAAGGCGCGTTTGTTAGCTGCTAGCAGAGTACGAGTGTGGAATACAACATATATACTATATATAGGAATACATAGATTTGAGTCGAGTTTACAAAACACCAAATAAAACTTGTCATCATAACGAAAAAGAAAGCCTTTCGCTTTCGGACGTAACATTGAGGCATCGGTATACTTGTATAGCTAGTTTTTTTGTAACATATTTCTGTATAGTTTCGTGTATATAGGGGTGTATACTGGATAGTTATGAGTTCGCTTTTTCGTCGCGTAGTCTTCTGAAGTTTTTTTAAATTGCATAAATAGGTACAAACTATAGTACATCGTACATAGACTAATTGTAAAACATGTCTTAAGGCAAATCATAGCGTTTCAAGCAGCACTTTACATCTTACATCTGTAACTAGCTTAAGGCAACATCGATGTTCTCTATAATGCGTTTAAAAATAAATTCGTTAATTTCTAAAACGAAATAATACTCCGTCAGTAGCAAATGCATTATATTCGAGTTCGAGTTCAAGTTGTGTGGACGTATACTGTTCGATTGTCTCTCTAGATCTATAGATCTCTAGAGTCTAGAGTCTAGACGCAGCCGTACTCATACCAGATGCTATTGCTCTTGTCCTCGGTTCGTTTCCGCGCTGACTTGTCATCCTGCAAGGGTGTTTGTGATCCGGAGACGCTGCCGCTGGCCTGCAGCAGTGGAGTCTGGTCGCCGCTGGTCGAGGCTCCTCCAATCGTAGTGTTTATGCGGTTGTACATGAGGAAAGTGGCCGGACCCACGGGGGCATTGCTTTCCGAGGCACTCTTCTGGGGCGTCTGGGGTTCTGCGGGCGTGGGAGTTGCTGGATTGCCGGAGCTGGACTGCGGCTGTGGGGCAGTGGAGCCGTCAGGTAGCTTCTGGTGCTCGTCGATTAGATAAACGGTGCGTCGGGAACCGGCTGTGCCAAGCGTCAAACTACTGCCCGTCACATCTGGCGCTTCAAGACTGCTGCAAAGCAATGCGATTATCAGAAAATAGTTATATTTTACTAGTTTACAGAGGTGAGGAGCGACGACAACAAATGGATGCAGGGACTCATTGTGCTGAGGGAAGAGGGATCAGTGCTGCCAAAGCAAAAATTGCTAGATTATTATGTGAAAAATGGCCAACTTTTGGTTTTCAACAAATATTTGTACGAGTTTATATAAATAAAAACTTTTAAAGTCCATTTCATAAACAATTATAACATTTAAGTGTATTTTAAGACAAATAAATTATGTATAATTACTACAAAAAAAATGGAACAAAATTTAATTATTTTGCTTTTCATTGCCAGTAATTTGTGTCCAGTAATCCAATCACACAATATAATGAAAAAGCTGAGTTGAATATATGTTTCAATATCTTTGTTAAGCTTCGTAATTTGTTAAATTAAAAAAAGGTTTAAAAAAATTCCTGTTTTTCTTTTTTTTAATGATTAACAAACAATTCAAAAATGCTAGATTAAAACTAATAGGTTTATAGAAACTGCCAACAATAACAATTAAATTGCTTAACTGGCAGAGCTGAGAAGGAATGGACAACTGCCACCGAAAAACTAGCATCAATCTGTTTCAAGTGGCCAGTTTATTTTAATGGGAATGGGAATAATTTGTTACACATCTAAAGCGCATACCCGTGCACGCTATTTCTACGTGAGTTATTCAAATCCGTACGTTTCTGAGCCTGCAGGCTACTGCGCACGACTCCGCCGCGTTGGATCGAGTTATCCAGCAAATCCCTACTCGGGCAAAATGTACATACAGTGTTTGTTTGGTGCGAGTTGTGTTGAGTTGTGTATAATACATGTAAATAGAACAAAAACCATAAACCCCAATAGCCAGTGAACCACTTTGACGATGGCTTACCGCTGCAGACTCTGGCGGAGCGGGACATTCCGCTGGAGGAGATGCGTGTCCGAGGCAATGGACAGTGGCTCCTCGTTGCTGTTGTCCGACTCATTGCCGCCGGACTCGGAGCCGATCACAAACTGTGAATTGGTACGGGCATCATCCACCCAGGAGCGACGGTTCTAAAGAAGATTTGGATATAACACATACATTCGGTATTCTTGGATAAACCTACCCGACTGGGCACTTTGTTCATCAGATCCGAACTGGCCTTCTTCACTCTCCTGACCAGCATGCTGGCAAAAGGCTTTCTGGAGTTATAAATAAGTAAAGTTAATATCCACCCAACTTTATATGCTTGGGAAAACCCACTTCTTGTGCACTGTGGTCTCTGACTTTTTGTAGTGCTCCATGATTTTCTCCTCCAGCTTCTCCTTCTGCCGCTTCAGGCTGTGCACCCGTTCGGTGTAGTTCTTCTCCTCCTCGTGGAAGTGCTTCTTGTCCTCCAGGGATATGGCCAAAAGTTCCTGATACTGCGAGAGCAGCTGCGACACATTGTCCATCAGTGCCTTGCGCTCCGAATCCAGTTCAGCATTGTTTTGAATCAACATCTGGAAAGGGACAGTTTAATCAAGTTATACCAGAAAAATAAATTGGCTTTGATAAACTCACCTCGCAACGCTGCTGAACCTTGCTGTACTCCACCTGCAGGTGACGCACTTGGTCGCTCTTGGTGTTCAGTTCGCCGGAGAGCTCGGTGTTTTGTAGCTTGAGGCTCGAGTGTTCCATGCGCACCATCTTGTACTGCTCCTGGATGTTCTTGTACTCGTTCTTGAAGCGATCACTGGTAGCGAAGAGATTGCGGAAGTCGTCGGTCAGCTTGGAGTGCTCGGTGCGCAGGATGGACAAATCCTCGCTGCAGGTCTTCATATTGTTGTTCTGCGAGGTCAACTCCTCGATGCGTTGCTCCAATGCCGACTGTTGTTCGCGGGTGTCGCGCAACTCCTGTCGCAAATCCCGCACTGCCGCCTTCAGCTGCTCCTTGTCCTTGTTCAGCGATTCGTACTCTGCGGAGAGCTGATCGTGTAGGCACTGCAAAGTGACCTGATCCTGCAGCGCATGCTTGTGCTCCTGCTGCAGAGAATCGATATCTTTGAGTAGAGTATCCTTTTCGGCAGCGAGCTGCGAGTTGGCTAGCTGAAGGGCTACATGCTGGGTGTTTAGGGAAGTGATTTGCGAACCCAAGGCAGCCACATCCACACTGAGTCGAGCATTCTCCGTCTGCAGTTGAGTATTGGAATCCTTGATGCGCGTCAGCTCGGCGGATTCTCGTGCCGGACTGAGTCGCAGCTTGTGCTCGAACCGAAGTTCCTGGGAAGAGGGTTGCGCTGGAGCAGGGGCGGGCACTGGAGCAGCGGCGGCCAGTTCAATGTTCTTCTCCACCGTGAAGATCTCCTGGCGGTGGCACAGCACACACATGTCCGACTGTTGCTGCTGCTCCTCCTGTTGCTGCTCCCGTGTTACGGTTAGCATAATCTCACGCACCGTTTTAAAGGTCTCCGGATTGCGCACCAGTTTCTCCACCACATGCTCTACATTTAGTTCACCAGGCTCCTCGTCCGCCAGTCCCAATTTCTCCAAGTTGTGGCGCACCTTCTTTGTGACCAAAGTACCAGTAACGAGGTCATTGCGCAGTGTGCTTATCATCTCCTGATCAATGTTGCGTTGCGAAACTAGCTCTTGATTTTGCTTCTCTAACTCAATGAGCTTCTGATGCTCTTGCTCTGATTCTTCGAGTGCCTTGCCTAGCTTTTGAAGCTCCTTGCTCTGTGCATCCAGACGATTGATGCTCTCGTCCAGCTGCACAGACTTTTGCTCGCTGCCCTCCTTCAGTTTGGACACCTCTTTCAGCAGGCTGGCATTCTCGCGCTCAAATGTGGAGACCTTGGCCTCAATCTCGTAGAGCTTCTGTTTGGTCTGCTCGTATTGCTTGGATTTTTCCGAGTACTGCTCTAGTTCCTTTGTCTTGCTCTCCGCCAGTCGTTCAAGATCGTCGGCTCTTCGCTGAATGCTTTCGTTTAGAGTTTGGATGCGTTGTTTTTCCTTGTTCAAAGTTTCCACATGTTGCTCTGCGTCGGACAGCTTCTGACGGTCAGCTTCGCGCTCCAGACTCTGACGATCATAGCTCTTCTGGCGATTGTCCACAGCATCCTGCAGTTTCTTGTTTTCCTCCAAAGCATTTTTAAAGACGCTTTCGAGTTCCACATTCTGTTGAGTCAGTCGCTGAATGTTTTCTTGCATCTGCTCGGTTTTAAGTGAGAGCTTTTTCTTTTCTTTCTCCAGTTCTAACATCTTGCTGGTGGATTCGTGGAAACTGCTTTCTTTTAGCTGCTCCAAGGCGGCAGTCAAGCGTCGGTTCTCCAGCTCCAATTTGAGGGCACGGGTTTGGGCATTGTTCGTTAGCTGTTCGGACAGGCTGTTATCGCCCGAGTTGCAATCGTCTTCGTTTTCGGAGAAGGACTTATCCAGATCCATCGTGGAGTTGAGATTCCTGGCCACCAGTTGCAGTTGTGCATTCTCCTCCAGCAGCTCCTCCAGTTTGGAGCGATCTACGTCTCGATCCAGAGCCATATCATTGAGTTTTTGCTTGTATTTGATAATCTCGGACTCCAGGGTAATGGCGTGCTCAGACCTTTTGCGATAGCGCTGCAGCTGCTCCTCCAACATTTCTCTGGGGAAATAAAAGAACAAAGTTTAGTTTTAAGGTTTTTAATGGGATATTCGAGGGGAGTACTTTGATTCTAGAAGGACGCGGTTATCCTCGCGTAGCTCTTCAACGCGGGATTTGTAAAAATCCGAGTCGCCAAGTTTCTCACGATACTTCTGAACTTCCACCTCCAGTCGATCAGCTCGTTCGGCCCGCTCCCGAAGGATGTCCACCTCATCGCGATAGGCAGCTGCCCGCTTGGCCTCCGTGAACCATTCCTGGCTCTCCTGGCGCAGCTTGTCGAAGTGCGCCTTCTTGTCATCCAGCTCCTCGCGCAGTTCCAAGAGATTTTCGGACTTTTCCTCGCTGAAAAAAAGGTGTGGTAAATTAAAATAAATTGACTAAATAAAGAAGTAAGTGAGATTTAAGAGAACTTACAGTTCCTGACGTAGTTTTCGGTTTTTGGAACGCAAATCTGCACACTCCACAGCCAGGTGATTGCTCTCCGAGTTGGAAGAGGATGAGGGTGTTGAGGTGGCCGTGCCATTTGAAGGGGAACGTGGAACGCCAACTCCCTGGCCGCACTCCACCAGATTATCGCTGGCTGCCATTTCCGTCTCCACGCAGGCCAAATCGATCCACTTGAGATACATGAGATCCCGCTCCTTGGTGAGCCGCAAAATATGTGTGTACATGCTCTGCGGCGTCAGGCGCTCCAAGGAGTCCTCCGTGAGCACTAGACTGTGGCTATCCGTAACCTGTTTGATCAGTGCCACAATGGCATGCTGCGTCTGCAGATCCAGTTCCTTGATGCGGGCAATAAACAGCTCCTTGTTGGGACATTGCACAGCTGCACCGAGTAGCAGTGTGAGCAGGGTCTTCATCTGATCCAAGCCGTTTCTGCTCTCCGGATAATGGCCCAGGGTGAAGGCATCTGGCAGGACGAGAATAGTCTGTCCCAGTTCCTCCTCGAACAGGGACTTGAGATTCCTTACGATGCATTCAAAGTTCTTGGCCCTAGCGATGCTCAGGGATTTCCCATGTAAATCATTCAGCTCGCTGGGATTATTCTGCGGCTCCGGATCGATCTGCAGCCAGACGCTGTGGATTATGTGCCCGTCCAGCAGAGAAGTGTATCCCGCTAGGAGCTCGGCACGTGGCAGACATGACTCCAGCTGCAAGAAAAAAGATATTTCCAGTTTTAGATATGGAATTCAGAAAAGAACAAGAGCGGTGGCGAATATGTACATATATTCGCTGGACAAGAGCACACACAAATGGAGCTCATTACAGCTCCTCCTCCTCCGTTTCTTTTTGTACCGTAAGCCGTCGTGAGCAAGTTACAATGACCTTGGTTCTTTTGCGACTGGTGCGGAAAGCCACATAACTACATACAATTTTGGGCAAATTAATAGGAATCCAAAGGTGATGTTCATAGGTGGCAAAAATATTAATAGTGACAGAAATATAACTGGTTGAAATGTGCAATTTTCAATTTAAAACATAATATTTTTGGCGGTGTTAAAATAATTTAATTAATGAATTGTAAAAGTTATTTTTGTTTACTAAAAAAGACAGCTCAATAAAACATACATATTTACAGTAAACAAAATCTATGCAACTAATTAATTTCAAAAGTAAAAAAATTAAATGGAGTTGATAACGTTACTGTATTTTTTTAAGAGGTGTAACTATTTCGTTGACCTCAACTTTTTGTGTGTGTAAGTATGTGGGCAGGTTGTTCTCACGACTCTGTTGTTGTTGTTGCTGGGAATCGAACACTTGAATTATTTATGCCAAGCACATAGGCTCACTTGCGATGCAAATATCGAGCATGTTTATCCATAGTTTACGTTATACAAGTAGTACTCACCCAAGAAACGAGTGCTCCATTTATGAATTCGTCGATTTCCATTGGCGTCGCGGTCGCGGTTCCAGCCATTGTAGTTGTTATTGCACGGGTGGAAAAGGAACAGGCAAATGAGGGTATGTGTGTGTGTGTGAGTGTGCCGCTGCACCTGTCACAATGGAACAGCTGCGGCTTTTCCTAATTCCAATGCGATGCTAGTGCCAGTTTTTATTTTCCCATCAAATGTCCCACAACAGCCTCCCAAAAATCATTCCAAGGACGGTGCATTTTTTAAGCCACTGGAAACACGCATGCAGGCGGAGATCACAGTTGTAACTTCTTTAATATTCGGAATAAGATGAACGGCACTTTTCGGTTTGGGTTAATTGAATAGTTAACAATAAAACACTTCAAGGCGGCACTATAAAAAATAGCAAAAAACACTTTTTGGAAGACTGCTGGAAAAAAGCATAATTTGTGCCGGTGATGACACTCCACCACTGTGGCCAACTTATCGATAGTAAGTAGTCGGGAGAAACTAGAGATGGATGTTTACATCACGTGACTAGCTAGAAAATGGTTAACTTTTTATTAGAGTTATACAGTAATAACAAATGGATTATACATTACATAATAATTGTTTAAATATATATACTTATTTGAATTATTATGATTATTTAAAAAAAAGTAACCAACTGGCAATCGTCCTTATAAATTAGCCGTATCGATTGGCCTTTTTTTTATCGATAGACACTATCGAACCGAACCATATTAATTTTCGCATTTCAAAAATTTGAAAAGAGCAGAAAGCTTTTGAATCGAAAAGAGAAGCGTTTAGCTCGCTCGTGGATCGGAGGAGGATGCTGGGCTGACGAACGGATTATTTAACGCCGCAAAATGGCAACGCTTGCAAACAAAAACCAAACGCAACGAAAGTAACAATATTAGGATTTACTGAAGTTAAAATATTTAAAGTTCAAAGTGTCTTAATTGGCGAACCAAAAAAAAAAAAAACGACGGGCCGCGCTAGTGTCCCAAGTAAATTTCGACTGTCGACCGAGGATATATATAGATCCTCTGTATAGGCAAGCAAATAGGTTAAATATCTAACATCTCAAAATGGGAAATCAGCCGGGAAAGCTGCACACGCATCCGCAAAGCAATCGTCCCAAGAAGAATGTCCACTGGAAGTCGGCAGGCAAGTAGAAACTCCGGTTTGGAATACAGTGTCCCGAGGAGTGTCCCCAAGTACGTATTCCTCCCTAAAATTTGGGTCTATAAGAGGAGGCCCGAAGAGTAGACAGGCCCACATAGCTGGCTGGCTGGTGGGAGCGCTAGAAATGCATCTATTTATAGCCACTCGCACACTCAGTGGTTGCCGTGTTCATCTGTTTGGCCCCAAAAATCTCACAACGTCAAAGTAATGTTGTCGTTCGGAAAGCGGAAGAACGAACTATTATGCTGGGGTACATAGTGAGATGGGTGCCTTGTTTTGTAGGGCTAAATGTCTCTAAAAGTCGGTTACTGTACTACTAAATTTGAATATTTAAAAGTTTGAAAACGGATAACGAATTAAAATGCTGAGATACAAAGTAAAATGGGTGCCCTAATTTGTAGGGCTTAAAACTTCTGAAATATCGTTTATAGATTGAAAGTATGAGGCTCTTTACTAAAACTAAAAAATGGAATACCTTAAAAAAATTCTAGCTTCAATTTCCCATGAAAATGAAATTGGTTTCGCTTTTAGACTCTTAACTTGAAAAATTAAATAATTTACTTCGCTTGTATTAATCTCTGTTTAAGTTTTTTTCTATTTTAAGAACTAAATAAGATAAAAACAATTTTTTAAGGCTTAAGGATTTGTTTTCTAATCACCATTTGGTTTTTAGCTTTGAATGATTTTTTTAATATTTCAGTTTTTTTAATTTAAATGATGTTTTATTATTATTACGGTTCTGTCTTCCAATCAGAGCGACCTTCACCGCCGGGCAGGCCCATCCTGACACCAGTGGCTCTGCCGGAACAGCAGCCGGATGTGGTGAACCTGCGCTGGGATCGACCGCTCCATGACGGAGGTTCCCCCATCACTGGCTATACGGTGGAGCATCGGCGCATGGGATCACCCCACTGGGTGAGGGCCACGCCCACTCCGGTGGATCGCTGTGATGTGTGCATTAGTGGATTGGAGCCCGGATGGCGCTATCAATTCCGTTGCTTTGCCGAGAACATTGTGGGTCGTTCCGACGCCAGTGAGTTGTCCGATCCGCTGACGGTGACTCTACAAAGGAATGCCATCACTGTGCCCCGCTTCATCGATGAACTGGTGGACACGGATGCCGTGGAGGACGAACGCATAGAGTTCCGAGTTCGAATCCTGGGCGAACCACCGCCGGAGATCAATTGGTTCAAGGATGGCTACGAGATCTTCAGCAGCCGGCGCACCAAGATCGTCAACGACAACGAGGCCAGTGTCCTGGTGATCCACCAGGTGGCCCTCACGGATGAGGGTGAGATCAAGTGCACGGCCACGAATCGAGCGGGTCATGTGATCACCAAGGCAAGATTGATGGTGCAGGCTCCTCCGAAGATTCGATTGCCGCGCACCTACGAGGATGGTCTAATTGTGGAGGCGGATGAGGTGCTGCGTCTTAAGGTGGGCGTGGCTGGACAACCACCGCCGGCCATTACGTGGCTCCACGAGGGCGAGGTGATCGCCCCAGGTGGACGCTTTGAGGTGGGTTTAACTTATCCTTCCTAAAATGGTTATGCTTATTAATCTTAAATATCAGAAATAAGCAAATTGACGTTTAATTGGTCATTAATTTACAATACTCTTAATTCATTACGCGGTTCATTAAAATCAAATTTCTAAGAACAAATTTGGTAATAAATCTACAAAGAGCTACCAATTCTTAGTCTTGAGATCTATTTCACTAAATAATGTTGAATTTGGGATCAAAGACACAGATGTAAAAATGTAAATAAATATTTGTAGTGGCATTACATTTGGAAAATCTAGTAAAATATTTTATCAGTATTACCTTTTTAATATCTCATGTTAATTTTGTTCATTACAATTACTTATTTTTATTGGCATTACATTTGAGAAATCAAATAAAAAAAAAGGATTACTCCATTTAACAACCTGCCAATTAATCATCTGCCACCCATTTCAGATCACCAACACTGAGAAGAACTCGCTGCTCAAGATCGACAATGTGCTGCGCGAAGATCGCGGCGAGTATATGGTGAAGGCCTGGAACCGTTTGGGCGAGGATAGCACCTCCTTCCTGGTCACGGTGACGGCCAGACCCAATCCGCCGGGTACTCCCAAGTTGAACATGTCCTTCGGCAAGTCCGCCACTCTCTCGTGGACGGCTCCACTTGACGATGGAGGCTGCAAGATAGGCAACTACATTGTGGAATACTTTCGAGTGGGATGGAATGTATGGCTGAAGGCGGCCACCACAAGGGCACTGAGTACCACGCTCCACGATCTGATCGAGGGTTCCGAGTACAAGTTCCGTGTGAAGGCCGAGAATCCTTATGGTCTGAGTGAACCCTCGGGGGAATCGGAATTGCTGTTCATTCCCGATCCCAAGAGGGGTATTACGAAACCGAAGTCGGCCACTAGGATTGCAGGTGAGGAGAAGGACAGCAAGGTTAAGGAAGCAGGATCGGTGCAGGTGCCGCCACGTCGAAAGACGCTGTCACCACCACGTCCACATGCGGATGCCTCCACGGGCATGTCGCCCAAACAGTCGCCCAGTGCGAAAAGGAAGCCCAAGCCACAGCTCGTAGACAATGAGCAACTAACTCACGAGATGTCCTATGGCACATCGGATCAGGCCTTGAAGATGGACGTCCGCAAGAGTCCTTCGTTGAGTAGTGCGGATTTGGCCAATCCACCCAAGACCACTGGTTCCAATCCCAAGCTTAATTTAACATTGATAACCAGCACACTAACACCGGTGGAGAGGTCTGAACCATCATCGCCCAAGTCACCGAAGTCACCTACTACTACTACTACTACTACTACTACTACTACTACTACTACTACTACTGCTACACCTTTAAAACTATTCAATCCCAAGAAATCGGGAGTTGCTAAGGATAGGTCACCAGTGCAGCCGCGACCACAACCTTTGCCCACTCCACCCAAGGAGAAGCCGGAGAAGATGGCTTCCCCCAAATTGAGTCCACCTAACAAGAGACATCCTGCTCCTCTCCGCAAGAGTCCAACGCCTCCGGAACCCATTAAGATAACACCGGCCTTGCTAAGAAGTGCGGAGCCCGTTCAACTGGGAGTCAATCAGCATGTGAGACGTTTCTCGGGACAAACGCTGAGCCCGGCCAGAAATGTGCCCACTCTGGCGCTGGCAGTGGCTTCTGGGATGTCGGCGGTTATTGGCGAAAGACTGCCCACCATCGAGATTAGTGCACCACCAACACCGCAGGAGGAGGAAGCGGAGCCTTCCATGCCAGAGCCAACTCCATCTCCAGAACCTGCTCGAAAATCCCAGTCCCACTCGAGACGCTTCTCCAGGTCAACAGACAAGCACGACGAAGTCCACACCAGCAATGAGTTTATGCTCGTTGTCTTCGACAAAAACAGCAATCTCAAGGATAAGGACAGTATGTATCCAGTTGTAAGGATTTTGTGGACAAAGGATCACCCACTAACCCTCAGTAACTAACCTAATCCATTACCATATAGCATGAATAGCAGTGACAGTACGTATCCAACATCAATTGGGTAAAAAGGTTAAAGGATTTCAGATTACCCTTAGTCAGAAACTTAAACCCATAACCAAAACTAATCCCATTCCATATTCTAGTTGCTTTCGACAAGAACAGCATGATAACAACAAGATAAGGACAGTAAGTATGCAGGTATAAGAATTTTGAGGATTTAGGATCACCCATTAATGCCGACCAATAACTTAATCCATAATCAAAACTAAACCTATTTCAAACTTCCCTACAAGAACAGCAAACTTAAGGATAAGGACAGTATGGATAAAGCTGTAAGGATTTCAGGATTAGGTATAACACATACCCTAAACCACTGATTTAATCCGTAAACATATTGTTGTCAAGGATTAGGATTTTGAACATAAGCCATCACCCACTAGCTTAATCCGTAAGCCCAAACTAAAACCCATTCCACATATATCTCGCCCCCAGAACAAGATTCCTTTGAGCTGGACCTGGAGGATGCCATACAGCCGCCGCCCATTTCGATTTCTGCCCCAGATCTGGCCTTCCTGGAGTTCACCAATCTGCACACCACCTTTCCGCTTCGTCGCTCCGTGAGCTCCACGGAGCTGCTGTACGAGCGGGCCATGGCCAGGTTCTATGAGGCAGTGGAGCTGGAGCAGGCTTCCAAGTCCCGCAAGACGTCGCAGGACAAGCTGGCCACTCCGGTGCCCCATCAAACGCCGGCCAATCTGCGCAAGCGTCTGGGTTCCATTTCGGAGGCAGAACGTCTGTCCTTCGAGCGGAGGAGTGAGTTGCGTCGCCAGTCGGCGGACATGGTGTCCATTTCGAGAAAATGGGACTCCCGAGAGAATGTCAATGAGTTGGGCAACTTGACAAGGACACACCACACCACTGGACAATTAACTCTGGAGGCGGGTAGGAATCTTCTGGAGCAGCGGAAAGAGCAGGAGGAACTGGAGGAGGAGCATCTGACTGAGAGCACAGCAGATGACAGCGAGGACATGGACCTAGATTTCGATGAGGATGTGGAAGATGTGGAGTATCCGCCGCAGAAACAGAAGCAGCAGCTGCAGCTGCAGCAGCAGTCCAGCAATGATCTGGGATCGGACTACACGGAGAGCACTGCCTCCTCGGAGCAGGACTCCATTGAGAAGTTCAAGATGGAGCTGCTGGCCCGCACCCGGTCGCCCAGTCCCCGCGACCTGGAGACCTATCATCCGCGTACCATGGGCGCCGGTACCTTCACCCCCTACAGGGCTCCCACTCCGGAGCAGGCGGCCGTGGTGCTCAACCGTCCAGTGCCACTGCCCAGTCCAGATTTTGTACCCAAACCGATCCTTAAGAGATCCTCCAATGAGCATGTAGAGCAATCGGTGAGTCCTTTGCCAGCCGAACCACTAGCCATGGCAGTACCTCCTCCTCCAAGTGTGGTCGCCACCAATCCCAGCACCCTCAAAATGGACCTGGCCAAGGGCATCAAATCCTTTTTCAGTCGCGACAAGAGATCGGCCACCGAGAAGAACACCGAGGCCAATGAGGAGATATCCAATCCGCTGGAGAGGACCAATGCAGCGGCCATTGCGGCGGACTTGGAGGTGAAGCGCAAGGCCAAGGAGGAGGAGGAGCTGCGTCGTCGGGAGGAGGAACGTCTCATGCAGGAGGAGGCCCATGCGGCCGTGGATCACTATAGCGACTTGGTGAGGGAGGTGGGCAGCACCCACCGCTATCACACACCGCTCTACCTGGATCGCGATGAACTGAAAAGGGCGGCGGCCAAGGCAGCGGCGGAAACGGATGAGGAGGACATGCTCAGCCATGCAGAGGAGCTGAAGAAAAGACTTGCCACCGATGACATGTTCCTGGCTCCACCCGTGACCAGGGAACGACGTCTCTCCATTTCAGAGAGGGAGCAACTAGTTCATGTGCGTGATGCAGCCAGTGATCTGGCCTTCCATCGGGCTCCAGAAACTGGAGCAGCGGAGCGGGAGCACGAATCCCCACAGCGGCAGCATGAAGAGGACCCGGAATACCCCACTGTGCTGGTGGTGCCACCACCCATATCCAAATCCAAGGGCAAAACCGAATCTGAGACTGAGAACGTGATGAGCGAGATGGTGGAGGCTCGTCCGGATGCCAGGGGCAGGACTCGTTTGGTCAAGGTCAAGAGGGTGATCAGGCGGCGGGTTCCCTCGAGCACTCGCTCCCGCGATGCCTCACTAACTAGACCTGCAATCTCCGTAATGGAGGACTCTCCTTCTCCCCAGACATCCCTAATCCTCTCCACCGCCGACAGGGATCTCCTGCAGAAGGCAGCCGCTCTGGCCATCCTCCAATCGGAGGAGCAGGCCCACGAGAAGGTTCGCTCGGCGCTGAGCTACTGCACGGATCTGGTGCTCTTCCTGGTCGCCTGCTATGTCTACTTGTTCAAGGATGCCCGCCTGGTCCTGCCCATTCTGGGCCTCATCATCTACAGGCAGCTGGGCGAGGCAGTCAGGGGCTATGTGCCCGGCTGGCTGCGTCGCCGGATCAATGGATCAACGGAGGGCAGCTAGAACCGCATCCACGCATCCAATCCCCCGCCCATACTCACATGCGTTTATCGGTTAAGTTAGTTTTTATTACATACGGCTTATTTATATACGTCTTAAGGTAAAGTTGAAGGTATATATCCCCCGAGTACATTGTGCTACAATCTGTATACGTAAAATCCTTGCAAGTCCTGTTCAGGTTTTCAAGACAAAGCCCTTTAGTTTGAATTTCAATTATGAACAAGCCAATCTTTAAAAACTTTTAATATTTTAAATATTTAAAATATTATTATTGTTTCATAATGAAATTTTCAAATATCATTAAATATTTATTAAACATATCCTTTACTTTACTCCTATGGAATATAAAGGCCATATTTAATAAATTTTAAATTATAAAAAATTATAAAATTTAGATGCTTGACCATTATGGAATATGTATTTAAACTTGTAATACTTTTTAGGAATTATTAATTTGAATTTGAAGATAATTTCATATTAACCCCATTCGGAAATTACTAAGAAAAAACGTAATAATTGAAAGTAGAATTTTAAAAAGATTCTTCGGATTAAAATGTTTTCTGTTTAATTCAATAATTGAAAATTTTTTTTAATTTTTTTTTTTAAATTGTTTTCATTTAATTTAATGATTAAAAAAATGTTCATCTAGGCAATTCAAAATAATTACATTTTGATAAGATATGAATATAATCTTTAAACTATTTTATTTCTTTCTAAGAACTACATTTTGAAAAAATTGATTGATTTTGAAAACCAGAACAGGAAACCAAGTAAAACAGTCCATTAACCATTAATTCATTAAACTTACTCATGTCTTATCTCCTACATTTGCTTGACTAACATTTTCCACTTTCAAAATTATTCATCTGCAAACCCAAGTAAAGCGAAATCTATTTTGCAAGGATAATTGGTTGATTGATTCGCGAATAATGAAATCCCTTTTGTTTTGCTTTGTGTATGTATGTGGAGCTATGTAAATCCCAATGTTATGAAGTGTTCGTTTGTGGTTCTTTGTGGTCCATCCGGATTGTTGGTGATTCACTTTGAAAATAAAGCTTAGCATGTTATAAATTCGTATACTATGAGTACTTTCTTTGGCCATGTTTGCCAACGGTCTGTTTATGTGCAAAACACAGACTTCCGTGGGGGATTAAAAAGAAGTGGGTAAACCCATAAACAGATCGAATCACGCTTATCAGATGACGACAATTTGTCAACAGAGATGCTGCGCAAAATTCCGGGAGTTTTGCTATCAGTAGATAACAACAATAACATGAAAGGAAGTTTACTTCGGCAAGCCGAAGCTTATATACCCTGGCACTTACAACAAAAATATAATATACTATAAAACTACTATATTTAGAATTTTATGGGTATATATTTAAAAGCAATGAGGCTATACCGATTTTCCAATTAATTTTATGATCATTCAAATAGCAGCTATATCGTTGTCCGATTTTTATAAAAATAAAACTGTAGTTCTGAAATAGTAAGCAAACATGAAACGGGCAAACAGAAAAACAAACAAATAGACAAACGGACAAGGCTATTTTGACTCTCTTATTAAAGTGCATTTCAAACATTTCCCGGAAATGATTTTACCCTCTGTAAGGGTATAATAAATACAATGGATATAAAACCGCATGCCTCCATTTCATTTGGTAGTCCATCTCTCACTTACCATCTAGTCATGGCCATCGTTCTGGGCTGGCTCTTTCTGGTCACTTTGGCCAGCGTGTCCCTGGCACAAGGGTCTCCCCAGCTGGTGGCGCCAACTGGTGGTCTCCTAGCTCCACAGCCTCAACTTCCGCCGGCCACATTGGCTCCACCGCCCACTTTGTCCCAAGATCTGGATGAAATCCAGCGGTTGGTCCAGTTCAAACCTCTGAATCAGTTACTAGTGCGCTACTTGATCAACGATGGCCAGTTCCAGTCCTTTGTGCGGATCATCAACAGCAATGCCGGATTCACGGCCCGTTGGCGTTTGCTCTCCCAACCGGAATTGACGCTCTTCCTGCAGTGGGTGGACCAGCAGCTCGTGGCCTCCGGTGACTCCTTTGAATTGGAGGAGCAGAAGCTAAAAGTCAATCTGCTGAATCAATTCCCCTACTGGTCTGGCACCGTCTTTGGCTGGCAGGGATTCCTCAACGAAGTGCAGCTCTACTTTCCACTGTATGCCATTCGGGCCCATGTCGATGCCAAGGTCCTGCAGCAGGGAATCTTTGCCCAGTTCTGGACGAGATTACAGGGATTGGGGGTCGTCTACGATCGCTGGTTGACTTCAGTGGAAACTGCCCAGGTTTTTGCTGATCTTCAGAGGGCGGGCATCGATACGGTCCAGTTGGACGGCCTCATCCGGAATCTCTTCGGCTGGAATGCTGCAAATGGAACCTCCACTACTGCACCTGGTACACCAGTTGCTCCCACATCAATTCCGGGTGCAGTGTTGCCTCCAGTTAACACTAATCCCGTGGGGGTTGTCTAGGTTGCCAATATGCAGTGATGGTAAAGTTATCCATGCTTAGGTAGAGTTTCAAATATATATACCTACTAGGCAATGAAAGGGGTAAACGTGTATAAGTACCCAAAGAACATTTGAATAAATTTTGCGATCAAAAAAAAATTATAAAACCTACACTTGCGAATGACACTAATCAAGTTTTAAAAGCCGAAATATAAAAAAAGGTTTTAAAGGGGTATTATTAGCATACCATAACAATTTACCAACTAGATGAATATATTTCATACTAGGTTATAATATAGACATAGACATATGTATAACACCCAAATAATGCTAATGTTCTTTAAATAAAATTAAGCATCAAAATGCAATTTATAAAGGCTGTTCTTTGGGTATGCCATATATTAAGTGTTTAAAATATATCATTTTGCTTGCTTAGAAAATTTTCTACTAATTTTCCTTCATAAAGATACATTCAAAGGATTTTAAAAAAATAGTTTATAAAGCTTACTCTTTGGGAATGACATTTATTAAGTATTTAATAGAAAGGGAAATGGTTTTAAATGGGTTTTTAAACTCATCAATCCCTACCTAGATGAATACTTTCCATCACTGTCGATTTGGCTATTATATATTTCGGATCGTGACCAAAGTCTTTAACAATCAATGGGGACTAACTAACATCTACTATATACGTAAAACGTAAACCGGACACACTGTGGCATCCAGTGGTGTTTGCTCTAGAACTTGAGTTTGCCCAGCGTGTCGGACACTTTCTGGGCATTGGCCCCCTTCTTTTTGTTGTTCTTGATGGGTGCCACCGGAGCCTTCGGCTTCTTGACCACCAGATCCTTGTGCAGCGTCTTCAGGCTGGCGTCCACCTTCTCCTGCTTGGCCTTGACAGATTCCTTGATCTGTAAATTGGATTGAATTAGGGAATTTCTCGCAGAAGAAGCCTCATCCTACTAACCTGCTTGAGCTTGCCCTGCACTTCCTTGGGCTTCTTGCCCTTGCCCTTGTTGCCATCGGCCACTTTGAACACATTCTTGGCCTTCTTCGACTTGTTCAGAGGCGTCTTTGGCTTGCCAGCTCCGGGAGCCACCTTTTTGTTGTTCGCCTTGTTGCGACCCATCTGAAAGTAGGCAAAAAAGAGACTCTATTTAGTTGTTTGGGAGTTGTAGCTTTATTATTTCCAAATTGTATCAAACACATTTCACTTTTGTGGCGGCCACCAGCTCTTCCTCCTCCTCCTCTGCACAACGCTTTCTTGAGAGTTCAACCTCTTTTGGTGTGGTCAAAAGCTGCTGAGAAAGTCTAAAGGACACCCTGTACATGTCCTTATTGGGGGCCACATTCCTCACAAAGCTGATGCCCTGAAGCAGGTTCTCATCTAGACTGGCACCCAGATTGCTTTCCACCAGTTGCCTTACTAGTTCCTTGGTGTTATCGCCCTTGGCAAAGGAGTAGACATGAACCGTGGGATAGGTTACACTGCTAGGTAACTTTGAGAGATCCTCTGCTTTGTAGAGACCACGAAAGGCGTCCAGGAACTCCACAGCCATGGCTGGCAGATTCATTGTTATGTGTATGGCATAGGAGGTGGTGTCTGTGTTGAGCAGACGCTTGAGCAAATCCTCTCTTAGTTCCTCCAAGATAAACTGCCTGCCATCCTTGTTGAACATTTTGATCTGAGGCAAGCACTTATTTCTCTTGGCATTATGCTGCAGCCAGTGGAAGCTGACGGGATTCAGGTCATTGGCCAGGACATCACAACGCTTCCGGGCAGCAGGAACACTGAAGGGACCCACTCCCGCGAAGACATCATAGAGAACGTCCCCCGTTTGCAGCAGCTTCACAATCCTTTCGTGCTCCGTGGAGAGGCGGGGATTCCAGTAGACCTTGGAGAAGTCAAACTCGAAGGGCACTCCGTTCTCCTTGGTCTCCACCTGGTAATCCGGATCACCGCAAATCAGCTCCAGCTGGAAGTTGCGATAGGTGTTGTCTATGGTGGAGGCCTTGTTGACCACTGTCCGGCAGTTGGGCAACTTGTCGTGGAGCACCTGGCCAATGAGTTGTTTGTAGGGCAGCAGGTGATCCCGCAGGTTCAGGTGGGCAATGTGCCCGATGCGGGAGTACGAAGTGAGACCCTCCTCCTCCAAAGGCAGGACGCTCTTGAGGATCTCATTGGCACTCCAGTTTTCATAGCCCAATTCCAGTTCCGAGAAGGAGAAGTTCTCTGCGGTGATTTCTTGCTTCTGCAGCGCCTCTGTGGGCAGGGATTCCCAATCCTTCACAGGAGTTGGATGCAGCAGGATCTCCCGGGAAGTGTCCACAGCTCGCACTGGATGCAGGTGCTCCATTTTGAGCAGGAACTTCTTCACCAGCGGCATTACACGTTGCACATGGGTCTCGGGCATAAGCAAACGGGGCACTTGAATGCTCTTGCGGAACTGCTCCCTTTGGAGCAACTGCATCCTGCGCACGCAACTGGGTGGCTGCAGCTCCTTGGAGTCCATATTTCGAAAGTAGTGACGTAAACGGGTGGCTGTAATCGTTAAGCCCGGAACCTTTAATTTGTTCACCATAAACATCCAAACACGTGCGACCTAGATCTTTGGTTTGTTTCGGATTCTTGTGTCCAGGAAGGGATGTGCTGGTAAAGTGGACTTAGCCAGCTGTTTATGATGCTCTCGTACAACCCTCAAATATCAAATAACCTTTGAATATACCTTTTATAAGTGTTAATTCTGGTAGTGACCACAAAGATCGCAGAAAAAAGCCAAACAAACGCAAGAACGTGAAAACAGTGTGACCAGACAGTCGACCGTTACAATATACTATCTGGTTGTATAGGAACAATATATCGAAAATTTAAAATAAAAAACAACTTTTTGAATTGTACTTGACTTAAATACGTTAGATTTTGTTTTTTGATCGTAAAAATTTCATAAAGATTGAAATAACGTTTTTTCTAAAATACTTATTTATACAATTGTTTTACGCTCTTCTTTATTAGAATTAAAGGCCAAAAAGAGACCGTGCATCTACTTTGTTGATGATTTCGGTCTTTGGCCAGGGCATCACAGCCTTTCTGGGCAGCAGGAACACTGAATGGACCCACTACTCCTCATATTTGTTTATCTAGCTAAGTTATAAGGTACACCCCAACACTGCTATTATTATATCTAAAATTTCAAAAGTATGAATGAACTATAATTTAAAATTATATTATATAATTTCCCATTATTTAGCAATTCCCCTTTCAAATTAAGTGAGATTTTCCCGTTTTATTTAAAAACAAGAAGTCAGTATTAAAGATTTGGTGATTATTAATTACAGATATTAGCTTTCAAGTATACAATATGCACTCTCGCTTGAGACTTTTACAAATTGTTACAAAAATATCTTGTATTTTGTCTTTTGTGTATGTGCGATTTTGAATCGATTTACAATTTGTGCAAATATTTAAAGGCTTGTTTTTCGAAACATGGACAAAACAAGCGACATAAAAGTGCTCGCATATTTAATTGTACATAGAAAAGCGGATTTATTATTTAATTCTCGTAGTAGTTGTCCTGTCGGCGAAGCGCTGGATCGATTAATGTACACGTATTACTATCATTAGCGTGGCAGAAACGTACACGTAACAGTTAAAGAGTATGGGCGAACCAAAATATAGAAACGACGGAGCAATTTAGCAGGATATTAGATATTAGATTAAGGGAAGCCATGGCTGGTTCCATCTGCCTTCGCTGTGGAATCCAAATGACATTACTACAATTAAATAAATAAAGGCAAAAACGCTTGCTTAAAGTAAAACTACACCACGGAACCGCATTGGATTCTACACATATACGAGGCGATCCTATCGACGGAAGCGACCCAAATACGCCCGGCAATTGGGGCACGAATGGTGGACATCCATGCAGTCGTCAATGCAGCAAGGTATTAGGCAACATCCCAGCCAGCATCTATTGATGGAAAATATTTATAAAACAATTGTTTATTATGGAAAGGAACATACACAAAACAGCTCGATATGGATAAGATAATTGCTGGTTTTATAGATATTTTCTTTTTCGAAAGTAAGGTAGCCCAACACAGTTAAATAAAACTACAAAATCGAATAGTAACTAAAACATTTGATCGAGAATTATACCAAGAATTAGATTACATTAATAAGTCAGAACAAAAAAATGACTGATTTTAATAGTTTTATAATAAATATCAGTAATAAGTTTCATTTTAAAAGTGTGACTTTTTTTCTTAAGAAATAAAATAAAAGTCTCAAAACAAAATTTATTTTTATTCTTTATTATAGGTAAAACTCGTCGAATAAAAGTTTATTGCATGAAAACATTGTGAGTATTTAGAAAATGTTGTCAATTTTAATACATATTTTTATAAAAATATATATATCATATATACTATATATATTTCTATGGGTTCACAATATAAAAACTGACGAAGCTCTCTTGCTATTTTACTTGTAAGTTATCTTATCCTATCTATATTTTAAAAAAATACTTGTTAACTCATGCATGGTTATAATTCATATCTGATCCATATCAACTGCCCTAGAACTAGAAACTCACCCGAATAGGGCAATCAAAAATCCGGACAAGTAGGCAATCATTCCGGGCTCGGTGCGCGTGGTCGTCTCGATTTCGGCGTGGCACGATGGACAGATCATGTGTGTTGATGTGCGGCTGATGGGCACCACCGTGGTCACAATAGTGGTATTCGCGGTGGTTGCGGGGGCCACAACGGGCGTATATGGACCCACGGGCTTCACCCCGCCCACTGCCTCCTGGTAGGAGGGCGGGGCCGATGGGGGCGGAACATAGGTGAACTGCGGAGGAGCACTGCCCGGTTTACTCATTATTTTAGGCTTTTAAATGCACTTGACGGTTAAGCAGCTGCAAACAAAAAAAATTGAATAAAATCGATGGTTTATTTATATATATAAAAAAAATATATATATAAATTTTCATTTAATTTAATTACTTAAAATATTATTAAATATTGCAAAAGTCATTGAAATCGATTATTTTAAAATTGGCCGATATACGATTATGTCTATTATTGTACTGCAAGCCCAAAAAGCGGTAATAAAATCTGTTGTATCGTTTAAAATTTATAAGTAACAAACATTTCGTGTTTAAAGTTGTTTCTGAAGCAACCAATTAACCAATAATATACATTTGTGATTCAAAAGAATTTTTCTTAGCTGGTTCTGTGGGTTGAATTTAATAATCAGAACCATTCCAATTAAAGTGGTAATTCTCAGAGTGGAACCATTCCCCATGCTTTTTGTGCAATCATTGGAAAATTGGCAACGATTTTTGTTTATCTGCCAATGCCTATTATTGGAGTTAAATACAACTAAAAATTAAAATAAAATCTAAGTTTCACCCTTTCCCGAATTTTTGTTTAAATTTTAACTTCAAAATTAAAATGTTTGTCTATATAATAACAATGTAGACATAAAAACTAAAAACGTTAAAAAAATAAATATTTGGATTTATAAAGGAATTCATGGGGTCATTCGATTTATGATGTGTAAAATGTTTAAATTAAAACCCACTGAACTCAAAAGTAACACAGAATTCAGTTAGACTAACCCCCAAAGTACACATTGAGAAAGGTAAACAACCAGAATTGAGTTGATTAAAAAAATGGACGCTGAAAATAGCACAGAGCCTAATGGTCAGCATCGCATCCATGAGTCATTTTTGTTCTTTTGGCACGCATTTGAGACTTATAGAGAGCAAACTCTTCAGAGAGATCTCAAAAAATGCTCCAAATAGATATACCCTATGCAAAATCAAAATTTGATAGTTTTTGACCCAATATGAAGATATTAAAATATTATTTAGTTTACCTTTTCATAATTTTGTAATACATTAAGTCTATGGCAATTGTTTATTATGTACTCTAAAAAATTCTTTATAGATTACTCTCATAACAAAAATTCCGATTCCAATCATTAACAAGTGTTCTTTGTGGAGACCAAAGGTTATTCTTAATATAGACACATCTTTTAAAGACTATGTTGTTTTGCAGTTTAATAACCAAATTAAAATAATAATAAAAAATCTAAAATTACGACTAATTCAGATTCTCAAGGACCAATTCATATAAAAAAAGACTTTTAAAAAAAAATACATAAAACAAAAATCACCAATAAAGATTAATTGTGAGTTTGACTCCTAAAAATTATAATCTTTACGTTTCCTGCTAAAATTGAATAGCCTTTAATGTTTAAAACTCAGACGTCAAGTTGACATGTTAAATATTATTTTTTTCGTGTAGCACATAATCGGAAAAGCTGAATAATCTGCTGTTGGCGGTCACATGACAATTACCAATTGAAATTCCACGATGGGATTGTAAACATTCAATTGGGAGCAACAATCGGAGTTTTTGACTGCCTTTCGGTGGAAGCTCAGATAAGATATGGAAATTCAAGCCATATGACGACAATTGCCAAAAGCTGTGGCAATTGTTTTTAGCATGTCTGTACTATATGATCAGAGGACAGTCACTCAACTTTTAGAGCTGGTGTACAATGACCTGCCCCTCATCCAAAACTGCGCCAACTTTCACCATTCGTTCAGGGATTGCATACATAGATATACGAGTGTAAAACCACATAGTTGCAGGCGGAAGTATAATATGGCTAAGGCGGGGAACCAGATGTCTTCGACTTGGCCAGAACAGAACGCCAACAATCGGTAAACAACCAGCTGCACTTGGCGGAAATTACTACCGATACGATGACATATGTGGGCGATATGCATTGATCTCTCACATCACATACTAGTACCTCATGAATCAACTTTGATTTGGTTTATACTCGATCAAAGCAAAAGCGTTAATCCAATTAACAACTAGTGGTTTATCAGTTTTTCCTAAATTCTTTAAATTATAAGTCTAATTTTCAGCCTAATTAAAATAAAACCAGTTGAATACGACTGGCGGCACAAATTGAAAAATAAATTGAGACTTTCCAGCAGCCACAATTCTATCGTATGTGCAACCGCAGTGATTACGTCAGACTTTTGCGACTCCGTCGCATTTATTATACATCAGCTTAGATGAATCTTCACTTTGGAAATGCGATAACCTTGCGATTTTGGACCAAGCCAAGTGTTTAAATCACAGACTTTACTATTGACTCTAACTAATTTCCTAAGCTACTTAAAATTGTTGAAATATGTCGGCAGTTTAAGGCTTAACTTGTTGTGTCGCGAGACTATCTTATCTAAGTTTTATGAGGAATACAGGCTAGAATGTTGGTTAATAAAAGTTAGGAGATTAGTTTGGGGAAAATCTCTACCATTCATTTTTATCTAAGTAAATATTTTAATCCATTTTTGTTCATGACTGTAAATCATAAAATATTTAAAATTGTAATCTTAATTAAAAAAACATTTTTTATGCATTTTTTCAAAGAGAACAAACAAATTTAAATGAGTAAAAATCATTATTTCACATTCTTTTTGTTGTTTACTCTAAATCAAAACATTTTGAAAACTATTATATTGTATATTATCTAATTCAAGAAATTTTAATTATATTATGCCTTAAGAGAATACGTTTAAATTTTTACCAGGGCAATCTTCTAGCCAATTTGATGTTACTTCTTCAAAGGGTATAATAAATTAGAATATTCAGCTGTGTATGTCTGTGCGTACAAGGTCTGCCACTCGAAGCGATCAGAAGAGATTTAAAAAACGCCTTAATATGTACAAGTATTTAATTTTAGCCTTTGTGTTAATTTCGTGTACTCCGTCCGTCCGTCATATGTAAATTGAATGAACCGAACTTTTGCTATCGGCATTTTATAGGCCCAATTACAGGGTATTACGTAGGTATGCCAGAAAAAAGAATAGTTGAAGACAATTCGGAGGGGAAATTGCGCACAATTACTTCGAATTATAGAGGGTGTTTGTGAATAGAACTGGATTTTGGGATCGAGCGACTTGGAGATGCCCTTTTAGGACCGCTTTTTTGAAATGGAACTGAAAACCCACAACGATAATGATGATATTGTTTTGGATGATGATGGTGCCTATTCCGCACATTATCTTTTGCACCGCCAGATGTTTTTCAAAAACGATGACGTAGTCGCGCCAAAAATAACCACATTTGTGGGCGGCAAGGACGCGGGGGGCGTGGCATGAAACAAGAGCAAAAGTTGATGGGTTTACAGGTGTTTGTGTGTGGGTGGATTGTGTCTCCATTTGAAATTGCTCAACAAAATCTGTTTTTAAGTTCACTTTAATAACAGACTGATTGATAGTACCATGCAGCATACAATATAACCACAAAAATAAACCCGATTTAATTTGCGCTAATTTTTAATGTATATTTTTATTCGCACGCACACTTAGTTACACATTGGTATAGGTTTTAATTGCACACACACATGGGGCTAATATTTATCTAATTTTTGAGTTTTATCTAATTATATTTGGAGCCCATATTTGGATGATATTATTAGCTTGTCACACCTGCACAAATATTCTTTCGAAAGCGATCGCTACCTCGAAATTCTTAAGCGAGAGCGACGTATACGTTATAATAATAAATTTCTTTTGGCAAAGTGTGACCGTTCGGTGGGTCGTAGAGAAATACCATTTTGTGCGGCTATCGATAGGTGAAATAAATACAAGTTGTGAGGTTATCGATGGGAGTTACCATTCGAAAACATCAGTAATGGAAAGAGAAAAACATACTCCAGAAATTCGCGAATTACTACCAGTTAGAGAGCACAGATGTGGAAAATGTCCTAAATTGGTGTTTGGCAACCTCAGTCACTATCAGTTGCACCTGCGCCAACGCCACCACGAAGTGCCACCATCCGCAAAAAGTGCAGCAAACATTGCCTTTCATTGTCCCGTGGAAAGGTGCATCTACCATGTCGTTACCAAAGGAGCACGCAGCTTCACCAGTCTGCGTTTATTGCGCCAACACTACCAGAAGAGCCACCTGGACAAGAATTACAAGTGCCAGGAGTGCGGCGAGAAGTTCCTGCTGCAGCACCACCTGGAGAAGCATCAGTGCTCGGAGCACAAGTGTCCCATTTGCGAACTCACCTACAGCAGTAAGGCTGGCTTGAGAACGCACATGCGGCGCAAGAATCACCTGGTGGAGCAGCAGGATTCCGATAAGGTTGCCATACCCTCGCTGTCCAACTGGAGGAAATTGAATCCTCCTACAAAAGAGTCTAATGTATGCTCCAGTTTGGAACTATCAGTTCCAGAGAAGAATATAGAGCATATGCCTTGTAATCAAGAAGTTGCCATTCAATCTGCTTCTCTGGAAGAGGATTTACCCCCTCCAGAAGAGCATATTCTATGTTTCCTGCCCATTATGGATGTGCCCTATGCACTGGAGCAGCTGCCATCCGAGAAGCTGGACATGGAAACCCAAACGGAGGAGGACGAGGTCCTGAATGATATCAGAAATAATGTCCTAGAGCCTCTTCTGCGGGATATAGAAACACAAACACCCGACACCAGGGGCGATATAGGAACCATGACTGATGATTTTCCAGAAGAACAGGAGCAAGTTGCAGGCGACTTTCCCACATATCCAGGTATGGACAACCAAACGATTGAAACCCGAGGAAATATTGGAACAATGACAGTCGCAGGCGACTTCCCTACATATCCAGATATTGAAAACCAAACTCGAGGCGATATGGGAACGATGACAGATGATTTTCCAGAAGAGCAACCTCCAGGAGCTGGCGATTTTCCCACCTATCCCGAAAACGAACACATGTTTGGCCTGCAAACCTCCGCCCACATGTATACTCAGACCTGTGATGAACTGTTCGAGGAACTGGGACTGTCCCACATCCAAACACAAACCCATTGGCCTGACGGTCTGTACAACACACAGCACACGCAGACATGCGACGAAATGCTGGATGAACTCTTTCTGGACAACTTTCAGTCGACCTGCACCCAAACCAGGTGGCTGGACTGGCAGGACAATGCAGAAGGTGAAAGCTAAGAAAATTGGAGTTTAAGAATTGTTATGTTTCCTTAATATACGAAAGGGCAAAACCCAACATTTAAGCTTTAATTTTATAATGCAGGATATGTACTTTTAAGAAACTGTTCGAAAAGGAATACCTAAAATTTTGTTAAACAAAAGTAAATTCATGAATTCAAATAACATGACAGGATGACCAAGTTCTTATATTCTTATAAACAACTTTATCAGAAGTTATATGAAATATATTTATTGAGAGTGTAGAAAATATTTGTTTTCTAATGGAGAGAAGTCTGAGTGATCTTAGAACTAGATAATTAAAAACTAAATAAGACGTTATATGAAATGTATTTATTGAAAATTAAGTAAGTATTTGTTTTGTAAAAATCACAAAACAATTATAAAGCCATGATATAATACAAATTTCAATACAAGATTGTTCAAAAGTAGTCCCTTTTCACTTAGATTTAGGCAGACTTTAGGCGAGGTCAAATAGTTTTCGTCTTGGAGCGAGCATCCGACTTGGTCAGGAGCAGCTCGGAGCATTGGAAAAAGCAGTAGCTGCAGAAGCACAAGGCCATGTAGTTGCCCACTCCGCTGAGGTAGGCGCCGCGCATCAGGAAGTCCCCGATCTCCTGGCCACCAATAAAGTAGACATTGGAGAAGGCGGCTGGGATGAACAGTTGGGTGGCCAACACGGCGTACAAACGCTGGGCACCCACTTCACCCAGATGACGATGTGTCCATAGCTGGTACTCCGGCGAGGAGGTCCACATCTTGAACAGCTTCTCCGCAGCTAGGCAGAGGAAGTTGAGGATGCTCCAGATAAGCACATAGGTGTAGCAACCATGCCAGACGAACACAAAGGCAAAGGTCAACGCAGTGGCTCCAAATTTGACCGCTGGCGAGGATCTCTTGCCGCACATTTCGGCGTAGATATGCTGAAAGAGGAACTCGTAGAGGCCCTCATCGAAATACTTCCACATGTCCGAGTAGAAGTGGATGCGGCCAATGCAACGTGGTCTGCTGGGAGCCGCAATGCCATCCTGCAGGGCGAAGGCTATGCCCAGGCCATAGGTGACCACGTAGTAGAGAAAAAAGAACTGACCCATGAAGTAGCCGGCGGAATGCTGCCAGAAAACCGAGTCCATCAGCTCCACCATGCGCACATCCCGCGACATGTAGTGTATGTAGAAGTAGTGCAGGGCGCACTGCATCAGTAGCCACCAGATGACACTGCGTAGGATGCCTCCAGCGAATGCCAGCCAGTCTTGAGCCTCATCCTGCCTTCTGGCTGCAAATCTCTGATAGCTAATGATGGGCCCATAGGTAAGGGTGGGAAAGTACATGGCATAGCCCAGATACTGGATGAGATTGTATCTGTCCAGATGCTCCTCTGCCTTTTTAGCGCCCATCTTGGACAGCGAAAAGCTGCAGCCTCGTAGCACACTCCACGACATGGTGACTATGACCAGGACATACTCCGAGTAGCCCACACGATCCGTCCACCAGGCATTCTTCTGGATCACATTGATGCACAGTATCCAGCTGGCGGATAAGAGCCAGACCATCCGTTTAGATGTGGTCAGGGAAATGAGGTAATAGCTACCTATCAAGGTGCCCAATAGCACCACCGATGTCCAGTCCAGGTTCACAACCAAGGCCAATCCGCACACACCGGCAAAGCCCAAGCACTGAAGGTGGGCACATTTCCAGCGGATTAATCCCTGCACAGCCGCATGGAGCACATAGAAGGGCCAGAAGACGGCTATAAAGTCGCCGAAGTTTTCCAGCTCATCGTTGCTATCATCTCGCCGCCGCTGGGAGAAGGGATAGAAGCTCCAGCCCTCCGGGAACTGGAACTTTGCCTCCTCGACTATGTGATCCCGCAGTCCATAGATCTTGTACAGGCCCACCACAATGTAGGCTATATAGACGCCAAAATAGACGAATATCTCGCAGCGGGTGAGCAGAGATCGGTCAGGTAACCTGGACATTACTGGACCACCGACTTGGGTTCTTCATTCCGGGAGAAAAGATTGCATTAGCGATGTGAAGAGCCAGCCAAAAATATCGATATATTTATACCCTTTCTCAAGGAGGGTACTTAAACCTCAATAAGAGGTACGAAACCAGGTAAAGGGTTTCCAATTTATCCTAGAATTCCTTTTAATCATAAATTTTAAGAAGATTTACCAGGTGAAACGCAATCTTTTTAGAAGATTTGGTTGTATTTATTTTAATATTTAAACAGTTATAAAGGAGTGAAATTTAATAAGAGCAGTTGCACTTAAATTAAGTTTGCGATTGGTATCTACAGATAGAGCTGAGTCCTAATGGACTGCCTCTGGTACAGCATCTCGCCCAAGAATCTTGATGATAAGAGGTGATGTACATTGATGGGACGACACACAGTTTAAACGCTAAGCTTATGGCTTCTTAATTGGTAACTTATAAATTCCAGCTCTAAATCTGTCAAACCAGCGAGTGCTTGGCCTATTTCTAGTTTGTCACATCGTCCTCGTACTCATCCGGCAGCTGCTTCTTGACCTTTCGGTTCGGTTCGGACATGCGTCGCTGGAGGTGTCGCCACAGCGTGCTCTTGGGGATCTCGAAGAGATTGGCCGCATGGTTCTGGGACATGCCCTCGTTCATGCAGGCATGCACGGCCTTGGCCAACTTGTCGCGCAGCTCATCCTTGGGCGTAGTGTCCCGCCGGCGGCAGGACACGAAGTCGGGAAGGCGTCCCTGGGCCGACAGACGCATCTTGTGCCGGTGCAGCGTGGACATGGGGATCTGCAGTTCCGTGCTGATGCTCTTCAGTGAGTCCCCGTTTTTCAAGCGCTCATAGGCCTCGATGAGGGAAGGTCTTTCCCGGTTGTTTCGCATGTAGGCGGGATTGTTGCGCACACGTCGCCACAGGACCGTCTTGGAGATGTCGAATCGATCGGCGGCCTTCTGCAGACTCAATCCCTCGAGGATCACTGCGTCCGCTGCCAGATCCAAAGCATCGTTGATATCGTCTTTCACCTCCCTCTTCAGAGCCACAAATTGCTGCAGTCTCGTTGGTTTTCCAGGTGCTCGTTTGGCGGATTTTGTATTAACAGGGCGACGATTGCGCGGAGTCGGCTTTCCTCCTCCTCCGCCCAATTTGCGGGGCTTTTCTGGCTCCAATTCCTCCTCTTCAGCCTGGTCGTCGTCGTCGTTGTCGTGCACATCGTCGTCATCCTCGTCCATTTCAGTGGCGGCTTCGATAAGTGGATCGGTGGGCGTAAACTCATCATCGATCATCTGGGTCTCTTGCTCTTCTGAATCCTCAGTGATATCGGCCTCTGGATCGTCGTCGACCAGTTCCACATCGGCTCCACTGGTGATCGTCTCATCGGCTTCCAGCTTGGTCAAACTCGCGGTCGACTGTGTTATGGTAAAGGTGCCCTTCTCTTCTGTGAGGATAAACTGATTGCCATTGGAACTGCCGTCCATGTGTTCAATGGAGTAGGTGATCTTTGGCGGCTCATAGACATCCAGGTACTCCAGGGAGCGATTGGACTGCTGGCTCTCCGCCAGGACCGAGCTGGGCACGACTGTCATCGCCGCGTGTGCTCCCTCCTCCTCCTCGTCCTCGTCCGCCTCGGCGATTTGCAGGCCGGTTAGGGACTTGGTTGACACCACATCCAACGGATTGGTTTCCCCATCTGCGCCGGCACTGGCCGAGGGATTGCACTCGAAGCTGATGGCCGACTTAATCCCGAGCAGATTAATGGCCTCCAGGAATTCGGATAGCGAGGCGGAGGGCAAACTGGTCTCGCCCATGTAGATGAAGGACAGCATGCTCTCCAACAGATCCCCACGGATGTCGGGCAGCACGATGGTGGCCTCCTGGCCACGGGGCACATCCACCAGGAGGTTGCGCATCAGTTCGCTGCACGTACTGAGCACGAAGAGATGGGCGCGCACCCGAATGCCGTCCCTCGAGGCCAGGATCACCTCGCAGCTGCCATTGTCGTTGCGCAGCGAACGCTGGATGTCCATTATCGTGGACGAGTGCCCCATCCACTTTAGGTGATTCTAGTTTGGACACCGATTGCCATTAATTCAGAAGTCTACCCAAGTCGCGTTTCACTTACCATCTTGTTGTGTTTTGATTTCCAATTGATTTCCACACAATCTTTCAATTCTCGCAATTCCAAACGCGACGCGAAGCCAGGGTTTTTTGAACAGGGTTGTCGAGAGCGACGAATGTTTTGGTATTTTTTTCACAAGCATCCAGGCAACGGAACGGTTCGGTATTTTTCAATTGAAGTTGTTGGTTTTTTATAATTTATTATTTTATTGCTAAGAAAAAATTTATTTATGATCCAGTTAGTTTTTGTTTTTTTTAGCCTTAAATTATATTTCCAGTAAAATCTTTTGAAAAAGTAGAAAGAAATTTATCTTTGATTCAGGTAAAGTATATTGTAAGTAGATTTGAATTATTTTCCTAGAAAAACATTTTAAAAAGTTAGAAAAGAAAATATAATGCTTTCCATTTCGTAATTTTTTTTTAAGGAGGAAATCTTGGCATCTTAAATTTGTCACCTTGTATGTATACCCAGTATTAACAAAAAAAGTTTGAAATATAAAACTATGCTGAATTTCTAATAGGTTTTATAATATAAATGAATATAAAATTTATATTCACTAATATTCATTCGAGCGATCGGTCGCTGAAACATTAAAGTGAATTTCTGGTATACTTACCAATTGCGGTATTTTGGAATACCGTACTTAGGGTTGCCAATTGTGATTAAACTCAGCGCCCTGTCAACTCTGGGGCTACAACAACAATATTGACATTTTAGCATTACATAAATTGTCAAAAACTGGTGCAAATTGTTGAATTTTAGATTGAACAGTTTGTAGAATGGCGGCCTTAATCAGGAATCTGGGTGCCCGGGCCGCAGTTGCCGCTCTGTCGGCCAAACATGGTGGGTTATCCTTGCGAGAGTCGTCAAGAGCTCCAAATTGATAATTTTTAAACCATTCCTTTAGTGGTGCCCGCTGCAGGATTAACTGCCCTCCGGATGAACAGCACGGCGCCCGTGGATCCCAAGAAGGCGGATAAGCGTGGGTAACTAGTGAAACCTTTAAGGAACCAACTTAATATGGGACTTTCCCTACTTATACAGCCACTATCCGGCAGCCGGATGCAGTTGCTCGCTCGCATCTCTCTGATTTTGGACGCTATGTGGCCGAGTGCCTGCCCAAGTACGTGCAAAAGGTCCAACTGACCGCTGGCGATGAGCTGGAGGTGCTCATTGCTCCCGATGGCGTGGTGCCGGTGCTGCAGTTCCTGAAGGATCACCACCAAGCACAGTTCACCAACCTGATCGATATTGCCGGCGTGGATGTCCCTTGCCGCAAGAACCGCTTTGAGGTGGTCTACAATCTCTTGTCGCTGCGTTATAACTCCAGAGTCCGCGTGAAGACCTACACCGATGAGCTTACTCCATTGGATTCGGTGTGCGAGGTGCACAAGGCGGCCAACTGGTATGAGCGTGAGATCTGGGACATGTACGGCGTGTTCTTTGCCAACCACCCCGATTTGCGTCGCATCCTGACCGATTACGGATTCGAGGGGCATCCCCAGCGACGCGACTTTCCCTTGTCCGGCTATGTGGAGCTGCGCTACGATGATGAGAAGAAACGCGTCGTCTGCGAGCCCCTGGAATTGGCCCAGGAGTTCCGGAAGTTCGACCTGTCGGCCCCGTGGGAGCAGTTCCCCAACTTCCGCAACGCAAATCCGCCCGCCGAGGTCGTTCCCACACAGCCAGCTCCGGCCAAGAAGTAATCCCCCAAGTTGGTTTGTTAAATGGTAATTAGATCAATAAAACGAGATCATTATGAGATATGATAAACAAAAAAAGGGAGAACAATGAGTTAATTACACTGAACGACAAAAAAAAGCCTAAGACTGGGCGCTAATGATACTGAATGAATTTTAGCTTAGATCAGCTTTAAATACTTAACCTTGGTTTTTGTTTTCCGAATAATTTTGCAGTTGCAAATTTATTGAAGAGGATTAGCTAACTACTTGTACTACTACTTAAAAATTGCGTTTGAAGATTATATTGAAAACAATATAGTAAAAATACAGGCACAAAGTTGATATATAATTTTGTTCCTGCTAGAGCTGTTCTAAATAGTGGTCCAATTTCTTACAGTTTGGATCGGCATGCTAGGATTGTTTTATTTAGAAATTCAAAAACGGAAATTCCCCTGAAAACGCAATGATTTTTATCAAACCAGAGGGGTCACAAGTATTTATTGGGTTTCGTATGGTTTACATAGTAGTTTACACTCAGAGTTGAACGAATCTTCCTCCCGGATGTGGCACATCCGGAAAAGCTCCTCCTGCAGGACATCCTACATTTATAAAACGTTTGCTAAAACAATTGTGTGTATGTGGGGGCCTCTTGACAATTCGTGCGCCTGCGCAGCGGTGCCCGGCGAAAAAGTACGGGTGCAAAAGGACCTGCTTAAGTTTAATCCGAACCAGATCGGATTTGGGGGAGTAGTTGTTGTACTTGGTGGAAAACCTAATCGTAATTCGAGCTTCAGAAGTCTGACACACCGCTTGGCTGCACCGTCGTCGTTAAAGTTTTTAATGTATTTGTTAATGTATTTTTGTTTGATTTTTCTTTCGTTTGTTTGGTTTTCTTTTTTTTGATTTGTACAAGAACATACACATAAATATATATATATATATATAGTACATAGGTACACGCACACACATAAACATAGTATTACATTTAGCGATTTTAAAAAAAGTTTTACACTCCGCATTCCGGCGGAGTGGTCCAAAAAGATTTTCGTTACTTTACAATGGCTGCGTGCCTTCTTTTTTTTTGTGGGGCACGGCTCAAAAAACAAATTTTCGGCGCCCCAATGGCGCCCTCTTCTCCTCCGACAGTCCATGTGCCTGGTAATCCCGTCCAGCTGCACAGTGGGACTGGGACGACAAATGAAAATTTCGGTGCAGGCTATAAAGTGCGGGAATTTCCGCACTTTTTGTCCTGCTGACAAAAAAACAAATTCGACAGACGGCCTTTTGGTACAGAAACCCGTAAAGCAGGAGGAGATCATCCTCTTGGCGGCCGTCCTGCCACAAATACAAATTAATGCGGGCTTGGCCAAGACAGCTCCAGATTATATCGATTCCGTCTTGGTGTAGGGACGAGCTCCTCCTCCACTGTGGCTGCTGTTTCCCGCAGAGGCGACATACGGCGATGCCTTGCCACTGCTACCGCTTCCCGAACCCGATCCCGTCGTGCTGCTGCTGTTCACCTGATTCTCTCCAGCAGCCGAGGAGGCCTCGTTGTTGAGCCGCTCGTGGTACTCCTGGAAGCAGGGCACAATGCACAAATTCGTCTGGCACTCCGGGCAATGGTACTTCGTTTTGCGGCGCAAAATGCGGCCATGCCCATCGATGGTGTTCCAGCAGAAGTTGCAGCCCAGGGCCGGACCCGGCCGAATTACCGGGCAGTGACTAGAACGTGGATTATCCAGGGTGATGATCTCCCGTTGGGTCTGAGAAAACGTTTGATCAAAACACGATACTTAAGTGGGTTTCCAGATTAAGAGGAGAATAAAGCCAACTCACCTGTGGTGAAGACACCGATCGCTGCAGTTCCTCGTTCTTGACGCGCAGCGTGGGCAAATGCTCGAACGAACTGCTCATGGTGGTGGCCTGTCCGGGATGCAGATGGGTGTGGGTGCCACCGATGGAGCCCGAGGAGGCGGCCTTGGCATTTCGCAGCCTCGATCCGCCGTTGGCCGCCTCTGCCTGAATTTTTCCTGCCCGCTCCACCACCTGCTGCGATCTGCCGGGTGAATGCGGTGACCTCCGCTCGTGGGCCACATCCGATGAGCCCACGGAGAATGTGGGCGACAAGGGATGCCGACTGGCGGTGTTCTGCAGCTGGATTCCCGAAATGGGTGAGGTAACCACGGACACGGCAGCCGACACAGTCGATGAGGAGCCCGGACTGGCGTTCGTGGGCGTGGCGGCCGTTTCACTGGAAACCACCGGCTGACAGGTCACCACACGCGTGGGCACCAGGTACTGCGAGGAGCCGGCCGGCGGCGGTGATCCCGAGGCGTAGATGGACTCGGGCAGCGAGATGTGGTGCGGATGGTGGAGCGGAGCCGGACTGACGTAGCTGGCACTACTTGTCCCCGACAGCGGATGCGAGTATTGCCGATGCAGTGGGGCAAAGGGATTGCTGCCTGTGGCTGCCATTCCCGAGCCAGATCCACCCGCCATGTGGAGGGCAGACTGACGGGGCAGGAGCGGATCCGAGTGCTGCTTGATGAGATACGGAGTGCTGGACGGCACGCTGAGCAGGTGCGGCGTGGAGGGGCCCAAGCTGGGCGCCGGTTCGGAGGCATGCCGCTCAATCCTCGGCGGCACGGTCAGCAGGTGATGGTGACCATGATGACCATGGACCGTCGGCTGGTGATGCAGATGATGCGATGCGCCCGTGGTGGAATAGTCCCTGGCCGTGACACTACTCGCCGCCCCTGCAGCATTGAACGGATCGAAGTCGAGCGTGGTGGCAGCCGTGTCCGGCGAAATCTGATTCGTGGAGGAGATGCTGTCGCTGTCCCGCTTCACCCTCGGCTGGCGGGTCAACACCCGGTTGCGCTTCGTGCCCATCACCACCGGCGAACTGGGCGTGCCATCCGGATCGCAGTCGACGGAGCCAACGCCTCCGATGCTGAAGGAGCGCTCGAAGCTCCCACTTCCACCGCTACTGCTGCTGGCGGCCGCCAGAGGAGGATGTGGCGGATGGGGCGCATGTGCCGGACTGGGCTCTGCAAGGTAAGAGGATAAGATTATATCATTAGAGTCTTCTTTTCCCGTTTAAAAATATCCAAAATGTACTATATCTTTTTTGAAAGGGCACCCGATGGTCTAGAGCCCATAAATGTAAGACATTTTTGGGATTTATTTATAAGTAGTAGAACAAACTTATAAAATATACAAAACATTTTTTTTGTTTGTGAAAACATTTTAAATTATTTTAAAATTTGCAATTAAGCTGAACATATTGAAAATTTATAACTTTCTATTTATCGGAAACGTAAAATCAAAATATATTATTTATCAGTAAATCAGAACTAAAAAAGGTTGGAAACCTTCATAAGTTTTTGAAAATGAAACAGAGATGTTATCAATATAAAAAAATGGTCGATTGAAATCGGATTTATCTAAAATACAGTCAAAACATTATACGAATTTAAGAAAATTATTTCAAACTCGATTTTTACCACCGGATTCCCTTTAACCAGTTCTCTATTTATAAATGTAATTAACCTTTGGGTATTATAAAGTTGTGACTCAAATCTTTAAAGCCTCAAGTTAAAATATGACTCTTTTGAATATTTCTATTGAAATCAGAGAGTCATTCCAGTATATCCTATCCACAACCTCATATTTAAGTAGAGGTGATTATGAAAATGAACAGTCTGAGAGTATACGTTGTAGTTTTGAAAGTTTATTCGTTTCTTGCACATCGACTACAGTCTAGAATGTTCGTTCCATATCGATCTCGATCCCGATCACGATCACGATCTCGATATTCGTGTGGGGCTCGCATTCGCATTACTTGGTATGGTACATGCAACTTATAATACAATCGGTTCACTTATGCACTTGCGCTGATTTAAATAATTTATATATATATTTAACACACATAACTAGCGTAGTTATTGGTACTTTGCAATTGTAGGAAACAGAGTTAGTAATATTTGCTTATTGTTTCTGCTATTTTCGCGTTGTTTTATCCGTGTTCTGTTGGGTTCTGTTCTGTTCTGGATTGGTTGTTTCTGTGACCTGGGATCGTGGGGATCCACCATGATACATACTGCATATCATGGCATTTCTGTGTGGGCGAGTGTAATAAAAGTCCATTATCAAAGTTACGTTACTCTATGACTTCTAACAAATCACGCTTAGTTCTTAGTATGCCTTGACACAATATAAAAAGTTCTCTATTAGTTACATTATGTATATGAATCGTATTAAAAACACACTATTCGTAATCGTTATTCATAACCGGAATCGCGAAATATGTCTTTTCCGTTTCCGTTTGTGTTTTGGTTTTTATTTGCCTTTTAGCTGCAGTCTCCGTTTAGGATTTTGGGTGGTTACGAGTTATCTTTAAGTTTCGTTTGTTTGCGTATCTGTATCTTCACTTGTAATCATTACCGATCATTACCGCCTCAATATGTACATACCTATGTACAAAGAAATCGTCAAGAACCAAAAGTGCCAATATAAATAAGAGTCCCCGTAGTGAATACCCCCTTTAGATATGTTGTTGTCGCATTTGGAAACGTGTAAACGTAAAAACCTCGGAAATAAATGAAAAAATCTGTTGGATGCATTCACAAATATAAATATATATACATGTATATTGATTGGTACATATCTTATCATACATATCCGGTTCTCTTACTTGCTCCTCTGTTGATCTGTTAGTCTATTGCAGATATAGATCGCTCTATATCCCTCTGTTCATGACATTTATTCGGTTTGAAGTTGAAGGGAGTTGTTCGCTAACGATTACGCTTATGCTTCAAATAGTGTGGATTCTTCGCCGCTCACACTATGTTCACATGGATAGGAAGCTAAATATAATGCGGGAGTACCTCTACATACTGATATTTACTAGTGTAACACAAGTGCAGAATTGAAATCTCATTCGAAACGAGGAAGAAAACCTATTTCTGATGCGCCAGAGCCAGAGCAAACCCCACGAAAATGTGGGATCGGGAAATTTGTTTCCAGAAATGTGCCAATAAATCTCATTTTGTCCTTAACATTTATCATTATACGATTACAGATAAAATTTTTGGTTTCGTCCATTGCTTGTGTTCGCATTACAAAAAAGTGGAATATGGAACGGATGATTCCGCAGAGTTTGTTCGGCTGCTGGCACACACAGCACCACTTTTTTTCTTTTTTTAGCTGCAGTTGGTTGCTTTACAAATCATTTGATGTTCGCGATTAACACTAATAAAATTGTATAATTTATGTACAATTACAATTATTCTTTTACACGTAATATAGCTAATATATATATAAATATATATATATATGTATATATATCTCGAAGATCTGTACTACCGATTTACTTAGTTAACAATCGTAAAAATGTAGGGTTCAAAACTTTAAGCTTAAGGAATTCCTAATTAGGTTCTAAGAAATTATTACAAGTGCGGCCGGCTCGCCTCGTCTTCTCTATCATTCTATCATTCTAACTGATCCGATTCGATCCTCTCCAGCTTTGCGATCCTCTCCTGCTCTGCTTAGCTCAGCTCAGCGCAGGAATCCATTCCGTCATGCATCCATCTATCCTATTGCCACTCTTCCGTAAAAGCGGTCCGCTGCTATATACACTAGATTGGTGCCGTTTTGCTCTAATACCTGTATCGATCGATTTGGTGGACCCACTTGGACCTACGACTTGTCCAAGTACTGCAGGCCCGTCACCGGCGGTGCAGCAGCCACCGTCACAAAGTTATTGATGAGGAAACTGTGGGCCATGCCCATGGGAACGGAGACGGGCATGGGCATGGCTGATATGCTCAGGGATTGGGATTGCGATTGCGCTTGCGACTCCGCTGGCTCCACGGCTCCACTGGCGGCCATCACGGCGGCTGCCTGCAGCAGAGTGGCCGTCCCCCCCGCCTGGCTCGAAATCGTATTCTATATCGAGTTGAAGTTAATACTCTGTAGATTCATGGCGGTGGTGGGATTGACATTGATGGTACCAGTTCCTGCGCCCGTTCCCGCGCCCGCTCCTCCGCCGGTGGCTTCAATGTAACGCTGCCGCGTCATCGAGTGCACATTGCCGGGCGAGTCCATGTAGCGCGGATCGAACAGGCTCATCACGCCAATGGCTGGGTGGGAGTTTCCGCCGCCGGGCAGGCTGCCAGCTCCACTCCCCAAGCCCGCATGATGCGGAGTGCACATCAGCGAGGGCGTTGGCGTCTCCGCTTGGGGAGGAATCTGCATGCTCAACGTCTCGTTGGTGTTGTCATCACCCTGATTCGTTGAGGGCGTGGGCGAGGGCGACAGATTCGGCTCCTGCTTGACCACGCGCGCCTTTATGCTGGGCCTGGACACCGGGTAGCCCCGCTTCTTGTACTCCAGCCAGAGAGTTCTGTTATTGACGCCATACAGTCGTGCCGCCTTGCAGAAACCAATGCCGCCCGTGCGCACTGCCTCCAGAGCGCGTATAAAGTTCTCATCTCCCTGCGGATTTACCGATCGCTTGCGTTTCACCACCTGATTGGCTGGCCCAGTAGCTCCTCCATTGCCCGCACTGCCAGCATTTCCTGCTCCTCCTGCGCCGACGGCACTGGCTCCGCCCGTATGCGCGGGCGATTGAGTGGGCGTCGGACCCTGACTGTAGACTGATTGCACCATGTTCGATTCGCTGGGCGATAGGTTTTGGGCCGCCGTCGCGTAGCTGCCGACTAGGTTGTTCACGGTGATGATCTGCGATGAGTAGGCCTGTCCCGAGGCGGAGGCCTGCTCCTGCTGCTGTTGCTGCTGCTGCTGCTGCTGTTGGTAGTGTAGCTGCTGCAGGTGTTGTTGCTGCTGGGTGACGGCCTGTTGCTGGGCCTCGTGCTGCTGCCGCTGATCGCTATTGACGGTGCTATTTGCACCACTGCTCTGGCTGCCAGTGCCGCCACCACCACTGCCACCACCGCCATTGCCCAGCAAGTTGGACTGGCAGGCGGGCAGGGAGAAGCGCGGATAGTTCGAATCGACAACTGTCCATTGCAGACCTGGGAAGGGGAGAGAGAGAGAGAGAGACAGCGTATGAAAGATTGGTTCTGGTACTGGTACTGGTACTGGTACTAGGGTTTATTTCGATCGAAATCTCTCCTAGCTCTAATGGTTTAGGATCAGATCTGGTCTGGTATCTGGTATCTGGTATGGTCTTCGTCGTGGTCTAAGTTCGGTTCTTGTTCTGTTTCCGAGACGGTTTATAGTTCATAGATAGTTACAAATAGAGGTAGGTAGTAGAGGAAAGATTGCTAAGGCTAAATCATTATCATCGGAGGAAACCGCTGTTTCAAAATTCCCACAAAACAAAAATCAAAATCAAAATCAAAAACGCAAGTAAATGAACAATCGAAAAAGAAATTCGGAAGTTTTGGTTTTAGTTTTTGTTTTTCTTGGACTCTGTGCTAGCTCTCTCCCATTCCCAAGTTCAGGCAGGATTCGGTTTTTTTGTTTTGGAATACAATACACAATAAATAGTTAAACATAGAAAATTTCGGCATTTTACAAATATTTCGTTGCACTTAGTCGGTAGCTAAAAATCGGTAATGGATAAATCGGTATGCTAGATCTCATTTATTTAGCTTTAGCATTCATTTCTCCAAGCGCTGTGTACTGAAATTGTTTTGAAGTGGCGCTCCGTTCGTGTGTGAGTTATGCGGATGAAATGTGATCGTGAATCGAGAGTACACAGTCGTTGAGAATTGAGAATGATCTGATTACAGTGTTTTTTTTCGGTTCATTAAACCCCCACAAAGTTGACAGTCCTCTAAGTCGTTTAAAAATACTTTAATTTTGGTCATGACAATGATCTCTTTTTTAATTTCAGATTTACTAAACTTATTATTCACTATGATTTATAGACCCCCTCGTTTGTCTATCAAGTTCTGCAACATTTTGACTAGAAATTATAGGAAAGTTATCTGTTTGTATTTTCTTTTTTTTAAATAATCATAGCAAATGAAATTATGAAACAATAGAACAAAGAAAAAAAGAATCCATCCTGGCGAATGAGTTCCCTATCCGATGAGCAATGAGTTTTGATGGAACAGTGTGTGCTGGCTTTTGAGTTCTACTGGCGAGACTTACCCGAGTGCGAGGACTGGGAGTTGGGCGCATCGTGCTCGGATGGTGTGGTTCCGCCAGAGATGTCCAGGGGCATCGTCTGATTCACGCCGCCAATGTCCACTTCGGGCTTCTGCACGTTGTTGGCACCGAGAAAAAGAGGGGAAACAATTAGTTGAGCTGTTCAGGCGGACAAGGGTACGAGGTTAACGTGACCAATTTCATTACAATTTGCATGTGTAAGTGTCCGTGTCCGTCGTCCAGATCCGAATCCTGCGGCTGCTGCTCGAGCTCGGCGCTGGCCGACTCCTTGAGCAGCTTGGCCGCGTGCAGCGAGTGACCGGCCAGGCTGCCGCCCGCGCCAAACGACATTTGGCTCATCTGGGCGAGACTTAGACCGGCATTCCCGGCGCCACTGCCCGCATCCAATGAGCTATTGTGCTGCTCCTCCACATTGTTGCGTTCGCCAGAGCCTGGAAGGGATTTAAAGACTAGTTAGTTTGAATATCAGCTATTGTAGAGTGCTCGCGACGATGCTTTACCCAACTCCAACTCACCGTTATTCGAGGATTTGCGCAATCTTTTGCGCCTGGTGGCCGGCGAAGTGCCGGCGCTCAGGGGCGAAGGCGTGCGTCGCATCTGGTGGTGATGCGTCTGCCCCGCTTGTCCCTGTCCGCCCTGCTGCTGCTGATGGTGGTGGTGATGGTGTTGCTGCTGCTGCGCCTGTTGCTGCTGCTGCGCCTGTTGTTGCTGCGCCTGCTGCAGCGCCGCCTGCTGCTGTTGCTGGTGGTGATGATGCTGCGCCTGTTGCTGGGCCTGTTGCTGTTGCTGCTGCTGCTGCTGGAACTGCTGTGCCTCGCTGCTGCTCCACAGGGAATCGCCCACGCTGCTGCCACTGCCGGCGCCTAAGCTGCCAGTCGAAGTGCCCGCTCCAGTGCCCACACCCGAACCGCCGCCACCCACCAATTCGTTGCCATCAGTGGAGGACTTGCTGTCCGACTTGGTCAGATTGGCCGGATCCGTGGGCATCTCCGCCAGGCCCTTGATCTTGAGCATCTCGGCCGTTTTGAGGATGTGCGGCAGCTGCTCCTGCGACACATTGACCTCGCCATAGTACATAAAGTCCACCATGGTCTTGAGGTCATCGTACTGCACATCCTTCAGGATGACGATGGGATGTTGGCACGGATTTGTGGTAAACAGGGCCTGTAAAGAAGTTTTCGGCTTAGTTTGAATTGGCGGGGCAGATCTCAATCCTTACCTGAAAGTACGAACTGCAAGCGGAGAGCACTATTTTGTGGGCCTGCAGCTGGCGACCCTCGGCGGCCAGGGTGACGTCCACCAGGGTGCCATTGTGCAGCAGCGAGGAGCAGACCGAGATGAAGTTCGGTTGGTGGTTGTTCCAACGCAGGCAGAACTGCTGCACGGACATGGTGATGGCTCGTCCGTGTCCCGGATTTAGTCCTCAATCTCCGGAGGTGCCACCTCCTCCTCCTCCCGCTCCACTCCTCCTCCTCTTCCTCTTCTGCGTTTTGCAGCCAATTAATCCGCACTGATAACACTCTTTTTATCGCCTCCCGCCGCTCTATTGATTTTTATTAATTTTCCCTGCTTTCCGGTGTTTTTTGTGCTTTGTTTTTGCCTCTGCCTTTTGAATTAATTAAAATTTATGAGCAGTTTGTAGATACAGATGTGTGTGTGTGTGCGAGGGGGGTCGGGGCTTCGGTTCTCGGGGGCGGGAGTTACGACTACTAGGCCGCACGCATTGCTAGTCACTGCAAAAAAGGGGTACAATAAAAATCGAGGTTTAAATAAATCAAAAATTATCGATGGGTTACACAAATTGCTCAAAAACAAATTCCGCGCTCTCTCTCTCTCTCTATCTTTCTGTATCACAGCTGCGCGCTCTCTCTCCCGCTTACAAAAAAACCACAAACAACAACAAGGGATTGCGTATGTGTGTAATTATACAGTCGCGAAAATGACACACACACTCATAACGCTGACCAAAGTTTTATTTTTGATAAAACCGAGAACGTAACGAAATCGAATAGCTTTTTGTATAGTTGTAGCGCCGTAGACCTTGAATTTTCTTTGATTCTTATGACGTAATTATATATGCGCGCTCTCTCTGTCTATTATATTCGTAGCTCACCCACACAGCCGAAAAACCGACGACGTACTAATCGCTTCTTCTTCGTTTATTCATCGTATCGATATTTTCAGTGGCATTTATTTATGTGTGCCTGTCGCGTTTTATTTTTACATATAATAGGCATACCACTGATACACAATCTATCGCCAGCACCACATGTTTTTCACTTGCATTTCCCTTGGTTATTTTTTGTTTCTTTATTTTTATAAACTTTGCCTTTTTGTTGTATTTTTTCTTTTTTGCCTTTCTTTCCAAAAACAAAATGGCGCGCAACAAATTTATGCGATTGGCAAAACAACACCGAAAACTGGTCGCACGGTTTGGATTTTAATGTCCTTAGGTGCCCGATCGATAGCGCCAGTCTATTTACGGCTTTTTACACTTTAATTATGCAGATTTCCCATAAAAAATAGCATTTGAAAATTCTTACGTTTTACTTCTTTATGCGAAAGATTTTTGTGATTATACGGCAACTCTGCTTAAAACGAGTTGGCAGGTCTAAAGATAGTGTGACCGCATGGGGTGTAAGAAAACATACCAAAATACCATTCAATTATTATTAACTGATTTTAATTTTAAGAATTGATTAAATGGCGGGAGAAACAGATTTTTTTTCAAACTGCTCTAAATATCAAATTATGTAGTTTAATTTGCTGTATTACAAACAGAGTTGCCAGAGTTTAAGCTAAACGGAACTAGTTTGGTTCCCTTGGTGACTCGCGAATTTGTTGTTGTTTTTACCTAGAGATGTCAGTCTTGAACAAAGAACCGATAGTTGGCAACGGCCAAATTTAACGATTTGTGCTCGTTGTGTGGTGAAACAAGAAAGTTTACTATTCAAATCGTTTAAAAAGTAGGTAATAATGTGTAAAAACTAATTAAAGATAATAAGGAAGAAGTAAAAACACAATAAATTGGATGTCCGAGTAGTCGATAGTTGCCATTTTCGTGCTTGCCGGTATCGATGCATTTACATTTGTTCCTCTCTAAGCAGCAGCTGCAAAAAATATCAAAAATCAACTATTTCACATTCGGTTCGTCTAGTTTATGCGTAAAAAGCTGCCCACAGAATTCCACATAGCATCATGGAGGAACTACGCAAGCATTTATCCAAGGTGAACGTGCCCTGCGGATCGGGGGCAGGTAGTCCTCCGATTTACAAGGACGAGTGCGTCTATTCCTACGACAATCCCGAGACGCCCACCGGTTTGTACGTGTGCCTGCATAGCTTTTTGGGATTCGGCGAGGCCTATGTGCGGGAATATGCCGAAAAGACCGGTAACCAGGTCTTCCTCCACATCCAGCGCGTAAAGACGCCCAAGGAGGGCGTCGATGGTGAGGCGGAGTGCGATCCGGAAGCGGATGCGGCGGGACCGGAGCGGAAGATCACCCGCTTGGCCATTGGCGTGGAAGGTGGCTACAACGAATCGGACATGGCCAAAAAGTTCGAAATCAAGGACACGTACAGCATCGTGGTGGCTCCTCATCTGGACAAGAAGCTGCCGTATCCCGATCCCGAGCTGCCCATGCGCATCACCCAGGCGGTGGAGGCCATCTTGGCCGCGGATTCGGCCATCGCCAAGCTGGAGAAGGCCACGCTGATGGGTGAGTTTAAGGGGACTTCACAGAAAGAACAGAAGTAATACATAAAGCTGCTCAGTACTAAAAACTATTAAAACGTGTATTCGTTTAAAGAAAAATAATGATTTTTGGAAATGTTACAGTTCAAATTAGTTATAAACAATTTGCTTTTTAATATGTATAGTACCTGTACAACTATTAAACCTATACCTCATGTGTAATATCCATAATATTGTTAATTTCCCTCTTCTTTTTAAAGGCACTTGGGATGGCGAGGTGCGTCAGGCCTCGAAATACGCGGAGAACCTGCAGCAACTGGACAACGGCAAGAAGATTCCACCGGCCGGCTGGCAGTGCGAGAAGTGCGACCTGACCAACAACCTCTGGCTGAACCTGACCGACGGCTCCATCATGTGCGGACGCAAGTTCTTTGACGGAAGCGGTGGCAACGACCATGCCGTGGAGCACTACAGGGTGACAGGCTATCCGCTGGCAGTCAAGCTGGGCACCATCACGGCCGATGGCAAGTCGGATGTGTTCTCCTACCCGGAGGACGACATGGTACTCGATCCCCACCTGGAGAGGCACCTTGCCCACTTCGGCATCAACATGGCGGCCATGAAGAAGAGCGAGAAGTCCATGGTGGAGCTGGAGTTGGACATTAACCAGCGCATTGGCGAATGGTCGGCGCTGACCGAGAGCGAGAGTGAACTGTTGCCGCTGGCCGGTCCTGGATACACGGGAATGCGCAACCTAGGCAACTCCTGCTACATCAACAGTGTGATGCAGGTGCTCTTCGTCATCCCAGATTTCCAGCAGCGATTTGCGGGCACTGGAGCTGAGCGCTACTTCAGCGAGTTTCCCAGCGATCCCGCCAACGACTTTAACATTCAAATGGCCAAACTGGGCACTGGTCTGCAGTCCGGAAAGTACAGCAGCATTGCGGAAAACACTCTGGACACTGATCACTCCACCGGCATTTCGCCGGCCATGTTCAAGAACATTGTGGGCAAGAATCATCCGGATTTCAGTACCAAACAACAGCAGGATGCCAACGATTTCTATCTGCATTTGCTCACCCTGCTGGACAGGAATTCGCGCAATCAAAGCAATCCCGCAGATGCTTTGAAGTTTCTGCTGGAGGATCGTGTTGAGTGTTTGGCCAGCAGGAAGGTCAAATACAAGACACGCGAGGAGTACAGCTTCCGGTTGCCCATTCCGCTGGACAAGGCCACCAATCTGGACGAGGTGAAGGAGTTCCAGGAGCGGGAAAAGACGGCACGCGAGACGGGACAACGTCTGGTGGACAGGGACATTGTGAGGCACAAGGTGCCACTGCAGGCCTGCCTGGAAAGCTTCTTTGGCCCGGAGCTGATCGAGCAGTTCTACTCCACGGCCATTGAGGGCAAGACGAATGCCAGGAAGATCACGCGACTGGCCACAATGCCCGATTGTCTGATGATTCACCTGGGAAAGTTTACGCTGGGCGATGACTGGGTGCCCAAGAAGCTGGATGTCTCTGTTGACATGCCGGATGAACTGGATCTGAGCACCTGGCGTTCGGCCGGTGGCTTGCAGGCCGGCGAGGAGGCTCTTCCTGAGGCGGCCGCGGAGCAGGTGAAGTTTGCCTTCGACGAGGCGGTCATGTCCGAGCTGCTCACCATGGGTTTCCCGCCGGAGGCCTGCAAGCGGGCCTGCTTCCACACAAAGAACAGTGGCCTAGAGGCCGCCTCCAACTGGCTTATGGAGCACATTGCCGACGAGGACATCTCGGAGCCATTTGTGGTGCCCAACAACCCGAGCATTGGAGACTGTGCGGCCAACCAGTTTGTGGCCAATCCGGAGAGCCTGGCCATGCTGATGAGCATGGGATTTGATGAGCGCCAGGCAGTGGCCGCCTTGAAAGCCACCGATGGCAATGTGGAGCGCGCCACCGACTGGATCTTCTCGCATGCCGATTCCATTGGCCTGGAGGAAGTCACCGCCCCTGCCTCGGATCCCTCCGCTGCTGCAGCGGCTTCTTCGGCGCCAAACAAGGACAACTATCGCGATGGCAACGGCAAGTACCGACTGGCGGCCTTCATCTCGCACATGGGCACCTCCGCCCAGGTGGGACACTACGTCTGCCACATCCGCAAGAAGGGCGAGTGGGTGATCTTCAACGACAGCAAGGTGGCCAAGTCGCAGCATCCGCCCAAGGACCTCGGCTACCTGTATTTGTACATGCGCGACCAGTAGCCAGCCCAGACCCGATCTCAGTTCAATCCGCAGTAGCCCAGTCCCGCACCCTAATATTATGCGCCCTGAAGAATGGAATTTAAGAATAAACTAACATATACAGTGCTACACTAGACTTTGGAGGTTTTAAGAAACGGTCAGAATATGCTATAGGAGATATTTTAAAAGATCTTTGGATATGAAGTGTTTTCGAATTCTTTAAAATATATTTTTAAAGATCTTTGTACACAAATTCTAGATACTGACTACTATTTCGAAAAAAACGATAGTAATGAAACTGGAAATTGAAATTATAATTGACAGAAATTTATTTTTTTTAACAGCAGAAGCTCTGACGTGGCATCAATACCATTTGTGATTTGTAAAGATTTTATAAAATTTAATTAATTTTATAGGAATTGACTCATTCTTTGGAATCCATGTGCAAAAATAACGTCCAGTGATGAAATTGTTATTGAGAAAAGATCTGACGTGGCATTGATACCATTTGTGAGTACATTTTATATAGTTATTATCGATTATTAACGTTTTTAAAGACTAATGCCTTTGTATAAAACATAATTCTAGAGATTATCGAATAATAGGTCAATAGATGATTCACGTTTTCTAAGAAATAGATACTCAAACGATGACTAACTATAAAATGTAGCTAAAAATAGTTACGAAGAACGAAATGATTAGGTTTGCCGTTTTAAACTGGAATTTTATTCAGTTTTCTTAGCACTAGACTGCTTTGGAATGGGAACCAGCTCCTGGACAATGCCATTCAGACGATCGGCAAAGGCTTGGAAGGAGAACTTCTGCTGCACCCGCTTGTGGCCCTGATCGCCCATCTTCAGGCGCAGTGGTTCGTCCCGGAAAAGCTGGTACATCGCTCCACCGAAGCTCTTCTTCTGTTTCTCGCACAGGAAACCGGTTGAGTTGTTGACCACCGTTTCCGTGGGTCCACCGCTGTTCAAGGCCACCACTGGCTTGGAGCAGTACATGCCCTCCAGCGGCACAATGCCAAAGTGCTCGTTTTCGGGCGTGTACAGTAGACAGTGGGCGCCAAAGAGCAGGCGACATTTCTCCTCATCTGTGGGCGATCTTAGTAGAACTACATGATCCTGCAGCTTCAGCTCCTCGGTAAGCTGCTCCAGCTCCGCAAAATGCTCGACATTCTCAATGCAGCGGGTGTCATATCCTCCGGCGATTATCAAACAACAACGTTTAAACTCCATGGAGGGCAGCATGTCGCCCAGGAGGCGCAGGGAATGCAAAGCCAGGGCGTGGTTCTTCTTTCGCTCATACCGATTGATGTCCAGATAGATGAAGGCATTGCGTGGAACCCTGCCATGGATGGGCTCATCCAGCAAAGCAGAACGCTGATCCAGTTTCTTCTGCATCTGATCAAAGTACTGGGTGTGCAGCGAGGGATACAGGACATCAGGGATCGTCTTGAGCCTCCGGAAAGTGTCCTGAAAGACGCGCAGCGTAAACTTGGAGTTCACCAGCACCTTGTCGGCCAGTCCAATGGTGTGCTCCTCCAGCCAATTGATGGGCAGTCGGTACAGGCGCTTCAGCAGACCTTCCCGTGAGCTGAGCAGCTGATCCGGAAAGTGGCAGTAGAAGAGGACGCGTGGACGATGACGGGCCAGCCGGAGAACCGGAATGCAGACGGAGATCAGGTCGCAGACCACCACATCCACCTGCTCCCGCTGCGGCATGAAGAAGCTGGCATAGATCGCCGCATACAACATGCGCAAATAGGCGCAGATGGCATAGAATCTTCCGAAGAGCCGGCGTGGCAGCCAGTCGCCCACAATCTGAACCGGAAAGCTGCCATCCGCCGTCTCCTTGAAGCAGTGCGTACTGTCGTGGTGATTGGTCAGGAAGCTGACCTGGTGACCACGTTCTTTCAGCGCCAAGGCGGCGTCCACCACCAGGCGCTCAGCTCCTCCGATACCCAAATCCGGGTGAAGGAACAGGACGCGAACCATGACTTTGCAGTACGGGAATTTGGAAACTAGAAATAGGAACTGGGAGTGTATCCTTTCGGTGACACAGGGGTCAGAATTTTTGCATTCTCTTAAAGCTTTTGTTTTTATGAACTTTTAAATGTTTATTCTTCAGCTGACGAGGTGAAAGTGTGACCGTTGGTGGATGCGTGTTCTAAAAGGGTTCTAAAAATAATACCAAATAAACCGCAATATCTTTAAAAATTATAAACCGTTTTTGTAATGTACTTGTGTTAAGGAATCATAATTAATTGCCATTTCTGTTTGTCATAAATTACAAGTGAATTCCAACCAATATACCTTTATATCTTTTGGAATTCGTTTTTAAGTATCATGTTTTGTTTATAATAAACCATAAACCGTACACAACAACAATTTAACAGATGTTTTAAACTTAAATTAAATTAATTTGTAATGAAATTTTAAGGGTTCTGTAATATAAACTAATGATTCATTTTCTTATATTTTAGAGAACTTCTTTCGCAATTTGTTGCCCGCAAGCATTATTTGCTTGTATATAATTACTCTTTGAAGCATGTTAAGCTAGCAAAGCAAGTTGATTTAGGGTCCTTAACGTTATGGGTACCATTTTAAAGTTTAAAAATTCATTTGCGTTGATATGATTTTTAGTACACATAATCGAGCACTACAGCAACTCTAGAACCCTCAAACTGCGTGGCAACCCTAGAAGTGCAGCGCACAGCTGGCAACCCTAGAACACATGTTGACATCGCTTTTGGCGTTTTTTAGCCACAAATCGTAATCGTGTTTGCAACGAACGCATTAAATTTTCGTGGAACCTCTAACTTAAATCCAAAATCCCAGCCAGAATTTGTATTCGGGAAGTGCAGCGTAGATCCAAGTGCTCCGGCCACATGAAGACCAACATTTCAATTAACCCATAGGCATGCGAGCCGCCTAAAAAACGCCGCCCCATCCGCCTCCGTTGTTGTTGTTGGTGCTGTCCAGACGTCTCTCTACTTTACCACCAAAAATAATAAATAGTAAACTAATCGTTAGTTAAATCGTGATAAAAGCGAGAGCAAATCGAGTATACGCCGTGTTTGTGCGACTCAATTAGGCACCCGCGCAGCAGTGAAAAAACCACAACAAACATACACGGGTGATGCAGGCAAATTGCTGAATAAAAACACTGAAATAAAAGCGAGGACAGCAGCTCTCCGGCGTTTTCAACTTGCCATTCCACCACCAATCCAAATAGTACGTCCGATATTCCGTAGCCAACTAACGGTAAAGCTAAAGCCACGTAGCCGCAAAAATGCCCAAAATCCATGTGAAGAAGCCACTGGCGGGATTGGTCATCCGGAATCGTGCCCACAAAAGCAAGAGTATCTTTACGGTGAGTACTATTCTATGAGGGGATTCGGATTGGGAATCGGAATGGAACTCTGATATCATATACAGCCTTATCTCCCTGTTGATATGATGATTCAGCCGCACGCGTGTACTCACTCGATTTAGGCATTAGTTTTTAGACGTAATCGAGGTCTATCAAAACGTTTCGGTTTCGGGTAATGACTACGCCAGCACCCAAGTGTTTACTCAGTTGCGACTGGGGCTTTTCACTGGGTATTATGACGTTTTAAACTTGTCTTTGAACTATATTTAATGTTTATAAATACGTTCTGATATGAGCTGGGATGAGGAGTATACAAACTAATCGTCATAAGGACCGGTTTTACTGGGTTTTATGGGGTTCTAAAATCGCTTTATGCTATATTTATGTTTACAAATCTGTGATAATATGGAATTTGTTGCAATAAAGTACTTATTTAAAAAAAAGTAATTAACGTACCATACTTACGTGCATTTTAGGTTACATTTACTTTATATTTTAGCTAAGTGTATAATATAACCTTTTATCTATAGTATTGAGTATTTTTAATATACTTTCTATATTTCGACACTAATTTTAAGATAAAAATCCCATAATACCAGTTAAGGATGGAAATGAAGCAATTGTACCTGTACTGTACTGTACTTCGTCTAAACAAAAATATGTCATGTAAACAAAACAATATTTTGTATACCGACTTTTTAAAAATACTCATAATTGATCTCCAATTGGAGGACATTAGGAATGCAAATATTTCCTAAGACATTTTATTTGTTTATAAATTTTGTATAGTCAAAAAATGGACTTTTATTTTCCTGTGTAGTGTGGTTTTTGTGCCCCAACTGGGTAAGAAATGGTAAAGTGCCAACCATCACTAATGACTAAACGCGCACGTAAAGCTGATATCCACTCTAGGGGGTGGTAAAAATGTGGCAGACATCAGGCGATTTCCACCTATTCACGATAATAGCGATAATATCACAAGGTTTTCCCCCCAAAAAAAAAGTTTTATTGCTTTAAAGCTCTGCACTGGAATCGAAATGGTGCAGTAAAGGCGTAAAACGACTGATAAGTTTGATAAGAGGGTTCTCCCACTAGTGATTCCTCCTTTTCCTGATACTCCGCTCTTCTACAGTTGAGGTTTCCATTTCAACAACCATAATATACCATAAGTGTGTCACTGGTGATGGCGTAATCAACTCAACATCGGTGACCTCTCTTCTTCTCTACAGCTTCCAGATGAACCACTTGTGGTTGACTTTCGATTTCGTGGAGAAGCTGTTCCGTGGGTTCTTTCGCTTTTCGCCTTTCGCTTTCCGCTTCTCTCGAGTGTTTTTCGGGCTTCTTGTTTTTTTTATTTTTAGTGGCGCGGCCATTGAACTGCCTTTTGTTTACCTATGAATATGTGTGCTTGCTTTTCCCGCACTAATGATCTCGTCCATTTGGAGGGTAAATCAGTGCGCGCGTGTAAATATTACATTAGTCACCATTACTATACTTTCCACGCCCCAAAAAACTGGTCTTTTGTAATGCGTGTAATTTCAGCTGTGAAATTAGAAGCAGTCCAGGTGACTGGGAACTCCCGTGTCCAAACCCATTTCGACTGGGTCATGCATAGTTAATCCCTGACTAAAATATTATATGCCGGCGCTGGGAAATGGATGGAAACTTTAATTTGGTAGCCAGTTTGCCGCCAAGCTCCCATTTCTATGCAACAGTTTTCCAATTTGATGGAAAGCTCATGACGCCTGCGCCGCGCTCTCATTTTCTTGTATTTTCTTGAATTTTCACTATGGCCTGATGACTGGGGGGGCTTAATTAAGGGCGCAGCACTAGAATTTAGTTTTGGAGTTGTACTGCGACCTTGGCTAGCCGCTAATTATAATGAACAAGTCAGCCATTAGGCGATATGCCACCCAGGAGACTTCAGGCGCAACAATGTTTTTACATTTGCCTTGCTCTCTGGGAAATCATATTTATTTAGAACAGTTTTGCGCAAAAAACACACAACAAAAAAACAAGCAAAACAATAATACTTGGGAATATTTTGTTTAACTTTGAAATATAAGGTTGAAATTGTTTGAGTTTCATTTTAGTTGATTTGGATCGTTTTTAAATTCCTTTTTTATTGTAAAGGATAACAAAACTACTGTTGGAAACATTTTGTTTAATTTAGTTTAACTCATGCTTAGGATATTCCTTTAAATAGTACGTTTCTTATAACTAGATTAATGCGTATATGAACGTTGTTTTTATTCATTTATTGTCATTATAATGAAATTTTAGGTAATATTCTATGTTTGAAAAATACGAAAATAATAAGTTTGTTGATTCAACTAATCTATTTGGTTATTTTAACCAAAAAAGTATTTAATAAAATAAAATTGTAATTAATGTCAAAAACCTTTTTGTCTTTAGATTTCCCTTTAGTGTTAATTACCATTGCCTAGCAATTAGACATTTTCCCTAGAAAAAGGTTATACCTTTTCGATTTTCTTTTAACTTCTTGGCAAAATTCCCTTGTAAAAATGTTCCCTGAATCGAGCTTTTGGCTGTGAGTCGGAAAATGAAAAGCTACTTCATTCATAAAACACTGCGATAAGGCGCAGAAGTGAACAGGTGCCAAAGTCAAAAGTAAAACCACAGAATGAATTGCGAGGAGAGCGTGGAAAATTCCCTATGAACCAAAAGCTTTTCCTCGGCGCACTCTCTCGGAAAATGCGAAGCCGGGAAATTGAGAAATACAACAACAACAGCAACAAGGCAACAAACAAACAATGGCGAAAAGTCCGATGGTAATTGTTATGGGAAATTTTGAGTACGCGAGAAAGCAGGTTTGTGGAGCAAATCAGCGACGAAAGTGAAAGAATCGAAAGTAATGGGTATGGGTTAAGGAAGTTATATCCTGTTTAAATAGGGAGAAAGTAACGAATTTTTAGCTAATTAAATAAGCACCTTATAAATAAGAGATCGACAGACCCATAATAAGTTTGTCTGACATATATAATTTAAACAACATATTTGATTCTGCAAAACCTGTGTACATTCCTTAGAATAATTCATGAGCCAGCCAAAGAGAGGCATTTTCTGAAATTACCAAAAAGCTTTTCACATTCAAAGCTCTGGGGTCGCGTGTTTTTGTGAAAAACGCGAGGAAAAACTGCAATCGAAAGAAAATGCTCGGCGAGACGCTTTTCCAGCTGAGTACGGCGCAGCGTGTGGAAAAGCGCACATCGCAAAGCGCACATTTTGTCGCGCTGTGTAGCCAACTAAAAAATTCTCTAAACAATTTCCACGCGTTTTCTTTTCGTGTCGTCTCTTGTTGCTAATTATATTGGTACTATGTGCAATTAAATCAAGCCTTGTAAAAAAAACAGAGAAACGGAAAATACATCGCGTTACGCCAGGAAAATTCCGTGAAAAGTGGGTGTTTTTGTACGAAAAATGAACGAATCAAATGTGGAAAATTGACACAGAGACTGAACTTGAAATGATTCTCAATTTGCTGACCCAGTCAATTTGCTTTTGCTTTCAGCTTTCCATTTTCCGCCCACTCGGAAAAGTCTGAGAAATGGGAAAACTGTCCCATTACGCAAAACTGTAACTGTACCCCCACTCCTGTTTTGTTTTTATTCTCGCTTCAATTATGCTTTTGTTCATGAGATCAGACTATATGTATCTCTCTAGTTTTCGCAGGAATAACCAAATGCGACTGAGAATTTTCCCCTTGGAAACGGAATTTCCTTCAGCCTCTCGTGTTACTGATTTTCCTTTGTTCTTTGCCCGCCTGACGCACACAAAAACAAAAGTGAAAAGCAAAAGCCTCGGCTTTCCTTGAAGAAGGTCACTCAAACTTGGCGTTCGTCCTTTTCCCCGCATTTTCCGATCCTTTTAATTTGTTTTTTTCCTTGACCAGCAGGCTCCTGTTTAATGTACTGAGAATTTCGCATAATTTCGTACGAATTTAGCGCTCGTAAAATGAATTTTTATGACAAAGGTTCTCGTGTAATGTGTGCCCATTAAATCTTAGATAATTCCTCCCGCAGTGCAAGCAACAATCAGATTTGCATTCTATATGATAGGTGTACCTATATATTATATAAAGTACAGCTTGCTTAATATGCCATATGCTGTTTATCACATCACCCACATTTATTTGTTCAAGCAGATTTGCTCGACAAATGCTCAAAGTTCAATAAACTCTCACCGCAAAAATTCCATGACACTTATTTGTGTTTTTCTTTTCTTTTGGTAGAAAAGCGAAAAGGAAAAAGTCTGCCACGCATAAATTTCCATTCTCATCCTTTCGCTTGGTTTCGGGACTCGGGATTGAGTCCTCCAAAAGCCACGGCAAACATTTGCTCAGTCAGGGGCTTGAATTCCGAATACCAATCAATTATGCCGAAACTTCGCCACATGAGTGGCGGCTCAAGTCTTACAAAACGCCGTTAGATAACACACTGGCATCCATAAATTATATCCCCAATTCTGAAGGCATTGTTTATTGTTTGGGCCCCTCGAGGAACCTTCTTTGCCGGAGTTGTGGCCCATTGTCTCATAGACATGCCGCAGTGGGTATGGTGTCAACTGCAGCATTTCAATCTCTAGGAAATCTGTGTTGATTTAATTATCCAGCAAATACAATAAAATGTTCCCTCATATGTACCTTAAAAATTAAACACCTTACTTAAAAGTTGAACAAAGGATACCCGAGTTTTGGCGAAATACAAGATTTATCAACTTTAAAAACCAATTTGGGTTTAGTTTCCCCAATTTGTTAATTATTAAAAATTGTTAATAACCATAGCCACCCAATTATACATTTTTCCTTTTTGGTTGGATGAAGCACTTCAATCTTGCCGTTCATCTGTATATATTTTATACTTCAAGAAATAAAAGGTTAGCACAAAAGTTTAGCACCTTACCTAAAAGTTAAGCGAGGGATATTAAAAGATATATAATGCATTGCTTTCCTCAAATGTTTATAAAAGAATAGGCTTTTGTATTGTTCATATGAAAAACAAATTTTTGTCTTGAAAGTTTCAAACAAATCTCGAAACTTTAAATTGGGACTTACCCAATAATTTTACCATTTTAAGAAATGTTTTATGAAACGAATACAAGCTTTTCGAAAAGGTTTGTTGTTTACAAATTTTTCACAATTGTTGAAAGGTTGAAATGGAATTATGCAAACATTCTAATATTTTAATGAATGATTTATATAAACGCTGTGCTATATTTACAAAAACTTTAATTGTGCTAACTTACACTATTTATTATTAAGTTTTCTCGAGTTCACAAATCTTAATAGAATAGCTTGTTCCTAATATAAGGCAACGGGAATTATCTAAGCTGAATAGTTTCGCCTTTGGCGTTTTGGCGTTTTGGCCACGTGCCAAGCCTCCGAGCAATCACTTCCGTTGTCTCCTTATGCAAATTAACTGCACGACTTCCGCTGATGCAGTCTGCAGACTGCAGTCCTGCCGTGTTGCACTTTTTATTCAGTCTTTTTGCGGTTGTTGCTTCTTTTTGTTGTGCTTTTTTTTGGGATGGCCTGTTGTTGTGTCAACACTTTTTGGGCAACAGTTCAAGAATCATAAATTTATTAAAATGCTTTTGCTTGTGTTTCGTGCTTGCCAGTCCGTCGTGTTTGGTAGTTGATATTTGGTATTTGGTGCTTGGTGCGGCAGGCAAGGTCAGTTGGGTGCTCGGAATGGAATTTAGATTCGGATCGGGTTAGCTTTCGGCTGGGCGGATGGGTGGATGGGCGGATGGGTTGGATGGATGGTTCGTTTCGGTTGGGTGCATCATCGCCGCTAATCAATAAGAGACGCCCTTTGGTTTGGTCTGTTTTCATCCATTTTGCAGGAAGCAAATGCATTGGGTGTTTTCGTTTTGGGATTGCTTTGATTTCATGTTTCTGCTGAACTGGCGACAGCCAGCACTGCAATTTCCATTATCTTTCTGCCAGAATCTATACGAAACAAAACCCCCCAGCTGAATCAATAAAGGGTACACACGTAAATCATGTGACTTTGGTGTCCTGCGTCCTTTTTGATTATAGTTATGCCCTGAGCTCGGTCAATATTAAAGTTTCGTTCTTGCTCATTTAAAATAATTGAGTTAAACAAATGAATCAATCAATCATGTCAAAGTGATTTTTTAAAAAACTAACGGTCAGCTTAAATTTTATTTAAATCAAAATTATGCAATATTAAGACTTGGTTTCAAGAACGCTCTAAACGGATTAGAATAAGCTTATTTTTAAGACATTTTATTTTATGATGTCGCCAAAAGATTTTAGGTTGCATAAAAGAATCAGCTTAAGCTACATTTGTACTACATATTTTGTTAGATTTGTTTAATTTACTCGAGTATATATTTTTTCTTAATGGGTGCGTTGTAAAAAATCGATAAAATGGATTATTTTTGTAATGAAGAAGAGGCAGCCAATATAGTGAGCTCTAACTCATCTTTGGCCCATCCTGCTGGGGGCCAAAACCAATTTGATCGCTGCAGCCGCCGCAGCTTGACACTTTTTGGCCACGTTGTTGACAAACTATTTTTAATATTGAAAGGCGGCAGGCAGCGTTTTTCCCAAGTGTTGGCTTGTTTGTGTGTATGTGTGTCTGTGTTGGTAGGCTAATGTGAGCGAGCACATTACGTATACGTATACGTATAAAAATACGTATCCGCAGCGTTGCACGCGCGCTGCAGGCTTTTGAATTGAATTTCAACGGCATCTGCTTTGGCAGTGACTCTCCCCATCTTTTGCGCCATCATTCTCCTTTTTTATTATTTGCCTCTGGTCGTGCACTCACATGACCTTGGTGCTGGGAAATGCTGGGAAACGCTGCGAATGCTCTCCATTAGCCACCAGTCATCGTCAGCAAGTCCGTTTTTCATGTGGGCTGACATTTGGCATCAAGCATGGCGGAAGATGAAAGAGCATCGCATAGTTGGTCGATAGAAGTAGTCCCCACATGCGCGTTTTCAGTTTCACTTTGAGGCTAGAAGAATTTAAAACCATTCTGTTGAATGTTGCTTGAGAAAAATTTCAAAAACAATATATCTACCTACTCTTAAGACCAGGCTTTCCAATTTGAATTGCCATGCCGGGTGCCACAAAAAAGATAATGAAAGAATTATTGGTTTATTTTAAGGTCTTTAGTTGTGTTTAAAATTTCATAAATCTAAAGTTTTCAAACAGGGTTTCAAAATAAGTATAACTAATATTGATTAAAATTTAAAGCTTGGCCTTATTACCTTAATCTTAAGAGTAATTTCAAATAATGTTCGACCAAAAAAACAATAAAATAACATAGGATATTATGTACTGGAAACTTCAGGGAACCGTGTTCACTTTTGCCCTAAAAAAGATAGTAAGAAAATTATTGTATAATCGTATGGTCTATAATAATATATAGTTTTAATTGTTTTGGAAATAGAAAATAATGAATTAGGTATATCTTAAATCTAAAAAGTAATTCGTTATTTCCAAAGAAAAGTTTCTGCCAAATTGAGAAACGTTCAACTTAAAAATCCCCAACCCACACTTTCAAAACAATAAACCAGGATATAAGAACATAAAATGGAAATTTCAGGGAATTCCGCTCATTGTTTGCTTTTAATACCCGCGCGTTTTGGGGAGTTTACCCCTGCCAAAAGTGCGCTGATTGATTTGTGTGCCGTCAGGCTTGTGCTGTAGTATTTTTAATTAAAATTGCGACAGTCTGTGGCTCCTGCCATGGCGCTCAGCTAAAGGTTTTAAGCTCCTGCCACCTGACAGCCACCCACGCGCGATAATCTTTGACTTTGGCAGCGGCGACAGGATAGAATGGGGGGCAGAACATCCCACTTTCAGCCAAACTTCTGTGTTCAGTCAGTTCGTCCTTGGTTTCTTGGGCTTTGGCCTACTTTTCAATAAGCCACAACAATGAAGTTGCCAGTTATTGGCCATTGTCTGGTGGTCTTGGTCCCATTGCGAAATCCAAATCAAAATCAAGAGCGACACGTGCGCAAAACTACCACAGAGTGTGGGGTGCAGCTCCGCAGAAACACAATCTAAAAAATGTGAATAAATTCCCTGATTTATGAAAACGAGAATTTTTTTCAATTTTGATTATAGCATTCTTACACATTGAAATACACTTCTTAAGGTTTCTAAATATTTAAAGGCAAGGTTTTGTTTTTCACTTGAAACCATTTAGTTATAAGAATAAAAAGAGGTTTCATAGTTTTTATTTGCTTAAATTTATTTGGTTTGTTGTTTTTTATCTAAAAACCTTATTTGCTTTTTAAAGCCATTAAATATATTTGTAATTTTAGTAATGAAGATTTTTTATCTAAAGAATAAATCACAGCCATATTTTGATTGAAAGGGTATGAGATTTACTATCAAAAAAAGCATTTGTAGTGCAGTTTTTTTAAGCTTGATTAATACTTTTTCCCTAACAGCAATATTTTGATTAGTAGCGTTGAACATTTAATTTCCATATCTATATGAGGTTAAATACATCTTAATGAAGTTTTAAAACAATTAAATAAGTTATGAAAAATAAAAAAAATATATATTTTACATTCATATTTTAGTTGCTAGGATAAAATCTGAGATTTTCCAAAATGTTTTTTTCTCTGTAAATATAAATGCATTTTAATGGAGTTTATAATGGGTCACGAATTGCACTGGCTTGTGTGTGTTTTTGAGCGGCCCACTGGTTGGCCCCCAACTTGACCTTGGCAACATTTTTTCTATATTTTAATTTTTGCGTGTCCTGTGGGCCAGGACAACTCCACCATATGGAAATTTAACTCCCGGCTGATTGCCCATGACCGGCAAGATTAATTAGCAACGAAATTCGAAATATATTTTTGGAGGGCACGTAATGCCAGTCAGTAGTGAGTAGTCAGTAGTCAGCAGTCGTTAGCTGTTAGCTCACATCCCGTTTTAGCCGGCTTTTCAATTTGGCAGTGCCCAGCCCACCAGCACCGACTAACTATTTCTTTTTTGTGTGACATTAATGAAAGGAAAACATGGAAATGTATTTTCCAGCATGTCTCTTGCCAAATCGTTACGCCATCATCGTGTGTTTGTCTGTTTTTTCTTTCATTTGTTTTTTGTGGTGATGAAGTGATGTAGTGATGTGATGTGCTGTGCTGTGCCCTCAAAACGGATGCCTGTCCGTTCATTCGGTTGTTTTCCTTTTTTGCTTGCCCCCACCCCTTTTTTTCCCTCCTGTCAAGGTCGTTCCAAATGCCTGCCGATGCGACACATGCAGCCATGTATGAATGGGACTCTGTGCCTGTAGCGCCTCTAGTGCCTTCTCCCAAATGATTGACTTGGCAGCTGGTGCTTCCTGCTCGGACAACAGGCTGCTGTCCCGGCTGCAACAGGATTGGATTGCTTTCCATGTCCAATCCTCTTTATCCTGGCTGGGAAATTGAATTTCTGCGGCGGCGGGATCTCCGTTCTCCGGCCTGCACTTGACCCGATTGCTGCCAATCCGGTGGTCAGCTCAACATGACTTATACTCTGCGGTCGAACTCGGTTTGGGTCAGTTTAAATGGGTTTTGTCTAACTAAATCCACACACAGCGCTCGAATCGCAGTGAGGGTTTATGCGCGCACAGTTTGCGGTTCCTTATTCAAAAAATTTACTTATTTATGTTTCTACAGAAAAATAAATCTAAAAAAAATTGTGATTTTTGGGGCTTAAGTCACCTAAAGATTTATAGTCACTCATTTTCATTTTACTAATTTCATCATATTTAAAGTATTTCTTACATTTTATTTTATTTATAAATCTTACAGTGACTTAGGTGGCACGTAAGATTTATAAATTTAAAAATATTTAAAAATAGTTACGATGTTACGATAATTTATATATTATTAATTTCACAAGGATTATTTAAAGAGATATTGTTAATAATTTAGTAAACTAGTGCTTGGCTTACAATGTGTTGCGTTTTTAACAATTGTATTCAGGCATTTGGTAAACTAGAACTCAATTTACACTATGTTGTGTTATGGCGTTTAATGTTGTTTGTACTAAGACATGTGAGTTAAAAGAAAAGACTGTAGTACGTTAAAATCTCAAAGAATAATAAAAATAGCTAGTAAATAAAGAAAATTGATCAGTAATTTAATGCTAAGGCATAAAACCTAAAAACTCAATAAAGTGTAAATACATTATATAGATAGCCTTCAGTTGTGTGATTATTTTATTTATATGCTTTAAAGCATGTGTCTCAAGAACAAATTTTTCGTCTCATCTTTTCGACACAGTCATCTCGAACTTTGTTGAATTTAAGCCAAACGCCAAACACAGTAGTCACAGCATAATTGCCAAAAGCAAGATAACAATCAATTCCATGTGGTCGTTGGGCCGCAAAAACATTTCCATTGTACTGATGTACCGGAGACCGCTTCTCATTTGCTTTTCGCTTTTAGCGAAAAAACTTTCATCATGGTTGTCGTCGACGAGCTCATCCATTTGATATGTGCGACAATTACTTTTTGGCTTTTTATTATGACTCCCAGTAGCACCATGTAGACACTCGTTTTTCGAGAGTGACATGTTTTGTACTTGAGGTTAATATAATTGTCAATTCAAACGTCCGAAACATTTTAAATCGGTAGATAATGGGCATAGATAAATTAAATTATTGTTTGATTTGGTTATACCCTATTTTCAATCATATTACTATTAAAAGTTTATTTAACTTTATAATGAAAAAGTACAACATAGTTGTTGACTTTCATATGTTTATCAGAATTTACCTAATCAAGGCTTTAAAGCTTTTTTAAAATTCTAAAATTTTTCTTTAAACGAAAATGACAGTTTTTGGTAAAAACAATATTTTAAGCATTTCTATTCTAAAAAACATTTAGTTTGAAGTTTTAAAATTATCGTATCAAAATAACAATAGAATTTGATCAAAACTTTGTATTTATTCAGTATAATAAACATTGTTTTATAGTTTTATTTTATTTGTGAATTATTATTATTATCTACTTAGCCTTTAAATGCCTCAATTTTGTTTGCCTGCTAAACTAAATTTATTTATTTGGACTTCTAAAAGAAATCTGATTTTAGAATTAATTTTCAACTTGTTACTTGAAACGGAATTTTTTTTGGAAAATAATATTGTTCACTCTTATAGAATTAAGTATTGACATTACAAAAGAAGGGGTAACTTTTAGTCGTTACTCTCTGTTTAGACTTTTGATTTTCATATAGAATGCCTCTTTTTGTGTGGCTCTTCATAAATAAGTTCCACAGCAGGTGGACATGTGTTTCTCGCGGCTACCGAGCTTTCGCTCGCTGGAGAACTCGGGCACTTGGGAATTGGAGAACCAGAGAACTGGAGAACCGAGTGCCCAAGCGATCCACTTAGTGATTCGCGCACGTTGAAAAGCAGCAGACGTCGCTGGTTTTTTTTTGGGGGAAAAATAACTATACAGATATCGATAGCGTCAAAATTGGAGATGTGTTTAATTCACATGTTTGTCAAAATTCTAGGTGACTTTCTTTCGTGTGTTGTTTTAATTAAAATTTCCAAAATCGATATTCGCGAGCGGAGTGGGAATCGCTGTGAATTGACGTGAATCCGGGGATACAAAATTCAGCGGGTATGTGTGTTTACTCAACGATTTGCAGACCGGAAAACACAGAAAAAACACACACACAACTCTGGCCGGGGAAAATTGCTGTGAAACGCCAAACAGACCTGATTTTCAATTTGATTTGCCATTTTATTTCACTTTGAAGTGCTTCGATTCAAATTGCTTTGTTTGCTCGTTTGCTAATGTTGATCGATCGATCTATTTTTTAAGCCTATCCAAGCTTGTGGCTGCGATTTACACCAGGGTGCTAAAATCGCCACAAAGCAATGGCATTAAGTGCGGGGCCAAATTGGCTTTTAGCGCGATCTTCACTTTTTTCTGGGCCAAACAAATATGGATGATAGCACGTCCAGGTCAAAGTTTTGAGTACTTTACTTTGTTTTAATCCTCAAAAAAACAAATCCGTAATATTAACTTCTAAAGATTTTAACAGAAGTGGAAAAATACAGTTACAGTTTCTCAATTCAATCATCATTAATTTATAATATTTTTTAGTAGGTTACATATATTTGACATACAAAAATTATTAGCATAAAATATTCAAGCTATTCATTAGCTCTTATAAAGCAATTAGCACTGAAATTGAAAATCCAACCATTTAAAAAAAGCACCAAAAACAAGTTGACTAATTTGAGTGTTAAATTGTTTTATTTATAAAAATTTTATTTAAATTAAAATTTCTTTTTTAAAAGTATTTTCTTGTCTCTGAATAGCAAAAAAAATACTGTTTAAAAACGGTTTCAAATATTAAATTAAGTTTTCTAATTTGAGTGTTAAATTGTTAATTGCTGTTTTCAATACAATTTGTAAGCCCATTTCATTTAAATTGATATTGTAAAAGTAGTTTCTTATTCTCTGCATACCAACTAAAATACTATTTTGAGCTTTTTAAGATACTAAATGGTCAGCTCGTTTTGCTTTATTTGGAGTTTTGTTTTTACATATTATTATTAGATGGTCCCTTAATAGTGAGGTTCTACTATCTAATAGCTACTGGTTCTCCTTAGAGAACTTCCCCTGTGGACAGCTGAAAGCAAATAGTGCGTCGTTTCTAGTGAAATCAAATGAGTAAGCGGCAATCGGTTGGCCAAACACTTTAATTGCAGCTAGAAAAGTGCCTCAAAAAAAGTGAACAGCGGAAACATCGTGTTTAAACCAAACAAATGATAAGATAAACTTCGCTTCGATCGAGCTCCCAAAATAAAATCACATCACAAAGCATCACTTAAAGCATATATGTTTGTGGACCCGTGGCAATGGAAATTAGTGTGAAGCCAGCGCCCAGAGAAGCATCAGTTATTAAGAGGGAGGCAAGCAGCTAGAGAGGATCGGGATCGGGATCGGGAACAGGATCTGGAGACCATGCGCAGCGGGCGAAACTATGTCCAGCGGCAAAGCGAGACGCTGGAGAGCAGCTTTGAGCTGGAGGAGGATTCCGAGGCGGAACAGGTCAATGGGTCACCAAGGGGGAGAACCCAGGAAAAGGAGGAGCAAGAGCAGGAACGGCCGGAGTCGGGTGAGCAGACCACGGACAGCTTGAGCACCCACAGCAGCAGTTCCACGCCCACAACGGCGGATGTGGCCGATGTGGAGACCATCAGCTCCTTGCCGCTATCTCCTCCAGCCTATGGCAATCATTTGGTCAAGCGGCACACTCCACTCAAGAGCCAGGATCATCAGGATCGGGAGCAGCAGCAGCACCAGGAGGACACTAGCTCCAGTTCCAACTGCAGCCAGCAGCCCGATCTGGATGATGTGCCCACGGTAAGTGGGCGTGGCCATGCCGAATCCTCCGAATCCACATCCTCATCCACATCCACATCCTCTTCCACGACCCCGCAGACGTCGCGCTATGCAGCTGCAGCGGCACATCCCAGCGCCGCCTTCGCGGACACAGCGGTGGCCATCTCCTCCTCCTCCTCATCCGCCGGCGCAAAGGGTTCGGGCCGGATCGGAGGCGGTGCCGCCGCCCACAGGCGCACCCATTCGGCCGCCTCCTACATCTCCATGCGATCGCAGGGCGGCAACTCGGAGGCGCCTCCGGAGCGACCAAAGCGCAACCGCTTCTTCGAGTGGATAAGGGTCGTCTGCAACATCTGCTGCTGCAAGGTATTTTATTAAAAACTATGGTATTACACCATCACACTTAAGACCTTTCCAAGTTCAATTTTGACTTGGGGATAACAGAGGTTTCTCACAGATTGACAAAATCTATTTAATCTTTAAGTAAAGGTTAACAAATGTTGTACTTAAAAACATTTTAAACTACAAAATTGCATGTATTTCATCAGCAAAGTATTTCATTTAAAACTATGGTAATCCGCATTCAATTTAGGGAATATAAATATATTTCTCAGAACTCTGCAACATCCAATAAATCTTTTATTAAGTTAAGTAACTTAAGGTATTTTATAATTTGATAAATTAATTGCCGTTTTTCGTGTTCATTGTGAGCTATAAGTATATTCTAAAATACAAAATTTAATACATTAGGTCAGATGTCAGTATGCTTAAGTAAATTGCACATTTTAAACCTACTTTTATAATTTTTTTATTTAATGAACATAACATTAAGCAATTTGTAGGTAATCAGATTACTTCTTGGACGTCTTTCACAATAGCCGGCAGATAAGGTCTAGCATATGTGGGATAAACTAAGATAACATAAAAATGATAAAAGTTAGCCGTATCTAACAGATAGCACCTATCTAAGACCTTGTAGCATTAGAATAGATTAAAAACAATAGTTTCCTCGGGAAATATTATTAATTTCCAACTGAAAATACTGTTTTTTTTACATTAAATTCTTAAATTGAGCACAGCTCGTTTTTAATGACTATATCCTTTAACAATTTTCAAAATGGCAGTTACCATGCAAAGTTTCGATTCATACATAACGTTAACATCAACTATATTACTTAGAAGCTGAAAATAATTCATTGTTTTAATTCTAAGCTGGAATAAGTAAGCAACATAACAAGGGTGTAAGCTTGGAAAAATTAAAATAATCGTATCGTTCCGGTTAACTAATAAGGTTTCTAGTTAATTCGTTGTTACAAAAAATAATGTAACTAATTAGTTGTCGCTGTTATCAACTATAGTTTCTTGTTAATTAAATGTACTATAGTAAATAATTACTCAATAGAGCTCATTAGATGTTGTACTTAACCCTAAGGGAAATACTTATTTTGAGTACAATATTTCTGGGTGAATAGATTAATAAGTAAAAGCTAAAATAAATAAAGCAACTTATACATTATATTAACGATGTCGGGCCATTTAGGATAAATTGTCGTAAAATTAAGACAATTGCTTGACTAGATTTTAAAAAGGTTCCCTGTTCAATCTTTTATGATCGAAATGAAATCTTTTTAATTAGTCTCTAAGGTTAATCGTTAAAAAGAGGGAATAGTTAGTTTTTATGTTAAAAGTTTGCCTTTTATCGATTTTTTATGATCAAAAGCCTCTTTATTAGTTTAATAAGTCCCTGTATTTCTTCAATTTAGAGATACGCGACAAAAAAAATCAGTCAATTAGGATTGATTGTCGTAAAACAGAAAGAAAATTTCGATTTTTGGTATTGAAAGTTTGCCATATTCGATATTTTATGATAGAACTAAAGCTCTTTGATTTGTTTAAAAAGTTCCTGTATTCATAGGGGTTTCGTCTTCTATTTATTGATGCGCGACAAAACAAATCAGTTGACGGCATTCCGAATTCAACGCCCGATGCCCAATGCCTCGGGTGACATTGGGTTCGTTAACGAGCTCAAACAAATTCGCATTTAGTACAATTTTTATTTAGCAGACTCGGGACTCAAATGTTTGCAAATAAAGGCGGCCACCAATTGGCACCAATGGGCGAAGGGGCCTCAAAGGGTTAAGGCGGCCTTATCAACTGACTGAGTTGAGTTCATGACGATGACGATGACGTGTTTTTTGTGGTGTTTGGGTGCGCCACAGCCACATTGCATCCTGCAATTATGCCAATTGGCAGCTAGCGGGAACGTCTCTTTACTTAGCTTACTTAGATATCCATCTGTATCGTATTTATCTGTATAGTATTATTACTAATGAGCTCTCTAATTTCATCCACAGAGTTCCGGAATCGGGGAGCCGAGTGTTCATCATGCGCTGGTTGTGATATTTCTAGAGTTCTTCGCCTGGGGTCTGCTAACGATGCCCATAATATCGGTAATAACATAAACCCCTTAGAATTAAAATTCTGCAATTAATGATTATTCAAGTGTTTTTTGTTTAAAAATAAATCATTTAAAATTGGCAAACAAAAAACAGATAAACGCCATATTGATCTTCTTAAGCCAGTCTTTATATTTTCAAATTGATTTTTAAATTTATAAATTTATAACATACCTTATAAATACAAATAATATAAAGTATAATAATGGATATTTTTCGATTATTACAATTTATATTATAAATAATTATAAAAAAGGCTAAAAAATAATGATTAAATGTTTTGCATTTTTGTTGTTGAAAATAAAATTTATTTTGAAACTGCAGCATCTATGTGATTTAAAAAAAAAAGAAGAGGTTTTTAGTATTTGCTCAAAAATTAAATCATTAAATAATCATTATTTTGTAGTTTTTCATATATAAAACTTAAAATGGTAATATTAATATTAATATTAATATTTTTCCCCCAACAGACCCTCAACCAGACGTTCCCGGATCACACATTCCTCATGAACGGTCTGGTCATGGGCATCAAGGGCATCCTGTCGTTCCTTTCGGCGCCGCTGATCGGCGCCCTTTCGGACATCTGGGGCCGAAAGTTTTTCCTATTAGTCACAGTATTCTTCACCTGCCTGCCCATACCGCTGATGTCCATCAACACGTGGTGGTTCTTTGCCATGATCTCAATAAGCGGCGCCTTCGCCGTCACGTTCTCGGTGGTCTTTGCCTACGTGGCGGATGTCACAACGCCGGAGGAGCGATCCAAGGCGTATGGCCTGGCCTCGGCCACCTTCGCCGCCAGTCTGGTTATCTCGCCGGCGCTGGGCAACGCCCTGATGGAGATGTACGGCGACACGCTGGTCGTGGCCCTCTCCACGGCCATTGCGCTGCTGGATGTCTTCTTCATCCTGGTTGCCGTGCCGGAGAGTCTGTCGGAGAAGATGCGCCCGGCCTCCTGGGGAGCCCCCATCAGCTGGGAGCAGGCGGATCCCTTTATGGTGAGCAGGAGTCTATGTTTTCTGGCCCCCTTATTTGTATACCGTTTGAAAAGGTTAATTAGTCGAATGTGTCAATGAAGGTCAGCATCACTAGGAGAGTCGATCTAGATCAAGTCCGCTTGTTTGTTTGTTCGTCTGTCCGTCTGTCCGTTTGTCCGTCTGACCGCTTGTTCGTTTGTCCATTCAATTTTAAAATCATCTAATTGAAACTTTCCCAAAAGTGTTCATGCAATTGCAGGTAGTATATACATATGTCAGAACGGAAAGAATCGAGCGACTTAATCATATAGCTTTAATTATAACTAGTTTGTTTTTAAAATTATACAAATAATCTTCGAAGTACAGTAATAGTTTACTATTTAAGAATACTATACGGGCAAATATGTCATAAAGATGCCAAAGGAACGATTGATTAAGTCGATATATAGAACATGTTAGTTTTTGCTGGCCAGTTTCTTATTAACAAATTCTTTTTTTTTTAATCCTTAGGCCCTGCGCAAAGTAGGCACTGACAAGACCGTGCTGATGCTCTGCCTCACCGTGCTGCTTTCCTATCTGCCCGAGGCCGGCGAGTACTCCTGCATGTTCGTCTACCTGAAGCTGAAGATGGGATTCAACTACGTGGAGGTGTCCGTCTTCATAGCCATAGTTGGCATCCTAAGCATCACGGTGCAAGTGACCCTCGGCTCCTTCATGCAGTGAGTTTAGATTTGTTGATCGTTCTACATTAGTGTCTAATGTGGTGCTTTTACTTCAGAGTGTTTGGAGCCAAGCGCACGATCATTATGGGCCTAGCCCTGGAAATCGTGCAGCTGCTGTGGTACGGCTTTGGCAGTCAAAAGTGGTGAGTGGATAGTGTTTTCGTCTTACTTTGTATAAATTTCGGTAATTTTCTAACGAAAAAAACTTAACTGTTTTAAGCGTTCACAATATTATCTAAAAGAATATTTACTAAAAAATATTTACTAATATTTTTTAATAGAAAATATCGCATAATTATGTTAAAAATTATGTCCTTTCTCTGATTTTGTTTGTGTTGAACTGCATCATTAGAAATAAAAAATTTGAATTTTTTAACTTAATAACACTATTAATTATTTTCTAAACTAGGGACTTATTAGACTATTTCTATTTCTGACAAGATGGCTGAGCATCAATATTAGTGTTTTGTTTTTCACAAGAAAAAACTGACAAATTTTAAAAAGTTTTTATGTTAATTTGGTCACCGAGTTCAAAAATGCCATTTAAAATCTTAAGTTAGGACACTAAACAGTCTTTTTGCTCATTTTGTTGTTAATTTTGATCGGATCGACATGTTTTACTTAAAATAATCTCTTTCCCGTAGGATGATGTGGTCGGCTGGCGTTGTGGCTGCCCTGGGCTCCATCACGTATCCCGCCATCAGCGCCTTTGTCTCCCTCTATGCGGCTCCCGAGAGTCAGGGTGAGTTTACATCACTATTCCGCACTGTTCTCCTCAGTATATCTTTATGAAATATCCTCATTAAAAACCCCTTTTTCAGGCGCTGTTCAGGGCATGATCACGGGCATGAGGGGCCTGTGCAATGGCCTGGGTCCGGCGGTATTCGGCGTCGTCTTCTACCTGTTCAACGTGGACCTGAACGATGACCACGATTCGCATGCGAAGAGCAGCGGCAGCCGGGCGACGAATGTGGAGAAGATATCGCAAAATGTGCCGGGTCCGCCCTTCGTTTTTGGCGCCTTGTGCGTCTTCTGTGCCATAATAGTGGCGGCATTCATTCCGGAGGGGCAGAATTCCACCTTGGAAAAGAAACGTAAGAGTGAAGCGTAGCTAAGCCATGCCATCAGTCCATTGACAACCAATCAAACCTATATCATCCCAGGGCAGAGTGCTACAATTGCGACTTAGTCATGAATAAAATCCCCAGTGACCAAATTCACTGATGACTGATGATTTTCGTTACGATTTCCGATCTTTCGCAGGTGCCTCGCTCGATGTGCAGTACGAGATTGAGACGGGCCACAAGGCGCCCAGTTCCCTGGCGCCGCTCATCCGCTCCGATTCGCTGGCGCAGCTGTAGTGCCCCACAGCTCCAACGTCGTCGTCGTCCTATCCTCCACACACAACTTGAACTTGAACCCAGCTGGTGGCTATAGATACGTATAAGCAGGAGTTAGGCGGTTAGGGAGTTAAGGATTTTGTAATTGTAACAAATGCTGTAACTAGTTTGGCTTTAGTTTCCCCGAGTCTATTAGGTGCATATACATATATGTATTTATATATATATATATCGCAGATCAGGCCAAGATAATGTTATTGTTTGCATGGTTAGATCTTCGTTTTTTACCACACACCACCTCAGCCCCAATTATATTTCGTAACTAATTTATTATTGCCTATGTAAAGTAGTCACATGTGCTTGCCCGATTTCCATTTCGATTTTGCCATTTTTTTTTGCGACTGTCGGTTCTCTTCGGGTTGGGATTACATCACAGCAGACAGGTGTTAGAGCTAAAAAAAAAAAGAAAATGTTTTGCAACAACAACAAAATAACTGCCAAATAAAAAAAAAACAGAGAGTAAGTGTAATTCGAATGAAGAAGCTTAAATTCAGAACAGCACAGCCCAGCACAAACCTGAATATTGATCGCATTTCCTGTTTGGGTTTGAAACACTTTTTTGTTCACCCCCGTTTCATTAAGTTACAACAGTTATGAATGAGAAAAATCCACATAAACTGAACACTAAGCTTTACTTTGAAAATTGTAGTGATTTGTAAGTCTAAAATTAAAAAAAAAAAGGATTGAAAATTATATTGCATCGGGTCACAAAACTAGGCGACTTCACAAGCTATATACAAGATATAGATATGTATATGTATATAGAGAGATATATGTATTGGGGGTACCGACACAAATCGAAATGTTTTTAATTTAGCTAAATCATCTGCAGCGCTGTAGTTTTGATTTTGATAAAGCAACACAAAATGCAGAGCCTTTAACAAAGTCAATGCTTGAACGTACATATAGGGAATGTGTATGTATAGTACTAAATACTATAAATATCAAAGTTATATTTTTCGAAGTTGCTACAACCGTGTGTAAAGTTCCCCACTTGCTCCTCCTATCCCGAAAAAAAAAACACAAAAAAAAAGGGTAATATCACAACCACCCGTGTGAGCAGAGGCAAAGTCAATGGAGTATAGCGTGTCCCCCGGAAAATAAAAATTCGGGGGTCGCCAGAAACAGTATACAAGAAAACTGAACCCAAATTTTGATTGTAAATTATTTAACGTGTAATTTAGTGTTTTAAACGAAACCAAAATAAACAAAATTGTTTAATGAAACGCTAGTACAATGAACTCACGACTACTTCATCAGAAAAGCGATACAAGTAAGTATTGAAATGTGTTTGTAAAATTCATTAATGATCTTGGTTAGGTTAGTTAATTTAAATTTAAGCTGAAATTGAAGATCTACTGATCATTGGTAAATCTGAATTTTAGTTTTGGTCCACCATTCTCTTCGAACATTCTTTCTGGTTTGAAGACAGAAAAGAGTATTAGTCTAGTGAGTGGCTTTAGTTAATTTAATACATTTAAAACTTATTTCTCACAATTGAGAACAATATAAACCCGCTGGGAACGACAATTGTCGAGAATATTACTGGTTTCCCAGATATTGTTATTTAAATACTAAAAGTAAACTCAGTCGAAAGTTAGTTGAGCTTAGCTTTCCGGGTAGTACTATACATTCCATTAAAATGCGTCTATTTTTGGCCTTTTTCGGAGCTATATATCTTCTAATTACCCTAAAGAAATCAATGGCGGAAATTCCCGACTGCAACTACTATGATACCGTGGATATATCACATATAGCAAGACAGAACGACTCTTACAAATATGATGACCTCTTGATTCCTGCTAACCTAACTGGGGAATATGATTTCAAGCTGGTGTCGCAATTTCCGAGGCAACCGGTCAACAAACATTTGAGAGGTTGTGTCTGTAATCTAAGACCCTGCATTCGGTTTTGCTGCCCCCGTAAAAAAATGTTGGAACATGGTGAATGCAATGATGGCTTAAAGGAGGAGCTATCCATGGTCAATCCCTATCTTTACGTGACCCTCGAGGACTATTCAATAGAGGAGCGATATCTCACCAATTTCACCTTGATAAGGGATCAGTTTGGATCATGTGATGAGATGCTTGGCGTTAAGGAAGATGAGTACGTGTTGTTTGAGGTACGTTTTTCGATTTGACATCTTCGTTCCAATCTAACTTCGATCACCTAGAACGGGTCCTTATATCTCAACGAAGACGACTATTTGTATGGAAAAGAGGATTACTGTTTCTATCCGTATCAAAATTTAACGGACTTTCCAAATTTTGTATGGCTTGTTTTACACAATTGCTCGACGACACCTCATCCGGCGGCACGCGAAAGTAAGTAATTTCTACATTGATCAAAACACGCATTTAATACAAGTATTTTATATTCATATGTATATGTATATATTTATATTTTTTAATTTTTAAAATGCATCTATGGATTTATGAATATAGTGAATGCAAGTATTTCATACACATTTTAAATAAGAAAAAATTAATTTTAAGCTTAAACCATTTTTTAATTTAAGTATAATCTATTTTAAATTCATTATTTCCATAATTTAAGTATTCTTTTATACAATTTTACCATCGTTATTAATATTACAATTTTAGATTTAATTTAAATAAGCAAAATGAAATTGTAGGTTCTGGATTTGGATCCATATATATGTTTTTACTATAACTCAATAACTTTCCCTATCAACTATTATTTTAAATTTTTTATTTTAGTCACGATAATATCGATGGTATTCTATATCCTCACAATTTCTGTATATTTGTACGTAAAAAAGCTACGGAATGTCTTAGGCAAGTGCCTTATTTGTAGTCTTCTCAGCAGTTTTATAGTGGACCTTGGTTGGATACTAGATGAATCTATTTTATTAAGAGATGGTTGCTCTACTACAGGTAAGTTGTTGAAAGTGAATTTGGATTAAAGTTAATTAAAGCTATTTTATGTTATATTTATTTTAAAGTTGTTTACCATTTTGTTCGCAGGTTACAGTTCGTACTTCTTCAATATAGCTTTTAATCTCTGGCTCTCAGTCATTAGCTATCATATTTGGAATGTGTTCAGGTCGGTCAATCGCAATGATCCTAAATATAGATTCCTGGTTTACAGCGCTTTTGTCTGGTTAACTGCTGCTATTCCAACGGGCGCTATATTTTGGGTGAATCAAGTCTGGGAACAGGATCCCCATAAATGGAATTGGATGCCCTTAGTGGGTTATAGTAAATGCTTTGTGAAGTGTATGTTTTATTTTGGGCTTTTATAAGTTGAATCCTTCTTTTAGAACTCATTTTCTACCACAGATACTTCTACTGAATGGATATACCTATATGGACCTCTTCTCATCCTGAGTACCTTTAATGTGATCATGTTTATCCTAACAGCCAGGCACATTGTGAAAGTAAAGAAACAATTGAAGAAATTCTCTAACCAGCAGGAGAGAACAGCGAACTGCCTTCAATGGAATGTGCCAAGGTAAGAGCAAATCAGAAAAGTTAATAGACAAGATATAATGATATTTTATAAAATTGAACATTGTACATTATAAATTTTTTAAAATTTTGTAACTTATTTCACATCCTAACCATAGTTACCTAGAATTTCTGCGGCTCTCTGTCGTGATGGGCGTATCTTGGATTATGAATCTTATATCGTATTTGCTGTGGCCCGATGAATTTTGGCAGGAGGTCCTTTTATTGTTCGACTACTTTCATTACTCATTTGGTATTGTAGTTTTTGTGCTGCTTATCTTAAAGCGTAGCACTCTTACGTTGCTTAGGGATAGGTAAGTTTTTGGTGACTAAATCAGATCTTTAAGTAACCTCATTCATTTTTTTCCCAGCAGAATTCGGGCAACATTTAAAAAGAAAGTTGCTCAGAAGGCCAAAGAGACGGACTAAATATCTGAAGGCTGTAAATATCATGGTTCGAAGTCCAATATTAAATTAATATCGTTGATTTTAAATATAAATAACAAACTTTTTTTTAAACAACATGATTTCTTCATATTTATGGATTGAAACTTAAATTTAAGATATTGTCGAATTTCGGGCCAACGGATTTTTAACGTTCTCTTCCAGGGCTGAGTCCCTTGTATGTGTTTAGTATATTTAAATTGTTCATTGGTATTTTTTTGCGCATTTTTCTAAGCCACGACGGCATATACGCTCGCTGCGCCAACGGTCACACTGGCCAAGAACTCTTTGAAATGTGAAGTTTTTTCGATCGGATAAAAAAGAAACAGAAAAGGTGAATTTCCGGGGCGGATCTAGTCTGAATGGAGCGTGCGTTCGCGTGACTGAAGTTCGATTGGCCACGCCTACTTGCACGGGAAAAAGGTGAAAAACGAGTGGAAATCGAGTGAAAATCTTATAAAATGCCAGGTGTAATTGGCCACAAACAACAAAGAATGCTTCAAAAGGGCGGTGCAGTGCAGTGATACATACTAATAAAGCCATATACAACATATACGTGCTTGTATAGTGAAAAATCGTGTGAAAAGATTTACACGGTTTAATAAATTCCCATACTTCCCATGGGCCCCACTTCGCCAAACTCCAATTAGGCCAAAAGGGCCATTGGAAGCTGGAAACGATTGGAAATATCTCGCTGCGCCAGCGACCTAAATTTTCATTTTTTTTCTCGTGTTTGAAGAACTTTCCCAACGGTTTTGATTTATCTGTTAATATTTACTTGAAATTCGACTGGTTATTTACACAAAAACCCATCCTTAGTTTTAACTCAAAAACCAACCAATTGATTTTTTTAATTTACCAATTTGCACATCTTAAGCACCTCCAAATTGGTTGTTTTATTATAATCCGACGAGCTTACTGAGGAATTCGTTCATATATCCCTTGCAGGGATACGAGCCATCTGGAATTGTGATCCTTCGGTCCTACGATCCTACGGCTAATTGGATTTGGACATTGCCATTGCCATCGCCATCGCATCATCATCATCTTCCACGAACGCGAGTCCAAAAGCCAGCTTAATTGGCTTAGGCGGCGGTTGTCAATGTTGGTGAGTTTCCAACGGCTCATTTATTCTGTTTATTTCAATTTGAGTAAACACCCAACCGAGTTATTCAATTTGCGGTCTCGAATTAGTGGGTGTAGTGTAGTGGCCCTTCCTGCCTTTAAATATGCTAAATATGGGTATATCCTCATACGATTCCCACCTGGCGGCAGTGTGCATAATTAATAAGCGGCACTGCACTAATTGCTCTACTACGCCAGCCGAAAACATTCAGAAAAGAACACCCGCAGATAGATAGATACATATGTATATAGTATGCCCAAACATCCCTGACCTGAGATACAGATGCGTGTGGTGGAAACGACACCCAGCCGAGTGAAACCCGTGTATTTATAGAGGTTGTTCTACAATTTCCCAGCCACACACTTCACAGAACTCGGAAGCGTACTCTGATAATAAGGACCACATATTAGAGTATGCCTGAATAAGCAATTTTTAGGTCAAATGTTAATATTAATAGCCAGCGGAAGCCTAGTTATAAACAGCCTATTTAGTATTAAAGAATAAAGGTTCTAAGACTAAAGCTATTCAAAATATAGACTTAATTATATAACTATTTTATTTTAATAACAGTGAAGAAAAATATTTAGTATTCCACTAAAATCTATAAAGAAAATTTTAAGGTGTTGAGAAACCAGAATTAGAAGTAAGATGTCATAAAATAATAAATTAACAATTCAAAAATATGATTGCTAGAAATTAAAAAGACAGTAAAAATCAACAACTATTTCTATAGATTTTAATAGACAAGTCAGTTTATTTGCTAATATAAACCATTAAATATTTCTATGCTCTGGTCAGTTAAGTTGCACTGATGTCTTCAACATCAAGACCAAAGTTTATCAACAATAAAACGTACAGATAAGCTAGAAAATCAAGCTCAGACCGCAGAATCATTAATCAAATACTCTGAAGCAAATGGAAAACATATGACGTAAACCGGTCTTCAAAATCCGAAAACAAACACACTCGAAAATAGACCCAAGTTTATCAGAAGTTTGCAATATGATAAGTCTAGAGACAGCAGCAATTGAATAACCGAGCAAGAGATAGCCAATCTTCATATCAGATTCATTATTAAGCAAATAAGCTGACTCAAAGTCAGAGAATCAAGATGATATAACACATCATTGGCACGTATCTTCCGTTTCTGTCAGTGTACATGGCTTCCGTTTCTTTCTTATAAGTG